AGTAACTTGAAAAGCTCAACAAACTTTTGCAGAGTCATTTTTGCTTGTTTTTGAAGCTTTTTGAAAAGTGATAAATTGTTGAAAGAAAAGCGAAAAAAAGGTCAAAACATCTTTCTTTCTTAGCAAAAAGCAAAAAAAAGCCTTTCTTTTTTTTGAAATTTGAAGAATTCGGTGAATGTTTAAATCTAAAAAAAGCAAAAAAAAAAGGAAAAATTCAATGAAACTTTTCTATAAATATTGGGGATTCTTTTAAGCAGTAAGCTAAGATTTGCTCATTTCTAAGCCTCCTGGGCTTCTGAGGCTGGCTGGTGATCCGTTTTGCAGCGTTGGTCAAGACTTGGGCAACACAAATGACATCATTACATCAAATGACGGCTTCTAAAGGGAAATTTGGACTTTGTCATTCATTCATCGACGTCATTCACTTGAATTCCCTTTTTCATTTCATTTCTAGTCTTAATCCATTAACCATCACTAGGCCAACGGCTCCTTGTCCTTTGAGATTGAAAAGCGTCTTTAAAAAAACGTCGATCAAAAAGCAAAAACCGTGACCGGAATCGAACCTCGACCTTGCGACCTAGAGACCATAGCACTAACCACTAGGCCACCAAGCCCTTTCGTCCCGGGATTGAAAAGCCTCTGTTAAAGAACCCCGGTCTCCCCCTTGGGTGCGTACCCTTGACGTCGATTGTCAGAAAAAACAGCGTCTGGCACACGGCCCTAGGTGAAGATCGGCGGAAAGCCCTCTAACCCGGTTTAATTACCCAAGTTTATGGCTAATCCTTTTCACCAATTTCAATGTCATTTAAAAGCAAATTCATATCATTCTAAAGGAAATCGGACTCTCATTTTTCGTTGGCGTCATTCATTAAAATTCCCTTTCATTTCTAGTCTTAATTCATTAAAATCAAAGATTAGAGGCATCTCCTGCAAAGGCAAATGGCTCTTTTTTTTTTGGTAGAAATCCATGATTCCTTTTTCGGGCCTTTCCTTTTCGAAGCTGAAAGCAAGAGCTGATTGAAAGCATTTTTTGATTGAAAGCTTTTTTGACAAAGGTGTTTCAATGGAATCAGAGCTGAGATTTGAATCTAAATCAAAACGTATGCCTTCTAGCACATAGAATCCTTAAATTTCTCGAGATTCAGTGCACTAGATAAGGCATTTTTCCATAGTGAAAGCAAAGTTCAAGCCAAAACTTTGTTGTAATTTGTTTAGTATCTTTTTGTGCTCAAAGAACTTGTAAACACATACCTTTTGGCACAGGAAACTCTTCGTTTCCTTGTGCTCTAGACAAACAGCGTTTTGACAAAGCACAAAGTACATTTGAACTTGATTTGATTGACCTAATGTCTATCAAACTAACTCAAGCCGAATTCATTGCCTTCAGCCTTTTCTTCTTCCTTTCTTTCTTTCTTCCTTTCTTTCCTTCTTCCTTTCTTTCTTCCTTTCTTTCTTCCTTTCTTTCCTTCTTCTTTCCTTTCTTTTCCTTTCCATTCCATTCCATTCTTTTACCCATTCATTTCTTTGAAATTTTAAATGAATGAAAAATGAAATTCAATGAGATTTCCCTTTTTTTAATGATTTTGAGTTCTTAATGATGTCAATTTTTAGCTTTTTTTAAAGGCTAAAAGGCTATAAGTCTTTAAATTCCAATTCCAGATTAGCATGTAAAATCAAGGCTTTTTCAATAATCAATCAGCGATTGGATATAGAAATTATTCCAAAAATCAATCAAAGACCCAAGAGAAGGGCTTCTTTCTATTTCTTTTCTTCTTTCTTTCTTCCTTCCTTTCTTTCTTTCTTTCTTCCCTCCTTCCTTTCTTTCTTTCTTTCTTCCTTTCTTTTTCTGCTTTTCTTTTCTTTCAATTTCTATTCAATTTCCGCTTGACTTGGCTTTTTTCAGGGGAAATCGGGGAACTCTTTTTAAGAATCATAAAAAGAACACATTATTTTCGTTCAGCTCGGGGAAAAGATTTAAAGATCGAAAAGATTTAAAAGATGAAAAGCTGAAAGGAAATTGTTTTTAAAAATGATGTCAATTGGTAATAAATCGTCCGATAATCATGCAAAGTCTCTGTTTTGACTCCAATTTATCTCGGTACTTTATACTTTCAGAAATGCGTTAGGGATTTGCGGATGCGGATCCGGCTCTCTGCACAAGCATATAAAGAACGAAAAGACGACTACGCGATAGCATAATAGACAGTTCAGAGTACTGTAGTCGTCTTTTCGTCCTTTGTATGCTTGGGGAGAGATCTGGATCTGGATCCGGACCTCTACGCGATCCGGAAGACTCCGCGATAGCATAATAGACAGTTCATAGTCTTGTATTTGTCTTTTCGTTCTTTGTATGCTTGGGGAGAGATCTGGAACTGGACCTGGATCTGGAACTGGATCTGGAACTGGAACTGGATCAGGATCTGGATCAGGATCTGGATCTGGATCAGGATCTGGATCTGGATCTGGATCTGGATCTGGAACTGGAACTGGATCTGGATCTGGAACTAGATCTGGAACTGGAACTGGATCTGGAACTGGATCAGGATCTGGATCTGGAACTGGATCTGGAACTGGATCTGGAACTGGATCTGGATCTGGATCTGGATCTGGAACTGGACCTGGATCTGGATCTGGATCTGGATCTGGATCTGGATCTGGATCTGGAACTGGAACTGGATCTGGAACTGGATCTGGAACTGGATCTGGATCTGGATCTGGATCTGGAACTGGACCTGGATCTGGATCTGGATCTGGATCTGGATCTGGATCTGGATCTGGAACTGGAACTGGATCTGGAACTGGATCTGGAACTGGATCTGGAACTGGATCTGGATCTGGATCTGGATCTGGAACTGGACCTGGATCTGGATCTGGATCTGGATCTGGATCTGGATCTGGATCTGGAACTGGAACTGGATCTGGATCTGGATCTGGATCTGGAACTGGACCTGGATCTGGATCTGGACCTGGATCAGGATCTGGATCTGGAACTGGATCTGGAACTGGATCTGGAACTGGATCTGGATCTGGATCTGGATCTGGAACTGGACCTGGATCTGGATCTGGATCTGGATCTGGATCTGGAACTGGAACTGGATCTGGAACTGGATCTGGAACTGGATCTGGATCTGGATCTGGATCTGGAACTGGATCTGGATCTGGAACTGGATCTGGATCTGGATCTGGAACTGGATCTGGATCTGGATCTGGATCTGGAACTGGAACTGGATCTGGATCTGGATCTGGATCTGGAACTGGACTCTGGATCTGGATCTGGATCTGGATCTGGAACTGGATCTGGATCTGGATCTGGATCTGGAACTGGAACTGGATCTGGATCTGGATCTGGATCTGGAACTGGATCTGGATCTGGAACTGGATCTGGATCTGGAACTGGATCTGGATCTGGATCTGGATCTGGAACTGGATCTGGATCTGGAACTGGATCTGGATCTGGATCTGGAACTGGATCTGGATCTGGATCTGGATCTGGAACTGGAACTGGATCTGGATCTGGATCTGGATCTGGAACTGGACCTGGATCTGGATCTGGATCTGGATCTGGATCTGGAACTGGAACTGGATCTGGAACTGGATCTGGAACTGGATCTGGATCTGGATCTGGATCTGGAACTGGACCTGGATCTGGATCTGGACCTGGATCTGGATCCGCCTCCCTTCTGGCAACCATCAGAACGATTCGGTGCAAATAACGAACTCAATGCACTAGATAGAATGTTCTTATGCAAAAATTGAGAAACTTAGTAAGCCAGAAGGCCTACTCTTCTTAGCCCAAAGCACAAAAGAATTGATATCTCGAGAATCTTTCAACTTGCAAAACTTTCTAGAATTCTTAGGCATTTCGTTGAAGTAATTGCCCTGAGGGTTTCCTTATTTGGTTTTTTTTTCGTTTATCCCTTTTTCCCTGAGATTACCCGTGACTCTTCGGGGTTTGAAAAGCCTCCTTTTTTCCCATTTTCCACGACATCTTCTCGATTATTTATGGAGGGGGAAAAGAGGGGAAATCGAGCAGGAAAAGCAGGAAAAGCCCTTTTTCTCGGGAAAAGCCTTGGAACAATCAAGTGATAGACAAAAAAAATGTTGAAATGAAAGAAATCATCTTCTTTTTCTTGTGAAAACTAGAGGGTTATTGGAAAGTGATAAAATAGAAGGCTTAAAAGGGAAGGCTTAAAATGGAAGGCCTAAAATGGAAGGTCTAAAATGGAAGGCCTAAAATGGAAGGTCTAAAATGGAAGGCCTAAAATGGAAGGTCTAAAATGGAAGGCCTAAAATGGAAGGCCTAAAATGGAAGGCTTAAAATAGAAGGCTTAAAATGGAAGGCCTAAAATGGAAGGCTTAAATGATCTCAGTTTAACATTGAGACTTGAACCAGACGCTCAAGTCTCAATGTTAAACTGAGATCATTTAAGAGTTTAATCGTTTAAAAGTCAGTTGTGATCTTTGGTGATTAGAATCTTTGGTTGTGAATAGAATCACAGTAGTACAAGTGAAAACTAGAATGGTTTAGATTCTAGATTAGTAGAAATGGGTTTTAGGAAGATTAATTGATGTTTTAAGAGGGAAATACTTCGAGAAATGAATGAAAATCAAGGAAAATCAAGGAAAATGAAGGAAAATGAAGGAAAATTAATGAAAATTAAAGAAAAACAAAGAAAACCAATGAAAAACAAAGAAAAACAAAGAAAAACAAAGAAAAACAAAGAAAAACAATGAACAACAATGAACAACAATGAACAACAATAAAAACAATAAAAGAGATTCAAGAGAAATGAGGGAAAGAGTTCAAGAGCTAGTTTAAAGCAGTTTAAGCAATAAGTTTAAGCAAGTTAAAGCAGTTTAAGCAATAAAGAAGCTAGTTTAAATCTCCAATTCAAATCTCCAATCCAAATCTATCCAAATCTATCCAAATTTCAGTCATCATCCTCTGTGCTTCACCGGAAACCGTGCGAGAGATCATGCTGGCCGCTTACGATTTAGGAATGGCCACCTCGGGTGACTACGTTTTCATCAACATCGATGTATCGACTGGGTGAGTTGCTGTGGCTGTAAAAAAATTTCTTTACACAAATAATGTGGTACAAATTACAAAAGCACTAAGATCTAGCAAATCAAGAACAAACAAAAGAAGCCACAACCCAAAACCAAAACCAAAACCAAAACCTTTCAGCTCACACGCCGAGCAACCGTGGGTACGCGCCAACGATAGCGACAAGAACAGCGCCGAGAATCAGAAAGCGAAAGAGGCGTACAAGGTGGGCAAAAAGTGGAAACGCAAACCTTTTGGTGCACTCAACCATTTAACAGTATTGTGAAGAAAAAAGGAAAAGTCGAGTGTGAAGAGGGAATCACATCGACAATAGACGGTGTACAAAACGGACCCTTTCTGGACAGCCTAATATAGGATATTCTGGCATTTGACGTTTAGATCAATTAAAGTGCTATCCAGATTAGACATTTTGATGGGAATTGAGCAATTCTGATGCATTAGAAAGCTTGGATTGCTCCAATCTTGAAGTGGACGATTTGGGTGTATCTAACTTGTAGAGAACTCGGGTATTTGACGTTTAATTCAATGAAAGTGATATCCAGATTAGACATTTTGATGGGAATTGAGCAATTCTGATGCATTAGAAGGCTTAGATTGCGCCAATCTTGAAGTGGGCATTTTTGAGTGAATCTAACTTGCAAGAAACTCAGCTATTTGACGTTACGGGCAACTAAAGTGCGATCCAGATTAGACAGTTTGGGCCTTATTGAACAATTCTGATTCACTAGAAGGCTTGGATTGCTCCAATCTTGAAGTGGACGATTTGGGTGTATCTAACTTGTAGAGAACTCGGGTATTTGACGTTACGGTCAACTAAAGTGCGATCCAGATTAGACATTTTGATGGGAATTGAGCAATTCTGATTCACTAGAAGGCTTGGATTGCTCCAATCTTGAAGTGGACGATTTGGGTGTGTCTAACTTGAAAGGAATTCTGGTATTTGACGTTTAAATCAATGAAAGTGATATCCAGATTAGAGATTTTGATGGTAATTGAACAATTCTGCTCCACTAGAAGGCTTGAATTGCTCCAAACTTGTAGCGGCTAGTTTGAGTGTATCTAACTTGTAAGGAATTCAGTTATCTGACGTTACGGTCAACTAAAGTGCTATCCAGATTAGGCAATTTAGTGGTAATTGAGTAATTCTGATGCATTAGAAGGCTTAGATAGCGCCAATCTTGTAGTGGCTAGTTTGAGTGTGTCTAACTTGTAAGCAAAACGGTTATTTTACGTTTAGCTCAATTAAAGTGCTATCCAGATTAGACTTTTCGGTGCTTATTGAACTGTATAGAGTACTGTAAGCATAAATTTTAGGCCTTGAAAACGATCTCTTTGCGCCGGAGTGACCAGGAAGAGTATAAGCAGTTCGAGACACGGGTCGTCGAGCGAGCCAACAAGAAGTACCACTACAAGGAGAAGATGCACAAAGAGTATGAGGTAAAAATAAAATCCAAGATCCAGAATCCAAGAAATATCGAAGCTATTCAAATTTCTAGATGAACAACTTCATTTCTGCTTTCTACGATGCTGTTTTGCTGTACGCTATTGCTTTGAATGAGACGCTGAGGGATGGGTTGGACCCTCGAAACGGGCACAATATTACGAGTAAAATGTGGGGCAGGACTTTCGCTGGTGAGTGAAAGATGTGAGAAATTTGTTTAAAAATCATTTTCAGGTATTACGGGTAACGTATCGATTGACAAGAATGGCGATCGATACTCGGACTATTCCCTCTTTGATCTCGACCCGGATAGGGACAAATTTGTGGTGATTTCTTGCTGACATTGTTTGCCTTAAAAACTATAAACTGTATAAGTAACTGGAAGAAGCTAGGCCTTGAGAACCAGCCCTGGACCTGAGCCTAACCTGGCCCAGTCCTAGAGCTAAGCCTGACCTGGATCTAAGCCTGACCTGGCCCAGTTCTGGATCTAAGCCTGACCTGGCCCAGTCCTGGATCTAAGCTGGCCTGGATCTAAGCCTGACCTGGCTAAGTCCTAGATCTAAGCCTGACCTGGATCTAAACCTGACCTGGACCTAAGCCTAACCTGGCTAAGCCCTGGACCTAAGCCTGGCCTGGCCCAGTCCTAGATCTAAGCCTGACCTGGCCCAGTCCTGGATCTAAGCCTGACCTGGACCTAAGCCTGACCTGGGCCTAAGCCTGACCTGGACCTAAGCCTAACCTGGCCCAGTCCTAGATCTAAGCCTAACCTGGCCCAGTCCTAGATCTAAGCCTGACCTGGATCTAAACCTGACCTGGATCTAAGCCTGACCTGGACCTAAGCCTAACCTGGCTAAGCCCTGGACCTAAGCCTGACCTGGACCTAAGCCTGACCTGGACCTAAGCCTGACCTGGACCTAAGCCTAACCTGGCCCAGTCCTAGATCTAAGCCTAACCTGGCCCAGTCCTGGATCTAAACCTGACCTGGATCTAAGCCTGACCTGGACCTAAGCCTAACCTGGCTAAGCCCTGGACCTAAGCCTGACCTGGATCTAAGCCTGACCTGGACCTAAGCCTGACCTGGACCTAAGCCTAACCTGGCTAAGCCCTGGACCTAAGCCTGACCTGGATCTAAGCCTGACCTGGACCTAAGCCTAACCTGGCCCAGTCCTAGATCTAAGCCTGATCTAGCCCAGCCCTGGACCTAAGCCTGACCTGGCACATCCCTGGAGCTGAGCCCTGTGAGTCCCGGGTTCAATTCCCGGACAAGCCCCCAGTTAGTAACTAACTCCCTTCTTAACCGAAACCACCCAACAATCTTGTTTTTCCACAGTATTAAACCAACAATTTAAAGCAATATTTTAACATCTTACTTCCATTGTCCCCCCCGCGTTCGTATCTTCACCTCTTTTTGACATCTCTCGCTAGATAAAACTAGATTTAATCGATAATCAGATGTCGATAATGTCAATAGCAATCTATATCAGAAGATTTCCAGGAAGTCGCCTACTACTCAGGCGCAGCGAACAAACTCGAATCAGTCGGCACGATTCATTGGGTTGGCGGGAAACCACCAAGAGATATGCCGATTTGCGGATTTGACAAAAGCAAATGTCCAAAAGTGAGTGAAACATTGGAATTGTATCTTAGGACAGCTTACTAGGAGACATCTTACTAGGAGACATCTTACAAGGGTACCAAACTTTGAGCGCTTATAACTTTTGATAGGGTGCTGTTTAGGAAAAACGGGAAGCAGATTTGGATTGAGCTTGAAATGCTACGTCGAATGAGCTATAGTCATTCAGCTAGTCATTATGGCATTTAGCTTATCGAGTTGACTTTCCCTTATTATTTAGAGTTAACTACAGCTAGAGTTAAGTTTTATAGACTTAAATCTTTTCTAATCGTTTCTAATCGTTTCTAATCGTTTCTAATCGTTTCTAATCGTTTCTAATCATAATCTTTAGATTCTTTACGATCTTTAGCATCTTTGTTCTTTAGAATCTTTAAAAATATTCAAAATATAACTTCTATAATGATTTAGGGTTATCCGTTACACGTTTATCTTCTCTGCGGTGCCGGTGCAGCGATCATCATTCTCGCATTATTATTCGCTTTCTTTTTAAGGTATTTGATGGAAAATTTAATGGAATCGAGTTTTATTTATAAAAAAATTGTGATTTTCAAACAAATTTTGATCTTTTTTTGATCTTTTGTGAGCAAATTGTGAACAAAAAGAAGTTTTGAAATAAAAAAAATTCAGAAGATATCGCCTTGAACAAGAGCTCGCAGCGATGTCATGGAAGATTCGATGGGAGGTGAGAATTCTTTAAATCTATTTTACTTTTTGCTGAAGAAAAGATAAAACCACCATTTCTGGTGCATTGTCACAAGAAAAGGAAAGAGTTTAGTGTGCCAGAAAGTCTGTGTTTCGAGCAGGACCAGAACTATAGCTGGATTAGAACTAGAGCTGGACTAGAACTAGAGCTGGATCAGAACTATAGCTGGATTAGAACTATAGCTGGATCAGAACCATAGCTGGATCAGAACTAGAGCTGGACCAGAACTAGAGCTGAACCAGAACTAGAATTGAACCAGAACTAGAGCTGGACCAGAACTAGAATTGAGCCAGAACTAGAGCTGGACCAGAACTAGAGCTGGACCAGAACTAGAATTGAACCAGAACTAGAGCTGGACCAGAACTAGAATTGAGCCAGAACTAGAGCTGGACCAGAACTAGAGCTGGACCAGAACTAGAGCTGGACCAGAACTAGAGCTGAACCAGAACTAGAATTGAACCAGAACTAGAGCTGGACCAGAACTAGAATTGAACCAGAACTAGAGCTGGACCAGAACTAGAGCTGGACCAGAACCAGAGTTGGACCAGAACTAGAGTTGGACCAGAATTAGAGCTGAACCAGAACTATAGCTGAACCAGAACCAGAACTGGAGTCCTAAACTCCAGCAAAGTCCTAAAGCCAAGATTTGATACTAGTCTAGTCCCAAAGCTCAATTTTTTCTTTAAAACCACTTTTTCAGGCGTAATTTTATGCGTAGATTCCGAAAAACATAATGAGAACTTGAGAAAAAGCGTTTTAAGCTGTGTTTTTGGGCTTTAAAGTATAGGATAATTCAAAATATCGAGCCATAGAAGGTTTTAAGAGGATGAAGACTTGAAGAGGATGAAGAGGATGAAGATAACAATTAGAAATGTACAAAATTTCAGGAACTTGATGGAGAAGAGAGTACAAAGAAAGAGAAAAAGAAACGAAAAAGGAAAAACATGTTCGATTTTGAGGGAGAAGCTTTGATTCGATCTGGTTCAAGGGGATCATTGAACTCGGACAAGGTTTGTCAAGGCTTTAGCTTTCATTTTTCAAGCCTAATCCGTTTTCTACAGGAATATTTCATGAAAACTACCGTAATCAGTCGATTTTGGTAGTTGGACTCTGAGATTTTTCATTGATTCTCTGAATTCTCTTTGAAGAACTAGTTTTGTTAGAGTTTTGGGCTGAGTTTGAATAAAACTAAGCGGATTATGGCTCTAGAATTGCCTTTAAGAAAACGGATTAGACAATACAAGCATTAGAGAAGATCCAGGGTTACTGTAGATCTTCTTAACTCTAGATTGGACATCCAGACTCTAGATTGGACATCCAGAATCTAGATTGGACGTCCAGGGTTACTGTAGATCTTCTTAACTGAATATCATTAGCTTCTATTCTTTTCTTAACTGAATCTCATCGACTTCTGAACTTTGTGGGGCCACGTAACCAATCAGCGTTTGGCACACGGCTAGACTCCGTGCACCAGATGATGAAAGTTTACGCGAATAAACCACAAGGCTCTGGCCAATCTTGGTCTTCTTGATTGGCCTTCTTGATCTTCTTCTTGGACTTTCCTTGGACTTTCCTTGGAGTTAACCTAAAGTCTTATTGTAACTAATCACTCTTGACTCTTCTACTTCTTGATTAGATTTGTTCTAAATTTCTCCAAATCTCTTTCAATTTCTTCTAATTTCTTCTAATTACTTCAAATCTCTTTCATTTTGTTTTATCAACTTTTACCCTTATTTTTGTCTAATTAAGAAGCTTTTTGAAGTTCTTGAGAAGTTCTAAAAACACTTAAAACGATCGGAACGTAAAACGATCCGTAAAACGACTCTACGGACGTCGGTTTACGGAACGTAAAGCTCATTCTAAATCTGATCTAGCTGATCTAGCCGATCTAGCTGATCTAGCTGATCCAGCTGATCTAGCTGATCTAGCCGATCTAGCTGATCAAGCCGATCTAGAATCAAGCCGATCACTCTAAGTCCCTTTCTTTTTCTCTCTTTTTAAAGCTCATCCTTTCTACTGTAATTCTAGACTTTTTGAGTTCTTTTATTTAGTATATCTGTTACGGTTGATTTAGACATTCAGACGTCCGATCTAGACGGCCGAACTCTAGATTGGACCTCTAGACTCTAGATTGGACCTCTAGACTCTAGATTGGACCTCTAGACTCTAGATTGGACCTCTAGACTCTAGATTGGACCTCTAGACTCTAGATTGGACCTCTAGACTCTAGATTGGACCTCTAGACTCTAGATTGGACCTCCAGACTCTAGATTGGACATCCAGACTCGAAGTCCAGAATCTAGATTGTACGTCTAGAATCAAGCCGATCTAGCCGATCCAGCCGATCTAGCCGATCTAGAATCAAGCCGATCACTCTAAATCAAACGTCCGATCCAGATTTAGAGTGATCGGCTCCGATCTCTAGATCAGAGGTCCTATCAGTCTAAGTCGGGTGGATTTCTAGATCAGACGGATTTCTAGATCCGTAACATGTATCTCAACAACTGTAATCTCAAGTTTTTGTATTTCCAAGATCTTCTACCGTCTCCCGAACTCTTCAATCCTTCCCGTCGTCTCTAATCCATTCCATTCCATCCAATCTAATCTCCATTCCATTCTAAATTCCATCATCGCTTTTCATTTCTTTTTGCTCTTTTCCATAATCTTAGCCTAAAATCCTTGATTCTTCCAGTCTATCCTTGATTCTTCCAGCATCACTTTTTTCTACCATAATCTCTAATCTTTACATTCCAATCTTTCCTCTTGTCGCTCTTTCCCACCATTAACAATTAGCATTCGATTTTTAAATCTTTCTATGCAATTTGTCACTAATTTCTGACCAATAACCCTACTCATTTCTAGTTAATTCTGCTTGTTTGACTTGTTTAGACTTGTTTAGACTTGTCTAGACTTGTTTAAACTTGTTTAGACTTGTTTAGACTTGTCTAGACTTGTTTAAACTTGTTTAGACTTGTTTAGACTTGTTTAGACTTGTTTAAACTTGTTTAGACTTGTTTAGACTTGTTTAGACTTGTTTAGACTTGTTTAAACTTGTTTAGACCTTGTTTAGACTTGTTTAGACTTGTTTAGACTTGTTTAGACTTGTTTAAAATTGTTTAGACCTTGTTTAGACTTGTTTAGACTGGTTTAGACTTGTTTAACCTTGTTTAAACTTGTTTAGACCTTGTTTAGACTTGTTTAGACTTGTTTAGACTTGTTTAAAATTGTTTAGACCTTGTTTAGACTTGTTTAGACTGGTTTAGACTTGTTTAACCTTGTTTAAACTTGTTTAGACCTTGTTTAGACTTGTTTAGACTTGTTTAGACTTGTTTAGACTTGTTTAGACTTGTTTAACCTTGTTTAGACTTGATTAGACTTGTTTAGAGTTGTTTAGACTTGTTTAGACTTGTTTAAACTTGTTTAAACTTGTCTAGACTTGTTTAAACTTGTTTAAACTTGTCTAGACTTGTTTAAACTTGTCTAGACTTGTTTAGACTTGTTTAGACTTGTTTAGAGTTGTTTAGACTTGTTTAGACTTGTGTAAACTTGTCTAGACTTGTTTAGACCTTGTTTAGACTTGTCTAGACTTATCTAGACTTGTTTAAACTTGTTTAAACTTGTCTAAACTCGTCTAAACTTGTCTAAACTCATTCACAAAAAATTTTACCCTAGTTCTTGTCAAAATCGATTGTTTCTTTAAGAAAAAACAATGATTCTATAGATATTTATTAGTCTATAGATATTTAAAAAGCTCTAGAGCTCTAGATAATCAATTATTAAACTAAAAAAAGCTATAGATAAGCGATTATTAGTTATTTATCGATAAGCTATCGATATTTATCGATAAGCTATCGATATTTATCGATAAGCTATCGATATTTATCGATAAGCTATCGATAATCTATTAAATTCTATCGAAAACCCGTTAACTCTTTTGTAATAATCTTAGAAAAATCGAAAATCCGCGTCGCCGACTGTTTCGACCGCCGTTGTTTCGGTAAATGATTAGCAAAAAAAGCGTTTTTTTCTATTTTTTTTTCTTTTTCAAGTCCCTTGTGCGATTTATATCCCTGAAATTTTTTAGTTTTCTTTTGGATTACCAGATAAAAACCAGATAAAACAAAGCAAATACAAAAGAAAGAAATAGAAAGCTATGGCAGTAATTCTGTAGCTATTACTGTAGCTATTACTGTAGCTATTCTGTAGCTATTCTGTAGCTATCCTGTAGCTATTCTGTAGCTATTCTGTAGCTATTCTGTAGCTATTCTGTAGCTATTCTGTAGCTATTCTGTAGCTATTCTGTAGCTATTCTGTAGCTATTCTGTAGCTATTACTGTAGCTATTACTGTAGCTATTACTGTAGCTATTACTGTAGCTATTCTGTGGCTATTCTGTAGCTATTCTGTAGCTATTCTGTAGCTATTCTGTAGCTATTCTGTAGCTATTCTGTAGCTATTCTGTAGCCAAAATCAGAGCAAAATCTTTTTTTTTGAGTAAAAGTGTTAGCAATCGTTTCTCAACAATCATTTCTCAGCAATTCATTTGTTACGATTGTACTTTGTGCTCGAAACACACCCTTTCTAGTGCGCTGAATTCTTCAGTACGAACTGAAGTCTAAGCCTAAGTCTAAGCCTAAGTCTAAGCCTAACTCTAAGCCTGAGCCTAAGCCTAAGCCTAAGCCTGAGCTTCGACCATTTTCCAAATTTCAATCGATCAAAATCGCTTCCCAGCCAATAAGGCGGCGTCACAAGAGGGGAAGAAAAGAGCAGCGGTGGCCTAGTGGTTAGTGGGCTGGCGTAGAGAAAGGATGGGGGCGTGCCAGGCGGGTTCGACTCCCGTTACGGACAAGTTTTTGTTGAAAAACAGACAAATACTATTTTTAAGGTAAACTAACAGGAAACCCATTTCGCTAATGAGAAAACTGACAAGCTAGTTCACCAGAAAGGGTGTGTTTATCAAATTAGAGTACATAAAAGGATAAAGTACGTCAAAAAAGGATAAAGTACGTCAAAAAAGTACAAAGTACATCATAAAAAGTACAAAGTACAGGATAAAGATGATTTCTAGCTTATCTGGTACTCCAAAACCTTCTCAAATACTCACTTTTTTTAAGTTCAAAGTAGTGATTGCCGTTTTGTTCATCGTATTCCTGCGTTTTTTTTTCACTATTTTTCAACTTCTATCTTTCTTTTTCACTTTCTGTACTAAAAAGTACTAAAAAGTCTTTTTCAAATGTTTATCTAACCAAAAATTTCGGAATGGTTGAATTGGCTGAGGGAAAAGAAGAGTTTGAAGGAGCTGGACAGAGCTGGGCAGAGCTGGACAGAGCTGAGCAGAGCTGGACAGAGCTGGACAGAGCTGGACAGAGCTGGGCAGAGCTGGGCAGAGCTGGGCAGAGCTGGGCAGAGCTGGAGAGAGCTGGGCAGAGCTGGGCAGAGCTGGGCAGAGCTGGAGAGAGCTGGACAGAGCTGGACAGAGCTGGACAGAGCTGGACAGAGCTGAGCAGAGCTGGACAGAGCTGGACAGAGCTGGGCAGAGCTGGGCAGAGCTGGGCAGAGCTGGGCAGAGCTGGGCAGAGCTGGAGAGAGCTGGACAGAGCTGGGCAGAGCTGGAGAGAGCTGGAGAGAGCTGGACAGAGCTGAGCAGAGCTGGACAGAGCTGGACAGAGCTGAAAGATCTGAACAGAGCTGGACAGAGCTGGACAGAGCTGGACGGAGCTTTGATAAAGCATGAGCTGAAAGAAATTGGCTGAGAAATCGTTTAAGCTTTGAAGAATGTCTATCTAAAATGTGGGAAAAGTCGGAAACTCTATGGGAATTTACATTTTAGATTACTATAAGTAATCTAAAATTGATGGGCTATCTATTGTAGATCTATTTACAGTAATTCAATCTTTGTAGATTCTTGACTTCTTTCAAGATACAAGCTTTTTAATTTAAAGAAAATAGCGCTTAAATAGCGCTATTTAAGCTAATCTAAATGGTTTTAAAAGCTTTGAATGAATTCATTTTCTGTTTTCATCAAATTTTTAGTACAATTTACTGTAGCTGTAGCTACTGTAGCTGAGAAAAACCCTATCCTTTTCTGCTTTTCAGTTTGACGAGGAAGCGATCGGCCTCGTGAGAATGCGTTTGGTGAGTTTCCATCAAGCACAGCTCGACTCATTTCCTCTATTAGGCAATTTGCATACTGACAATTTGAATATTGGCAATTTGCATACTGGCAATTAGGCAATTTGCTGGACAGTTTGCTGGACAGTTTGCTGGACAAGTTGCTGGACAGTTTGCTGGACAGTTTGCTGGACAAGTTGCTGGACAGTTTGCTGGACAGTTTGCTGGACAGTTTGCTGGACAAGTTGCTGGACAAGTTGCTGGACAATTTGCTGGACAAGTTGCTGGACAGTTTGCTGGACAGTTTGCTGGACAATTTACTTAACAATTTGTCATCAATTGCCTTCAATTGTCTTCAATTGTCTTCAATTGCCTTCAATTGCCTTCAATTGTCTTCAATTGACTTCAATTGCCTTCAATTGACTTCAATTGTCTTCAATTGCCTTCAATTGACTTCAATTGCCTTCAATTGACTTCAATTGTCTTCAATTGTCTTCAATTGCCTTCAATTGCCTTCAATTGTCTTCAATTTACATTGTCATTTGCATTTAGAGAAGCAATAATCTATCGCATAGCGTGCATAGCGTGTTGTTAGTGTTTACTAGAACGCTACGCTACTACTTACAAGAGGAATGCCAACGTGTAGTGCCCAAAGCTATATAAGATTCGACGCTCAACAACAAACAACTCAATTTGACCCATTGCCTTCTTTTCTAAACGAATTCCCACTCAATAACTGCTTCAGCCACTGGGAAATCTGCTTATAAGCTTTAAAAGTCTATAGAAAGCTTTAAAATCCCATAGTAATTTCATAGAAATCCCATAGAAATCCCAAAACTTTAAACGCTTATAACTTTTGATAGAGTCCTCCATATCCAAAACCGAAAGCAGATTCGGATTCAGCGTGAAATTCTGCGTCGAATAGTATATAGCAATTGATTGACTTCCCTTGTAAATAGTCAAAAAACAAATGTTTTAGTGATTTCGTGTTGAGTTTGATTCACTGATTTCTTTTGCTTGTAAACGTTCCCTTTCTAGCGCACTGAAATCATCGTTTCTCAGCTTTCTCAGCTTTTCTCAGCTCAGGAAAGCTTTATTTCTGAAAGGAAACGAAAGAAAATCAATTGCGTAACTGGGAAATGGTGCGTTTACAAACAAAGAACAGTGTACTTTGTGCTCAAAAGTAAACGCTCACCTGTAAACGCACTTCTTCTAGCGTAAAGGAGATAGAAATTGTCTTTTTAATGCACTAGAAGCTAGAGAAATTGATTAAAAGTATAAAATGATAAAGTTTTATTGTTTAAAAGCTTGAAACGATAAAGTCTAAGGGTTTAAAAGGCTAAAATGATCAGTCTAAGGGTTTAAAAGCTTGAAATGATAAAGTCTAAGGGTTTAAAAGGCTAAAATGATCAGTCTTAGTGTTTAAAAGCTTGAAAAGATAAAGTCTTAGTGTTTAAAAGATGAAAAAACATCAAAAACATCAAAAACTCAGAAAAAATCAGAAAATTCATTAAAAATCAGCTTTAATCAACCATTTTTTCCAATCTCTGCATGATTTGAATGAAATTTCTGACAGATTTATTGATTATTTGCTTAAAATAGTAGAATTGTAAGTGTAAACAAGAAAAAAAAATCGACTTTTTCAATAGATTTCAACAAATTTCAATAGATTTCAATCAATTTTCAATCAATTTCAATAGATTTCAATAGATTTCAACAGATTTCAACAAATTTCAATCAATTTTCAATCAATTTCAATAAATTTGTCCTTTTTCTAGAGTTTGCATGCTTGTTTTTGTGGTTTGCGTCTATTTTTCTTTGACTTTTCTCCTCTTTTCCCCCAATTCTCTTTGAAATTCTGGTATTTGGAGTGAAAAAAAGTGTGTGAATAGTTAAAAAATGAAAAAAAATGAAAAAAAATGAAAAAAAATGAAAGAAAGCGAAAGAAAACGAAAGAAAACGAAAGAAAACTATAGAATTCGATAGAATTCGATAGAATAACTATAGAATTCTATACAATGACTATAGAAAACTATAGAATAACTATCGAATTCTATAGAATAACTCGAATTCTATCGAATTCTATAGAATAACTATCGAATCCTATAGAAAACTATAGAACAACTATCGAATTCTATCGAATAACTATAGAATTCGACCTATAGAAATCTCAATTTGTGAGAAATTGATCTTTTCTTTTAGAGAAGCTCGTCTTCTGGAGCAACGCGGAAAATCTCGGCGATGATCGATCGAAAATTCTCGCAATTTTTAACGAGAAAGAAAAGCTCGCCGAATGCTGAGAAAAACGGAGCGCCGGCTGTGGGTTTTTTATTGATTTATATCGAATTAAAGGATTTATATAGACATTTAAAGGGTTTATATCAATTTAAAGGCTTTATATCGAAATTTAAACGATTTATATCCAAATTTAAACGATTTATATCAATTTAAAGGGTTTATATCCAAATTTAAACGATTTACATCCAAATTTAAAGGCTTTATATCAATTTAAAGTGTTTATATCCAAATTTAAACGATTTATATCCAAATTTAAACGATTTATATCAATTTAAAGGGTTTATATCCAAATTTAAACGATTTATATCGATTTCAAGGACTCGGAGTAAGTAAAAAGTTACCCCAAGCCTACAATACCGAGGCTACAAAATCATAGGCTATAATACCGAGGCCACAATACCATAGGCGACAGTTTTACAAGTGAATTTCCAGGGTGGTGCTTTCTCTGGTGTTGAGAGGCCGGGAATGCTTGGCGGTCACACAAATACGATCCATTCTCTCAAAGAAGTTGACAGTGTAAGCATTTCAATTCTATCATTCAAATCAAATCTATCATTCTATCATTCTATAATTCAAACTTTATTAAAGTTCTTAGAGTCATGTCTTGCCTTAAAGTTCTACTGTAAATAGCTAGAAATCTACTGCTTTTGTACTTAAAGGTACCAGAGAGGTACTTTTGTGGCCAGAGAGGTACTTTTGTACCTCTCTGACTCACTTGAGCACGCCAGAAAGGATGCGTCTATTAAAGTACAAAGCAGTAGCTATTAGAAGCTCTATTAGAGGCTGTACTAGAGGCTAATCGAAGCTCTATTAGAGGCTGTACTAGAGGCTAATCGAAGCTCTATTAGAGGCTGTACTAGAGGCTAATCGAAGCTCTATTAGAGGCTGTACTAGAGGCTAATAGAAGCTCTATTAGAGGCTGTACTAGAGGCTAATAGAAGCTCTATTAGAGGCTGTACTAGAGGCTAATAGAAGCTCTATTAGAGGCTGTACTAGAGGCTAATAGAAGCTCTATTAGAGGCTGTACTAGAGGCTAATAGAAGCTCTATTAGAGGCTGTACTAGAGGCTAATAGAAGCTCTATTAGAGGCTGTACTAGAGGCTAATAGAAGCTCTATTAGAGGCTGTACTAGAGGCTAATAGAAGCTCTATTAGAGGCTGTACTAGAGGCTAATCGAAGCTCTATTAGAAGCTCTTTTAGAAGCTCTATTAGAGGATGTACTAGAGGCTAATAGAAGCTCTATTAGAAGCTCTATCAGATGCTCTTTTAGAAGCTCTATTAGAACCATTAGAGTATTTACAGTACTCTCAACATTACAGTAACTTTTTAGCACATCATTTAACTAATGTAATAGAATGATTATCACACCTGCATGGAGATTTCTGTTAAGAGCTTTGTAAGCAAAAGCTTTGCTAGCAAAAGCTTTGTAAGCAAAAGCTTTGTAAGGAAAAGCTTTGTCACCAAAAGATTTGTTGAAATCATTTGTGATTTGTTCAAATTTCCCTTTGTCTCTCTTTTATTTTTGATTGGGAATGGTGATTTCAGGACGGTGAAACGTCTCCACTAAACAATCATCAAGAAGTTCGATTCAATGATAGACGGGTGAGGATAGAATCCTGTAGAATCCAGTTTTCGGTTCAATTTTCATTGGGTGTACAATGGATTTGAGATTTGAGCATTTCTTGTCATTTTTTCAATCTTTCTTGCTTCATAGGTGTAGAATTTTCAAAGCTCTATCGTTTGGTCTGAAAAATTCTTGAAAAGTAGCCATTGAAGTGGGTAAATCTCGGTTTTTCCGTTGTAAACCTATAGACAATCAGACTACTAGACTGTACTAGACTGTACAAGACTGTACTAGACTGTACTAGACTGTACAAGACTGTACTAGAGTGTATTGAGCTAACAATAGATGAATATTTCCTTCAATTCTTGTTGCTTTCGTTTAAAACCCTTTGTCAATATGAAATGAGTCTTTTGAAAGCTTTCAAAGCTTAATTAGCTATTAGAAGTTGATAGAAGCTCTATTAGAACCATTAGAAGTTGATAGAAGCTCTATTAGAACCATTAGAAGTTGATAGAAGCTCTATTAGAACCATTAGAAGTTGATAGAAGCTCTATTAGAACCATTAGAAGTTGATAGAAGCTCTATTAGAACCATTAGAGCTTTCACTACCATTAAAGCTTTCACCAATAACTAATAAAGCTTTCAAAAGCTTTCGAAAGCTTTCAAAAGACATTTCTGCATTTCAAAAGGCATTCCCGAGTGACTCGTCCTTTTCAGTTAAACTTTTTGTTCAAAAAAATAGAAACACATACTTTCTAGTGCACTGAATTCTTCATTTTCTTCTTGGACTAGCTATTTCTATAAAGAAATGAAGAACTCATTGAACTAAAAAGCAAATAGAAGTGGTGGACTTTCCGTTTTACTTCAAACAACGTTTTACACGAGCTTTCTTTGATTTTTACACGATTTTCCAATGTTTTTTTGATCAATAAGAACAGTAGACTGTACAAGACTGTACTAGACTGTACTAGACTGTACTAGACTGTACAAGACTGTACTAGACTGTACTAGACTGTACTAGACTGTACTAGACTGTACAAGACTGTACTAACCCATTGTAGAGTGCTGTAAGGATCCTGTAAAGCCAATATTGGATCCATATTGGAACCAAATAACAGAAAGGAATCATATTGGAACCATATTGGAACCATATTGGAACCAAATAACAGGAAGGAACCATATTGGAACCATATTGGAGCCATATTGGAACCATATTGGAACCACATTGGAACCAAATAACAGGAAGGAACCATATTGGAACCATATTGGAACCATATTGGAACCAAATAACAGAAAGGAACCATATTGGAACCATATTGGAACCAAATAACAGAAAGGAACCATATTGGAACCATATTTGAACCAAATAAGAGAAAGGAACCATATTGGAACCATATCGGAACCAAATAAGAGAAAGGAACCATATTGGAACCATATTGGAACCATATTGGAACCATATTGGAACCAAATAACAGAAAGGAACCATATTGGAACCATATTTGAACCAAATAAGAGAAAGGAACCATATTGGAACCATATCGGAACCAAATAAGAGAAAGGAACCATATTGGAACCATATTGGAACCATATTGGAACCAAATAACAGGAAGGAACCATATTGGAGCCATATTGGAACCATATTGGAACCAAATAATAGGAAGGAACCATATTGAAACCAAATAACAGAAAGGAACCATAATGGAACTGTTGCACAAGAACAAATCAATTAAATTATCATTAAAATCATTTTTATAACATTTTATAACATTTTAAAACATTTTAGAACATTTAAACAACAAAAATTCTCTAGGTAAGCTCACCGGTGAGCTCAAATTCGGATTACCGAAAAAAGATCTCAAATGAGGAGTCGATTAGCAACAAGAAAGGATCAGTGAGCCTACGAGGACGAAAACTTTCCTTTGCCGGGATTTCATTAAAGGTAATGACGTAAATTCGGCGAAATTCGGCTAAATTTTCGATTAAAACAAAAGGATTGTTGGTAATTTTGGATTTTTGACGAAAATCGATGAATTTTAAACGAAAATCGAAGAAAATTGAAGAAAATCGAAGAAAATCAAAGAAAATCGAAGAATTTTTAGAGCGGTGGCTCGGCGGAGACAATCCAGCTGCAGAATAATGCGCAAATCTATACGAAAACTGCTGTTTACAAGGTTTGAAAGACATTCATTGCGATTTCCTTCTTAGATTAGATAATTTAAACCATTGACTTTTTAGGGTACAATGGTGGCGATCAAATCGCTAGCGATAGACACGAAAAAGTACCCAAAGCTCGAGATGTCTCGTGCGATGTTGATGGAGTTTAAGAAGATGAAGGATTTACAACATGATCATATCACAAGGTAATCGTGATACTAAAGACTAAGGAAAACGGTCCAGACCAGCCCAGATCGGCCCAAGTCGGCCCAGATCGGCCCAAGTCGGCCCAGATCGGCCCAAGTCGGCCCAGATCGGCCCAAGTCGGCCCAGATCGGCCCAAGTCGGCCCAGATCGGCCCAAGTCGGCCCAGATCGGCCAAGATCGGCCTAGATCGGCCTAGATCGGTCCAGATCGGCCTAGATCGACCCAGATCGGCCCAGATCGGCCAAGATTGGCCTAGATCGACCCAGATCGGCCCGGATCGGCCTAGATCGGCCCAAGTCGGCCCAGATCGGCCCAAGTCGGCCCAGATCGGCCCAAGTCGGCCCAGATCGGCCCAAGTCGGCCCAGATCGGCCCAAGTCGGCCCAGATCGGCCCAAGTCGGCCAAGATTGGCCTAGATCGACCCAGATCGGCCCGGATCGGCCTAGATCGGCCCAGATCGACCCAGATCGGCCTAGATCGGCCTAGATCGGCCAAGATCGGCCTGGATTCTGGCCTGGATCTGACCTGGATCTGGTCTAGATTCTGACCCGGACCTGGCCTGGATTCTGGCCGGGATTCTGGCCTGGATTCTGGCCTGGATCTGGCTCTAATCTTGGCATTGCCTAGCCTAGCCTAAACCCTGCCAATCCATGAGTTTCTAACAACTCACTAGCAAAAATGTTTTCTAGATTCACGGGTGCTTGCGTCGATTGTCCTCATTACTGCATTGTGACCGAGTATTGTCCAAAGGGATCACTAGAGGACATTCTGGAGAACGATAAAATCGAGTTGGACAAAATGATGAAGTATTCATTGTTGCACGATCTCGTTAAGGTAAATGCAAAAGGTTTTAAAGGAAAAGATTTGTACAATCGTTTACAATTGGTATTTTCGTCTACAATTGCTAGTTTCGTCTACAACTCTAAGGATAAGATTTAGCAGAATTTTACGCTGATTCCGAATCTGTTTTCGGTTTTTCTCTACGATTTCTGTAACTCGAGATATCTGGAATAGAAGTCGAGTAGAGAAAAAGGGGGAAATTTCGAGGAGGATGGATTTAGGATGGTTTTTTCTGGGGAGGGCATGGTGATTGGATAGTCTAGTGGTTAAGAGACTCGCTTACAAAACGATCGTTCCTTCTCCCTCCTCGAGTTCGATTCCGACTCTCATTTTTTTGTGAAAATTAGATTTTCTTTGTTTCAAATCCCAAAATCAGTTAAAATTTGGGTGTAAAAGAACAAAATTATTTAAAAACCATTCCAGGGTATGTACTTCTTGCACAACTCCGAGCTGCGTACTCATGGGAAGTTGAAGTCGAGCAACTGTGTCGTTGATAGTCGTTTCGTGCTCAAAGTTTGTTTTAGATGCGAATTTTTGTGATTTTTGTGATATATTTGAATTGATTTATTCGAAGATTACTATTTAAACGGTGAATTTGTCTAGGTGACTGATTTCGGCCTTCACAAGCTTCACGCCCTCGAAGAGCACAATATTGAGGAGATCGGCGAGCACGCTTTTCACAAGAGTTCGTTTTTCGTTTGAAAATACAGTACACAGTACAGAGTACAGTACAGAGTACAGTACAGAGTAGAGTACAGAGTACAGTACAGAGTACAGTACAGAGTAGAGTACAGAGTACAGTACAGAGTAGAGTACAGAGTACAGTACAGTACAGAGTACAGTACAGAGTACAGTAGTACAGAGTACAGTAGTAGAGAGTACAGTACAGAGTACAGTACAGTACAGAGTACAGTACAGAGTACAGTACAGAGTACAGTACAGAGTACAGTACAGAGTACAGTACAGAGTACAGTACAGTACAGAGTACAGAGTACAGTACAGTACAGAGTACAGTAGTAGAGAGTACAGTACAGAGTACAGTACAGTACAGAGTACAGTACAGAGTACAGTACAGAGTACAGTACAGAGTACAGTACAGAGTACAGTACAGTACAGAGTACAGTACAGTACAGAGTACAGTACAGTACAGAGTACAGTTCAGTACAGTACAGTACAGAGTACAGTACAGTACAGAGTACAGTACAGTACAGAGTACAGTACAGTACAGAGTACAGTACAGTACAGAGTACAGTTCAGTACAGAGTACAGTACAGTACAGAGTACAGTACAGTAGTACAGAGTACAGTAGTACAGAGTACAGTAGTACAGAGTACAGTAGTACAGAGTACAATACAGTACAGAGTACAATACAGTACAGAGTACAATACAGTACAGAGTACAATACAGTACAGAGTACAATACAGTACAGAGTACAATACAGTACAGAGTACAATACAGTACAGAGTACAATACAGTACAGAGTACAATACAGTACAGAGTACAATACAGTACAGAGTACAGTACAGTACAGAGTACAGTACAGTACAGAGTACAGTACAGTACAGAGTACAGTTCAGTACAGTACAGTACAGAGTACAGTACAGTACAGAGTACAGTACAGTACAGAGTACAGTACAGTACAGAGTACAGTACAGTACAGAGTACAGTTCAGTACAGAGTACAGTACAGTACAGAGTACAGTACAGTACAGAGTACAGTACAGTAGTACAGAGTACAGTAGTACAGAGTACAGTAGTACAGAGTACAGTAGTACAGAGTACAATACAGTACAGAGTACAATACAGTACAGAGTACAATACAGTACAGAGTACAATACAGTACAGAGTACAATACAGTACAGAGTACAATACAGTACAGAGTACAATACAGTACAGAGTACAATACAGTACAGAGTACAATACAGTACAGAGTACAATACAGTACAGAGTACAATACAGTACAGAGTACAATACAGTACAAATCTTAACGGGATAGCGAAATCGTCCCAGTTTGGACAATTCCCTTGTCTAGGAGAGCAGTCAAACTAGGTCATGCAACCCAAAACTAGTCCAGGTCGAGAAGATCGCTCTAACTTCTCAATCCAGCGACTTTGAGAACCAGGACCTAGGCCTAAGCCTGAGCCTAAGCCTGAGCCTAAGCCTGAGCCTAAGCCTAAGTCCAAGCCATACTAGACCAGAAAGCAAGCCTGACCTAGAAACTTGTCCTGAAACAGCTCTTCAAATAACAGAGAATATGGAAATAGACTTAAAACCAAGAAATCTATCAATATTAAACAGTTTTCAGTATGAATTTCTTTCAGAAAAGCTGTGGACAGCGCCTGAATTGCTCCGTGACACGAATCCGCCCATTCAGGGGACACAAAAGGGAGATATTTACTCATTCGCGATTATTTTGCATGAAATGATTTGGAGAAGAGGAGTGTTTTCTCTTGAGAATGAGCATTTGAGTCCACAAGAGATCGTCGATCGAGTCAAGAAACCGCCGATTTCTGATGATGAGCTCTTTCGACCGTTTGTTCCCGAGCCACAAGAAGGTGAGGCTTTTAGACAAGCCATTATATGCTATTGTCTTGACTTTGACTTCATCTTCAGCTTCATCTTCAGCTTTAGCTTGAGCTACTGTAAAGAACAGGAGCCCTTTGACTATGTACACCAAGATCCAGCCACTAAGTACGCTCAATACAAAGTACAGCCCTCTAGGGCTCCTGCTCTTTACAGTAGCTCAAGCTAAAGCTGAAGATGAAGCTGAGGCTAAGGCTGAAGCTAAGGCTAAAGCTAAGGCTGAAAATGAAGCTGAAGATGAAGATAAAGCTGAAGATAAAGCTGAAGCTAAGGCTGAAGCTAAGGCTGAAGCTAAGGCTGAAGCTCAAGCTCAAGCCCAAGCTCAAGCTGAAGATGAAGCTGAGGCTAAAGCTCAAGCTAAAGCTCAAGCTAAAGCTCAAGCTAAAGCTCAAGCTAAAGCTCAAGCTAAAGCTCAAGCTAAAGCTCAAGCCAAAGCTGAAACTGAAGCTCAAGCTAAAGCCCAAGCTAAAGCCCAAGCTCAAGCCCAAGCTCAATCTAAAGCTCAAGCCCAAGCTAAAGCTCAAGCTCAAGCCAAAGCTCAAGCCAAAGCTCAAGCTAAAGCTCAAGCTAAAGCTCAAGCCAAAGCTCAAGCCAAAGCTCAAGCTAAAGCTCAAGCTAAAGCTCAAGCCAAAGCTCAAGCCAAAGCTCAAGCTAAAGCTCAAGCTCAATACCAACTCTGCGACAATTTACGATCAAATCTTTAAGGAGAAGAGCCAGAAGAGAGCTCGCTGATCGATTTGATGCATATGTGTTGGGCGGAGAACCCCACAGAGCGCCCTGACTTCAGCTTTGTTCGAAAAGTGGTCCGGAGTCTCAACAAGTGAGTGCAAAACAATCTATTGAGAAATTCTAGTTCTACAATTGGTTCTAGAGAAAATGAGACGTCAAACCTGGTGGACAACTTGTTGAAGCGGATGGAGCAATATGCGAACAATTTGGAGGGACTTGTTGAAGAAAGAACTCAAGAATATCTGGCTGAGAAGAAGAAAGTCGAGGAATTGCTTCATCAATTGTTGCCTCCATCAATCGCTGATCAAGTGGGTGGAAGGATGCTGATGGGCGCTGTAACTCTGCTACAGTAATCCCTGGCTACAGTAGTCCCTAGCTACAGTAATCCCTGGCTACAGTAGTCCCTAGCTACAGTAATCCCTGGCTACTCTTTAGCTAGGCTACAGTAATCCCTGTCTTTAGTTGATAGCCGGTAAAGCTGTCCAAGCTGAACAATATGAGAGTGTCACTATCTATTTCTCGGACATCGTCGGCTTCACCTCATTATCCAGCATGTCTACACCAATGCAGGTAAAAGAGATTCATAAAAATCATTGCAAAATCATTGCAAAATCATTGCAAAACTCTAATAAAGTATTAAATACCAGTTTCACTGTAGAAAGCTATCACAAAACCTAGATAAAGCTCAATTTAAGGTCGTCACCCTTCTCAACGATCTCTACATGGCGTTTGACGGAGTGGTCGACAACTTTAAGGTAATAAAGGCTAACCAGAGTACAGTAATCTCGATCTATTGTAACCTGAGCCTAGCTAGGCTACAGTAGTCTCGATCTATCGTAACCTAAACCCATCCAGACTACAGTAATCTCTCTCTACTGCAACCTAAACCCATCCAGACCACCGTAATCTCGATCTATCGTAGCCCAAACCCATCCAGACTACCGTAATCTCTCTCTACTGTAACCTAAACCCATCCAGACTACCGTAATCTCTCTCTACTGTAACCTAAACCCATCCAGACTACAGTAATCTCTCTCTACTGCAACCTAAACCCATCCAGACTACCGTAATCTCTCTCTACTGCAACCTAAACCCATCCAGACTACAGTAATCTCTCTCTACTGCAACCTAAACCCACCCAATATGATCCAAATTGGAGAATAGACTACTGTAACTGATCGTAAAGGGAAGACGATCGAAACTTCCACTCCCTTCTGCAGTAACATCACCGTTAAGTAACGATGATCCCTCAATTGGACCTTAAATTGGTCCCTAATTGGTCCCTAATTGGTCCCTAATTGAGTCTATAACTTGATATCTTAGTATGATACTAGAAATTTCTAGGTTTACAAAGTGGAGACAATTGGTGACGCCTACATGGTGGTTTCCGGTTTACCGGAAAAGAGAGACGATCACGCGTCACAGATCGCGCAAATGAGCATCGCTTTATTGCATAAGGTGAAAAACTTTGTGATTCGACACCGACCAAACGAGCAGCTCAAGTTGCGGATTGGGATGCATTCGGGTGAGTTTAGACAAGTTCTAGCTCTAGTTCTAGCTCTAGTCCTTGTTCTGGTTCTTGTTCTGGTTCTTGCTTTTGTTCCAGTTCTAGTTCTGGATCTGGTTCTAGCTCTCGTTCTTGTTTTTCTTCTTCTTCTTCTTCTTCCTCTTCTTCTTCTTCTTCTTCTTCTTCCTCTTCTTCTTCTTCTTCTTCTTCTTCCCCTCTTCTTCTTCTTCTTCTTCTTCTTCCTCTTCTTCTTCTTCTTCTTCTTCTTCCTCTTCTTCTTCTTCTTCTTCTTCTTCTTCTTCTTCCTCTTCTTCTTCTTCTTCCTCTTCTTCTTCTTCCTCTTCTTCCTCTTCTTCCTCTTCTTCCTCTTCTTCCTCTTCTTCCCTCTTCTTCCTCTTCTTCCTCTTCTTCCTCTTCTTCCTCTTCTTCCCCTCTTCTTCCTCTTCTTCTTTCAATAGCAATTCTAAAACCGAATTCCAGGCTCGGTGGTGTCTGGTGTGGTTGGCTCAAAGATGCCAAGATATTGCCTATTCGGTGACACTGTCAACACCGCATCGAGAATGGAAAGCAACGGGCTGCGTGAGTCTTTTTGAGAATAGTTAAACCTAAATCTAATGCTAGAAATTGACACAAAACTGTTTCTAATTTCTTCAGCTCTTCGAATTCACGTGTCAACAGAGGCGAAAGAAATGCTCACCGTTGACCCCGGTTTCCGGTTGGATCTCCGCGGCGAAGTGGAGATGAAAGGAAAGGGAAGACAAACGACGTATTGGCTAAAGGTGAGAGAATTTCGCTTCTTTAAACGCCCATTTTATAGAGTCAGCCATGGGGACCTCAAATCCGTTTTTATTTTTTTGCGAAACGCTTCGCAAAGGCGAGATATTTAGCATAGAAAATCTTGAATTTCGAACTCCGAGCTCGTTCTGAAACTGTCACAGACTTAGCTGCTTCGGTGATCTGTTATATTCTTTTAGACTGGATAGTCTATTAGACTGGATAGTCTGTTAGACTTTAGACTGGATAGTCTGTTAAACCTGTTACATTCTTTTCTCTCAAGTTCGAGTCCCACTCTCGTTCTGCAAAAACTATAAACGGATTCGAGAACCCCACTCTATAAAATTTAGTCTCGAGTCAGCTTGATTGCTTGAAAAAGCTCTAGATAGATCTAGCCAAGTCTAGATAGGTCTAGCCAAATCCAGAGAGGTCTAGCCAAGTCTAGATAGATCTAGCCAAGTCTAGAGAAGTCTAGCCAAGTCCAGAGAGGTCTAGCCAAGTCTAGATGGATCTAGCCAAGTCTAGAGAGGTCTAGCCAAGTCTAGATAGGTCTAGCCAAATCCAGAGAGGTCTAGCCAAGTCTAGATAGATCTAGCCAAGTCTAGAGAAGTCTAGCCAAGTCCAGAGAGGTCTAGCCAAGTCTAGATAGATCTAGCCAAGTCTAGATAGGTCTAGCCAAATCCAGAGAGGTCTAGCCAAGTCTAGAGAAGTCTAGCCAAGTCCAGATAGGTTTAGCCAAGTCTAGAGAGCTCTAGCTAAGTCTAGAGAAGTCTAGCCAAGTCCAGAGAGGTCTAGCCAAGTCTAGATAATCCTGAAGCTTTGTTTTTGTATCTGAGTTGGACTGGATTTGGATTTAAAGCCATAATTTAGCCTTTAAAGCCTTGAGCCATAATCAAACCTTTCCAGGGTTACAACGGGATCGACATTCCGGATTTCGGGCCAGACTTCCGGTGACCTCAAAGAAAAAAGAGCAAAACGTGATCGAAGTGGGAAACTTTTCTTTTTACGTCAAAAATCGGGTCTTTTTCTTTTCCATTCTCAACATTTCTTGCCTAATCAAAACGATTTTTTCCTCAAAATTCGTTTAAATCTTCTAATTCTTCTAATTCTTCTAACTCTTCTGATTCTTCTAACTCTTCTAACTCTTCTAACTCTTCTAATTCTTCTAATTCTTCTAACTCTTCTAATCCTTCTAATTCTTCTAATTCTTCTAAAATTCTTCTAAATCTTCTAATTCTTCTAATTCTTCTAATTCTTCTAAATCTTCTAATTCTTCTAATTCTTCTAATCCTTCTAATTCTTCTAAATCTCCACCAACTCAGCGAGTTTCCCCCGAATTTCTGTTTAGGATTTTCTCATTTTTAAATCCCTAAAAAGCGATAAATGTTTTAGAATACTGTGGCAGTAACTGTAATGCCAGTAATCTTATTCTTATCTTGTTCTTATCTTGTTCTTATCTTATTCTAAATCCTAACTCAGTGCCTACTTTTTCCCCATTGAAGCTGAATTTCCCCATTTCTTATTGGTGGCCTTGTTTTAACAGTTTTCCATTTTGAGGAGAGAGGATTAAAAGGATTCAGAGACAAAAAAACAGTAACTTTTAAGTAAATCTAAAGTTTTATTGATATTACCTATAGTTTTATAGATATTACCTATAGTTTTATCGGTTTTTAGACGGACTACAGTCGTCTAAGACACTCTAAACAGACTACAGTCGTCTAGAACACTCTAAACGGACTACAGGACACTCTAAACAGACTACAGTCGTCTAGGACACTCTAAACGGACTACAGTCGTCTAGAACACTCTAAACGGACTACAGGACACTCTAAACAGACTACAGTCGTCTAGGACACTCTAAACGGACTACAGTCGTCTAGAACACTCTAAACGGACTACAGGACACTCTAAACAGACTACAGTCGTCTAGGACACTCTAAACGGACTACAGTCGTCTAAGACACTCTAAACGGACTACAGTCGGACACTCTAAACGGACTACAGTCGTCTAGGACACTCTAAGACAGTAAAACTCTAAGCTAGAGTACTCTAGAAGTTTCTAGAAGCTAGAGTACTCTAGAACTCTAGAATCTACAATAGTTCGAGATCTCAAACGGTTACATGCCTCAGACGACTCTAGACTTTAAAATCTTTGTATTCACTCGAAAATTTAAGCCTAGAATCCTTGAAATCCTTGAAATTCTTGAAAAATCCTTGAAATCCTCGATTCTCTCTTCATAAAACTCATCTAAAGATACTGTAAAGCCAAATTTACGACAGTATACTGTATTAACTGACGATCTTTGTAGCCTGTAGACTGTAGATCTTTGTGGTTTACTGCAGCCGAAAAGGAAAAACCCTCAGGCTTTACAGTACCCAAAATGAAATCCCCCAAATACCGGTGTAAACTATTCGAAATTCGAATTTGAATTTGATAAAATCAATCATTTTTCTTCATTTTTAAATAAACTTTCCCGCTTGATAACAAAAGAAGGGAGTGGGACATTTGCGCACCTTCTTTTTGCGCGCCTGGACATTTGCGCACCTTTTTGGCAAATGTCCTTAGGGGAAAAGGCCTTAGGAAAGGTCGTAGAGCTCTATAGAGCTTCAAAAATGTTTTCATAGCAGGGAATCGTATGCGTAGATTCAGAATTTTGACAAATTTGACGTGTCAGCGAGGTGTGATTTGTCGAAATTCGGAATCTACGCATACGATTCCCTTATGTGGAAAGATTTTCGAAGCTCTACCGCCTTGCCTAGCCTTGCCTAAAGCCAAGCTCTACGGCTTTTCCTAAAGCCTTTTCCAGCAAAGAAAAAAAAGGTGCGCAAATGTCCAGGTGCGCAAAAAAAAGGGCATAAATGTCCAGGTGCGCAAAAAAAGGCGCATTTGTCCCACCCGCCAAAAGAAAAATGAACCGAAAAAAAAAACGGGTGAACACGGTCGAAAAATATGTGTATTTGAGTTATTTTCCCCGATTTATTTAACTTTTAATACTTAATTTTTCCATTCTTTTTATTCGTTTTGTTCGTTTTATTCTTTTTATTTGTTTTATTCTTTTTATTCTTCTTCTTCTTTGTCTTCTTCTTTTTATTCGTTTTATCCTTTTTATTCTTTCCATTCTTTCCATTCTTTCCATTCGTTTTATCCTTTTTATTCGTTTTATTCTTTTTATCCTTTTATTTTCTTACTGTACATAGAATGAATTCAATTTTCTTTGATTTCAAAATACTCAGCGATCCAGTGAAAGAAAAAAAAACCGATTAGCGACAGTGTTGTGATCGTTTTTTTGTTGATTTTGTTTAATATTTGATGTAATTTTTGTATTTTTTCAAATCTATTTCAATTCCCGATGTTGAAAATGTGATTTATGAGCGATTTTGTTTTCGTTTTTTCGTTTTTTCATTGATTGTCCGTATTTTTTTTTTGATTCGCAAAGGAATAAAGAGTTCTAGTAAAAAGAAGCTCAACAAAAGCAAATTTAGATAATTCGACGATCATTTAGATGATTTAGATGATTTAGATGATTTAGATGATTCAGATCATTTAAATCATTTAGATTATATTGGATTGTCCAGTTATGAATGCGCGTTTTTTACTATTTTGTAAATTTCTCAAGATACCGAAATCAAGAAAAAGATATATATGAGTATTATTCGAAAGCTCAAGATCTCCTCTACATTTTGATATAAAAAGTTTTTGAATTTGTTCAGCTTTTGGGCAAATTGACTGCACAGAAGAAGAGGTGGCCAAAAAAATGGAAGCGTGACTTTGGCTCCGCTCAAATTGAGTTAACCGTTTGATGTTTGGCCAATAGATATATCAATACAACTTTTTTTTTAATATAACAATTTCAGAGCATCTTTTCTTTTCTTTTCTGGGCGGTTATTTTACACCATAAAACTTGAGGAATAGCTACGCTGGAATGGGTTTTTTCGAAAGCGACCTCTCCCTTTGTGCAGTCAATTTCCCCAAAAAGTTGAATGAATTCAAAAAGATTTTTATTCCAAAATGTAGAGGAGATCTTCAGCTTTCGAATGATATATGACACTCATATAAATCTGTTCGATACCTTGAGAAATTTACAAAATAGTAAAAACGCGCATTCATAACTGGACAACCCAATAGATATATCAAATCAAAATCCATTCACAAACTTCCAAATGAATCCTAGATCAAAGTTGACGATTAGGCAAGTACATGCTTTGCTTAGGCTCATTGAGCCTGAGCTTTTGTTTGCTGAGCCTAAGCCAACACTGGTAATTAGGGTGTGATGCGAGTAAATAATTAGGTTAATTTTGTTAATCATTCAAGACCAAACATCAAAAGATCAAACAAGACCAACAATTAAATGATAACAGCATAAAAAACACCAAAATAGCATAAAATTAATAATCCAAGAGACTCTGAAAAATTATAACACTAGCGATGATGAACATAAACGGCTAGAGCTTTCCGTAGTGGAAAAGAATTGAGTTTTCTACTCAACACAGCTAATTTACGATCCAGATGCGACTTATGAGTATGAGGATTTTGAGGATTTAATTGTGCCAACGTGGACTGCTTGTATTGTACAATTTCTTTGACGGGGACACGATCTTTGCTTGCATCTAACCTCTTCGCACACAATTCGATTCTAAAAACGCATTTAATACACAAGCAACAATGTCTTAATCATCTACCTGTTTTTTGCTTTCTGGTGGCAAGTGGTCGTGCTTTTTCATTGCCGTAAGAATACCGGTTGCTTTGTTTTAATGGCTTTGACCATAACATTTCGTCTTTGAACACCTAAAAAGAAACAGAACTGGGTATTACAAGATAACTTATACTTCATTTACCTATACGATCTTTGCTTGCATTTAGCATCTTCATGCCCAATTCGAATATAAAAACGCATTTATTACATAAGCAATAATGTCTTGATCATCTTCTGTTTACAATTTCTTTCACAGGAACAGAATCTTTGCTTGCATTTAACATCTTCGTACACAATTCGATTCTAAAAACGCATTTATTACACAAGCAACAATTTCATAATCATCTACCTGTTTTTTGCTTTATGGTGGCAAGTGGTCGTGCTTTTTTTATTGCCGTAAGAATATCGGTTGCTTTGTTTTACTGTTTGCTTTTGTTGCTTTGGCCATAACATTTCGTCTTTGAACACCTAAAAAGAAACAGAACTAGGCATTACAAGATAACTTCTACTTCATTTACCTAACTCAAAAGTACACCGCATTTAAATCCTTTGTCCTTTTGATATTCGAATCCATCTGTGTCTGTGGCCGCGCCTTTCGGCTTGTTATTCTACCTAGACAAATGAATTAATAACTAACAAACCAGAAAGCTGATAAAACCATGTCAATAAATCATCTTACTATAGCATCTTACTATAGCATCTTACTATAGCATCTTACTATAGCATCTTACTATAAAGCTGATAAAATATACCTTAACCTTCACGTTTGTCCTTTTGAAACACGCAGCAAAACCTCGTTCGATTGTGATTGATCGATTACCTGCAAAATGAAAATGCTAAATGGCTAGACGAACAAAGTTATGCTGTTAAAGCTGTTAAAATATCTGTTAAAGCTGTTAAAATATATAATAAAGCTGTTAGAATATACCTCAAAACTCCAGGTCAGTGATGATAAGCAACGTCACGACGATGATGAGCATGCAGCAACGTCACGACCAAGATGAGCATGCAGCAACGTCACGACGATGATGAGCATGCAGCAACGTCCCACTCGGTTTCAGATTGCTGTTACCTGCAAAAATAAAAAGTTAGTAAAAACGTTGAAAAAACAGGTCGTAAAAGGAGAAAGTTTGATGTTTTTTTGGTTAAAATCACTTTAATAAATCGCTACCATGAGTTTCTATGCGTAAAACTTAAAAAATCAGATTCTCCACCTCTTTTTACCCTAAAAACATAAAAAGCGAACAGGAAAAGTTAAAAACAGCAAAGTAAAAGCAAAAGCAAAAGTCGAGTTTTGGGTGACGCTGTTTTTGGCGGCGTTGTTTTGCAAATGGATCCAAATAATGACTATAATCACTCGAGTAAAGTTTCCATGAGTCATTTTTATTCGATTAACCGGCGTTTTTTGTCGAGTAACTACGAGTGATCCTCTTTACGCGTCGAATAAATTGAATATCATTATATTCGACGTGAATTTGTCACCAACTCAATTTAAAAGCTGAATATCTTTACATTTGAAGGGAATCTACCGCCAAATCAGTTAAATGGGGAGTGGGACAAATGCGACCTTTTTTTTGCGCACCCGGACATTTGCACACTTTTTTTTCCGCACCTTGCCCATTAGTGCACCTTTTTTCGCGTTTTAAAAAAGCTCTAAAAAGCTAATATTAACCAATTTCTATTCCAAATGTTGTTTTTCTAGGTAATTTGAGGGTGTCGAATTCAAATTTTGACATAACACAGCGCGTGTGACACGCGACAATGTGACAATTTTGACAGCGCGTGTGAAACCAATTTGAAAGACAAAACGGCTAGATCAAATTACAAAAAATTGTCGATCTTTCTCTTTGTATAACTCCGTCCGTTCGCTTCCACAAGCTCACACGCTTCACACGCTCTGTTATGTCAAAATTTCGATTCTACGCCCTAAAATTACCTAGAAAAACAACTTTTGGAATAGAAATTGATTAATATTAGCTTTTTAGAGCTTTTTTAAAACGCGAAAAAAGGTGCGCTAATGGGTAAGGTGCGGAAAAAGGGTGCGCTAATGGGTAAGGTGCGGAAAAAGGGTGCGCAAATGTCCGGGTGCGCAAAAAAAGGTCGCATTTGTCCCACTCCCGTTAAATGGCTGAATAGCTGAATATTTGACGAGAATCTGCCACCAAATCATTTTTAAAAGCTGAATATCTTTACATTTGAAGGGAATCTGCCACCAAATCATTTTTAAAAGCTGAATATCTTTAAAAGCACTCATATATAAGTCGGCGCTTGTGATTTTTTACCCCAATTTACGCTACAATTACAATTTTAACAAATTTTTGTTAAAAGTACGATAACTTTCCCCAAGTGTTCGTTTAAAAAAGCATTACTCGGGAGAAACACTATTTATCTACTCGGGAGAAACACTCAGTTGATAAAACTTCGCATAAAAGTACGAAAGGCTACTATAAAGGTTTTTCTTTGAAATGCTTGTAGCATTTTCTGAGCAATATTAGCAATAACTATTTTAAATCCTCAATATATAAGCTCGATCTTGTAGCTCTGTCAATTTTAAATTAATTTTTAATATCATATATACACGTGTCTAATTGTAGTTGTGTTTGTATATCAATTATCTTTCTTCGTCTACGCTGTTCAATCTGTTTGCATTGTCACTTTTCCTTGTCGGATAAAGTATATATATATATGCTGTAGAACTGGGTTCCTAATAAGTGCCTTTCGAAGCCACAGGCATCGGGTCACTCACGGGCCATCCCATTGGCATTCTCTTCTACCAAAACCTCACCACCACAGGTCACTCACTCCCCACGGCTCACCACCAATTGTCTCTTTTTTTTGATCTACATTCCCCAAGAATTGTCGCCTTCCATATCTTTAGGCGTTTTCTGTCATTTTGAACTGATTTTGTTGTAATTGTTGTTGTTGTTATTGGTAATTTATCAAGATTGTCTTTAATCTTTACTGAGTACAGTCAATCCTATTGCACCAAAGCTAGGAGATCCAACATTTCAAGTTGACTCACGGTTCCTATTTTCATCTAATAGGTTCCAATACGGTTCCAATAGCATCAGCCTACCGTAGCCTTGGTACAGTAGTAGCTGCGGTTACCGGTAGGGTTAAAGCTTTTAGTTGGCTACAGTACTTCAAGACTACAGTACTTCAAGACTACAGTACTCTAGGGTTAGGCTCTCTAAATCCTACCGTAGCCTTAGAGTACAGAGTTGTTGAAGCCAACGATTCCAGAGTCGTTGAATGCTTTTGCTACATTGCTACAAATGCTACAGTACACCAGGACTACGGTAGGCTTAAAGTTTTATGAGTACTGGGGTACTAAAAATCTACTCGCAATGGTAACTGTAGCTGTAGCTATTCAACTGTAGCTGTAGCTATTCAACTGTAGCTGTAGCTATTCAACTGTAGCTGTAGCTATTCAACTGTAGCTGCTACTGTACCAAGTACTACTACAGAGCTGTAAGAAACGAATTTACAAGTACTGTATCTATTTGATCTATCTATTTAATTCTATATTCCTTTTCATAAAGGTTATAGCAATTTTCCAAATCATAATTTCACATTTTCAATAGAAAAATGACTTTATAAGGTTGTCGGAAAGGCTTGTTCGCTTTTTTAAAGGATACTTTTTGATTTACTTTTTAAAATCAATCATAAACTAATCGATTTATGATTTGAAATCTATTATTTATTTATAAATTGTCCTTTAAAAGCTTTTTTAAAGGAACTTTTTGTCGGAAAGGCTTTTCCCTAATAGTAGTGCACGAGTCAAGCCGAGTTGATGACGATTTACGGCTTCCAAAGCTTTCCCAGAAGCTCAAGAGTCTAATCCTTGACTAGATCTCATTGTCAGCTACATTTTCCGATCCCACATCGATAGGTTTTGATAAGCGGTTCTCGAGATTTCGAGGAATTTAGCGCTCAGCCACTACTATTAGAGAAAAAACGATATTTTATCAGTAGGAAATGAGAAAGAAAGGCTTAGGAAAAGGATTAGACCAAGATTTCTCCTTATGCATGACTCTAGAATTCATTCGGTGCGCCTGGAGGGTTCTGTGCGCCATTTAAAAGTGTTTTTCATGTATCGGCTTTTCTCTAATAGCTTTTCCGGGCGAGCCGAGTTGGTGACGATTTACGGTTTCCAAAGTTTTCCCAGAAGCTCAAGAGTCTAATCCTCGACTAGATCTCATTGTCAGCTACATTTTCCGACCCCACATCGATAGGTTCTGATAAGCGGTTCTCGAGATTTCGAGGAATTTAGCCGACGCTCAGGGAAACGATTAGAGATTTCTACTATTAGAGATTTCTACTATTAGAGATTTCTACTATTAGAGAAAATACGGCTAATATTAGAGAAAATAGCCAATAGCCAGTCTATAGCCAAAATTTTCTGTACTTTTTAAAAATCTTAATTTTATGAGTTGGACAAGAGTTTTTTTTTGTAAAAACGTGGTTTCTCGATCCTCTTATTAGCCGTTTCCGCGTGGCCGAATGATCTAAGGAGTTGTGTCAATCTGGCGTCAAAGAGGGGGTTCTTGGTTTGACTCTTCTGCCATGCTTGAGTCTACAATGCTTGAGTCTGCAATGCTTGAGTCTGCAATGCTTGAGTCTACAATGCTTGAGTCTGCAATGCTTGAGTCTGCAATTCTTGTTTTGAACATTTTAAACAACAACAGAACAACAACAGAATAGAATTAATACTTTAAACTAACATTTTGACTAAAAACATAGATTAAGATTCGATTAGATTCGATTTAATCGATTTATTCGATTAGATTCGATTAGATTCGATTAGATTCGATTTAATCAAAACATTTCTCAAATAATTATTCATTTATTCATTCATTTATTCATTCATTTATTCATTCATTTATTCATTTATAAATAATATAATTTCAAAAATAGATAATAGATCAAAATTTTAAGTATTTTGACTATTTTCAAGAATCATTTTGAAACTTAAAAGTGCAACTCGATAAATTGTTCATTTCTTTGTGTTTTCGTAAATAAACCAAGCGAGAAAGGGATCAAAATAACAATGATCGACAAAGAAAAAACAAACAGTCTATAAAATTTATCAATTTTACGTTTTTTCTTCTTTTCAGAACACTTCAAATTAAAACTTTTTTAACTTTATAATAATCTTTAGAATAAGCTTTAGAATAAGCTTTATAATAAGCTTTATAATAAGCTTTATAAAGCTTTATAATAAGCTAATAATAAGCTTTAGAATAGGTTTAGAATAAGCTTTAGAACAAGCTTTAGAATAAGCTTTAGAACAAGCTTTAGAATAAGCTTTAGAATAAGCTTTAGAACAAGCTTTAGAATAAGCTTTAGAACAAGCTTTAGAATAAGCTTTAGAATAAGCTTTAGAACAAGCTTTAGAATAAGCTTTAGAACAAGCTTTAGAATAAGCTTTAGAATAAGCTTATGAAGCTTTATAATAAGCTAACAATAAGCTTTATAAAGCTTTAGAATAAGCTAATAATAAGCTTTAGAATAAGCTTTAGAATAAGCTTTATAAAGCTTTAGAATAAGCTTTATAATAAGCTTTAGAATAAGCTTTAGAATAAGCTTTAGAATAAGCTTTATAATAAGCTTTAGAATAAGCTTTATAAAGCTTTATAATAAGCTAATAATAAGCTTTAGAATAGGTTTAGAATAAGATTTATAATAATCTTTATAATAATCTTCATGAAGCTTTATAATAAGCTAATAATAAGCTTTCTAATAATCTTTATAATAAACTTTATAATATTCTTTTTAATAAGCTTTATGAAGCTTTAGAATAAACTTTATAAGACAGCTTTATAATAAGCTAATAATAAGCTTTAGAATAAGCTTTATAATAAGCTTTATAATAATCTTTATAATAATCTTTATAATAAGCTTTATAATAAGCTTTATAAAGCTTTATAATAAGTCTTATAAAGCTTTATAATAATCTTTATAATCTGCTTTCAAACTTCCAGAGCTCTTCAATGTCTAAAGATGAAGCTGAATCGATGAGGTTTCGCATTTCAATCGTTCCCGTGGAACTTCAATATTCAATTCTTGAGAAACTATCATTTGGTGATCGAATTTCTTTACACAATTCATGTAAAGCATTTAAAATGAAAATTGAAAAGCTTGGATTTTTGACAAAAACAGCGGACACTTTTGAAATGTCATCAAGTGGAAAGGTTTGTTCAGCTTTATCAATAGAAAATTTGGTGTAAAGCTCTCTCTGATAGCTCTTATTTGGTGTAAAGCTCTCTCTGATAGCTCTTCTTTGGTGTAAAGCTCTCTCTGATAAAACGAGCTCTCTGATACACGTAAAACAGTCTTTTTTTGTTAAAGAAAGCAAAAAATTGATGAGTTTCGTGCGCCAGGAAGTATTTCTAAGCATTTCTAAGCACTTCTAAGCACTTCTAAACATTGCTAAGCACTTCTAAGCATTTCTAAGCATTTCTAAGCAGTTCTATCTAAGCGTTTCTATTTCTAAGCATAAAGTTCATATTAACTCATCGTCGAAAAACTCAAATGATCGATTTCATTGTTTTTAGTGGTTTGAATTGAAGCACAGACATCAAACGATCCGAGTTGAGGCGAAGAGTTACTCTTTTCATTCAACAACATATCTTTATCGAAATCCGTTGATTGAGAGGTTGGTGAAATAGGATTTTATTAGAGTTGATTCTCTAGATCTAGAAGAAAGATCTTCAGATCATAGCCATGTCTAGCCAGAGTCTAGCCAGAGCCCTGTCTAGCTAGAGTCTAGCCAGAGCCATGTCTAGCCAGGGTCTAGCCAGTGTCTAGCTAGAGCCATGTCTAGCCAGAGTCTAGCCCGAACCATGTCTAGCCAGGGTCTAGCCAGAGTCTAGCCAGAGCCATGTCTAGCCAGAGTCAAACCTAGACCAAAGCTAGACCAAAGCCTAAGCCTATAAACTGGGGTAGGCTAAGCGCAATTTTCTTTGCCCAACTAGCTCTTTTGCGCAACTCGCCATAACTTTCTTCTAGATCGGTCAATCTTTATGATTTTGATGTCATTTTGTTGCAGTTCTTGAGATCTACAAAATGACACCAAAATCATAAAGATTGGTCTACCTAGAAGAAAGTTATGACGAGTTGAATTTGACGCAAAGTAACCACTGCCCAATCCCAACCTAGTGCTAGATCTATAACTAAATATCTTAAAAACAAAGAAGAAACCCAGCAAAATCTTTTCTGAATTGAAATAAGACTTTCGTTATCAATAAGGTTTGGAAAAGATTTTAAGATATTTAATTATAGATCTAGCACTAGGTTAGGATTGGGCAGTGGTTACTTTGCGTCAAATTCAACTCGTCATAACTTTCTTCTAACTGAACCAATCTTTATGATTTTGGTGTCATTTTGTAGATCTCAATAAGGGCAACAAAATGACATCAAAATCATAAAGATTGGTCTACTTAGAAGAAAGTTATGGCTAGCGCAAAAGAGCTAGTTGCGCAAATGACACGGCAGAAACTAGTCTACCCCTATAACCTCTAACCTGAATCAAGATCTATCAACTGCTAAATTTAGCAAATGACAATAAAACAAGCAATGTCGTTAGCTTCAAAAAAAGACTTATAGCTTTGCTCTAAACAAAAGAAATCAAAAAAAACATCACAAATTTAAACTCCGACTTTTTTTTGGTTTATTTGAAATGTTATTTTTATGTAAATATTCAATCTACAAGAAATAAAACTCAATTTTACTAAATTTAATTGAATTTCTGTTGTTATTTAGTTATTTTCAGCACTTTCATCCATTTACCCAAAGAAATCGTGAACCGCTTTCTGCTCTCTGTCACGAAGAAACTTCAAGTGAGAATCGCGAAAATCATCGATGATTCGAATAAAGAGGTGAATATTGATGGGATACTGTATCGGGGATACTGCTGGGATACTGCTGGGATACTGTATCGGGGATACTGTAGCTGGGGTTCTGTAGCTGGGATACTGTAGCTGGGATACTGCTGGGATACTACTGGGATTCTGTCGCTGGGATTCTGTAGCTGGGATTCTGTAGCTGGGATACTGCTGGGATACTGTAGCTGGGATTCTGTAGCTGGGATACTGCTGGGATACTGTATTGGGGATACTGTAGCTGGGATACTGCTGAGATTCTGTAGCTAGGATGCTGTAGCTGGGATTCTGTAGCTGGGATACTGCTGGGATACTGTAGCTGGGATTCTGTAGCTGGGATACTGCTGGGATACTGTAGCTGGGATTCTGTAGCTGGGATACTGCTGGGATACTGTAGCTGGGATTCTGTAGCTGAGATTCTGTAGCTAGGATGCTGTAGCTGGGATTCTGTAGCTGGGATACTGCTGGGATACTGTAGCTGGGATTCTGTAGCTGGGATACTGCTGGGATACTGTAGCTGGGATTCTGCTGGGATACTGTATCGGGGATACTGTAGCTGGGATTCTGTAGCTGGGATACTGCTGGGATACTGTAGCTGGGTTTCTGTAGCTGAGATTCTGTAGCTGGGATACTGTAGCTGGGATACTGCTGGGATACTGCTGGAATACTGATGGGATACTGCTGGGGTTCTGTAGCTGGGATTCTGTAGCTGGGTTGAATGAAAGATGAAATCTCAACTAAAACGTTCAGCACAATCAACTGATTCTCTCGAAATCTCTTCTCTTCCACAATGTGCAATACTTGCAAATCATTTTCCAATGTGTCGACAATTTGCTGCAATTGTGTTTGATGGTGAAAAGATCGAATGTTGAAAGAGTTGATGGAATAATTTAGATTTCAAGTCTAACTCTTAATTTAGATGCATCTCTATCAAGATTTATGCTTTCAATCGGATTTCCCACCGTTTTGCAGTTGTCGATATGTGAATACGAAGAAATTGCAAAGTCTGCTGGCAAAGGCAAAGGTTAATTGCAAGCTACTGTAGCTTAGCGTACTGTAGGCTTGCACTAGTTACTGTAAGCTGGTACTAGTCACTGTAAACTGGTACTAGTTAGGGCCCTGTAGGTCCCTACTTGGTCCTGAGTACGGTAGAAAGAGTACTGTAACTTGCTACTTGAACAATTTACAATTCTCAGCACAAAGTACACCAAAGTACTCAATTCCAGCTGCCGACTTCGACAGCTCTCTGTCTTCAACTCAAACAGCCTCGTCCAATTCTATTAGATTGCGGGAAATTGATTCAAAATCACATTGATTATCTGAAATTGAAAAGGAAAACGCTGGATGTTGTCCTTTCAATCGCACAAATTCCCAATTTTTTGGAGGTAAGCTAAAAATTGACAAAATTTAGTTTTAACACATTTACGATGACAGCATTTTGGAGCGTACAGTCGCGTAGTCGGGTACAGTCGCGTAGTCGGGTACAGTCGCGTAGTCGGGTACAGTCGCGTAGTCGGGTACAGTCGCGTAGTCGGGTACAGTCGCGTAGTCGGGTACAGTCGCGTAGTCGGGTACAGTCGCGTAGTCGGGTACAGTCGCGTAGTCGGGTACAGTCGCGTAGTCGGGTACAGTCGCGTAGTCGGGTACAGTCGCGTAGTCGGGTACAGTCGCGTAGTCGGGTACAGTCGGGTAGTCGGGTACAGTCGCGTAGTCGGGTACAGTCGGGTAGTCGGGTACAGTCGCGTAGTCGGGTACAGTCGGGTAGTCGGGTACAGTCGCGTAGTCGGGTACAGTCGCGTAGTCGTCAACTATTTTACTGATAATTTAGTGTAAATTCAAAGATAAACTAACCAATTATAGTCATTTGATAGCTCTGAATCTCTTCTGAAAATCAGTGCAAAGTTATTGAGAACTTTCTGCGAAATAAATAATAAAAGCTGTTAGAAACGAGTTGATGCCAAAAAAATAATCGTCATTAGAGCCTTTCCAGGAGATTCGCCAGGAAAAAGACGATTTTATGTTCGAAGAGCTGACGCTGAGACCAATGGAGTATTGGCTGAATGTAAGGCTTTGGAAAAACTATAGTAAATCTATATTATAGCTATAAAAATCCAGATATTCAATAAATAGCTATACAAATCGAGATATAGTACTTGATAGTACTTGTAACATTATCAGGTAAATTGCTGTTTCAAAATCCTCCGCCATTTAGAATTCTCCAAATTCTCCGCCAATCAATTCCATTTCAGCTTGATCACTTGAAAGGACCGGATGAAAGGAAAACCGAAAAATCGGCCACTCAACTCTATGAAATCGAGATTGTGTCGAACTTTGCGAAAATTTTGAAACTCAAACAGAATGATGAATGAACTTTAAACTTTACTTATCAAAGCACTTTCTACATAAAGCGTTTTCAATTTTTTATGGTTGCCATTCGTGTTTTTAGAGAGCTGAGCGCCAAAAGCTGAGCGCCAAAAGCTGAGCGCCAAAAGCTGAGCGCCAAAAGCTGAGCGGCAAAAGCTGAGCGCCAAAAGCTGAGCGGCAAAAGCTGAGCGCCAAAAGCTGAGCGGCAAAAATTGAGCGCCAAAAGCTAAGCGCCAAAAATTGAGCTCCGTTCATTTCAGCGTCATGCCAAAAATGACTAGAAAACGTTCAATTCAGCGCCGAATCTCTTTTTTGCATAATTTCAACGTCTTTATTCAATTAGTTAACACGCAATAACAATAACAATGACGCTACCCGCTAATAAAGCACAGCCTCGCTTTGACTACCTCTGTAGGTGACTACCTTTGACTGTATTTATACTTTGATCTTTATAATTTCTTATAAGACCGTGTCTCGGTGTGGTTCAATAGTAGATGTCTTGAAAACGCACAATTTATCAAAAATTTCCCTTATTAGGGCAAACTTCGCTGAAATTGGAACAACCTGGCACTATCACAATTACTTCAGCACTTGCGTGAGAAAAAAAGAGATGAATAGAAAAGGGGGCACACAACTCACTCAAAACAAAGCTTAAAAACGGGTTTTTTAAGTACACAAGCTCAAATTCAAAACAAAGCTACGGCTCAGGCTTAGGCTTAGGCTTACAGCAAACGGACAACTGAATATCGTCTAGTGACTGATTACGGTAGTTTATCCATCAACTTTGAATTTTACCTTGTGTATTGAATTTTGACTAACTGCAGAGCAGTGACAATTCGCCAAAACCTCTTTGACTCCGGATTTTTCGTCGTATTGCCACTTCTTGCGCAATTCACGAGCCTAAACAAAGAAATTAGTTAACTGTAAACAAATTATAGAAAAAAACAGCATGTATTGGGAAAAGATTTCATAAAACTAGCAAAATTAAACATTTTCATCAAAAAAACCTTAACTACGAGTTAATTTAAGAAATTTTTGCGCATTTGGTGCCTACTGCCGTGCTCTAGGTCAAATAAGTGAAAAAAAAAGGGTAAAAACAGAAGCAAAAACCTTAAAAACATGCAAAAGCAGCGTACAAATCAAAAAAATTAAAAAGTAGTCTCGATGAAATGAACGTTTTTAGGTATTTTGGCTTAGGTATCTTATAAAAGCGCCTACTGCCGTGCTCTAGGTCAAATGAGTGAAAAAAAGGGTAAAAACAGAAGCAAAACCCTAAAAACCTGCAAAAGCAGCGTAGAAAGCAAAAAAAATTAAAATCTAGTCTCGCTGAAATGAACGTTTTTAGGTATTTTGGCTGAAATGAGCGCGCCTACTGCCGTGCTCTAGGTCAAATGAGTGAAAAAAAGGGTAAAAACAGAAGCAAAACCCTAAAAACCTGCAAAAGTAGCGTAGGAAGCAAAAAAATTAAAGTTTAGTCTCGCTAAAATGAAATTTTGGCTTTTTGGCTGAAATGGATGCGCGAAAACCTACCGTATTACTTTTGTCTTGTAATTTGTCTTAAAAATTTAGCGTTTCAAATAAAAGTCACTTTTTTTGTTATTCAGATATTACAAAGCGTCGTCAGATGCTCATCATTTGCGGCCCTTGCAAGAAGAAGAGCACATTTTTGCTTCCTGTTTCTCATTTGAAGATCCGTCAGGCCATTCTTCCTTCATTCTGCCATCCTTCCATTCTATGCTTCCTTAACTTGTAAGAGTGAAGACCCAAATCCTTTTTGACGATACGACGGATAGTTCTATCAGAAACATTCAATTGGGGAGCCATTTTTCTCATGCTCCGGGCAGGATTGCGCTTGATTCGTTTCTTAATGATTTTCTTGAGTCTATGATCAATTCATCATTGTGATCAACTTTTGGCGGACGTCCACTTTTAGGAAGCTCTTCCACTATATTTTGTTGCAAAATGCGGTATACCGTCATTCGATGCATTTTCAGCAGTTTGGCAAAATCCGAAGTTGATCGTCCTTGTGCTCCAAGCTGAAGAATAGCGGCACGGTTGGGAGAAGCCTTCACCATTATGTCCAAACTTAAAAATTTGCTTAAAAACTGCTACATAATATAAAAAAGCATTCAAATTAAGAAAAAATAATCCTTTGGCAAGAAATAAAAATCAATCAATTTCTTAAATCAATGTTACAACCTTGTAACCATACTTATGCCGCACCCTGTAGCCTGAATATTTTCAAACGTATTATTAGGTGTGTGAAAAAGTAATCCACGTTTTTAACGTTTAAATATAAAAGATCATAAGTTTAAAATAATTATTATTCAACGAAGTAATCACCATTCGAAAGAACAACCTTTTGAGGAGAGACTTGCTTTTTTTGAACTAAAAACTTTACAGCATCGTCGCTTTGTCATTGATTTAGTCGAAACTTTCAAAATCCTCCGTTGTAAACAGATTAGCCCTTTGTTTATAGACTTTTTCAAATTTAAACCGCGGTCAGGGCCCAGAAGTGGCTCATTCCTTTTGCAAATTCCCTTTGCTTCCAATGCCTCTTTATCAAATTCATTTCCCGTTAGAGCCGCTAGATTATGGAACTTGCTCCCAAACGACATACGAGAAATTCAGTCGCTTTTCATATTCAAGAAACGTATCGATGCTTTAGATCTAGTGGCTCTTTGCCGTAAGTAATTGGCTTATTGATTTCAGTATGTATTGTATGATTAAGTATCACTGTGCATTTCTCTATGATTTCTTTCACTTTATCGTTTGAATAAAGTATTATTATTATTTTGCCAGCGTTCTACAAGTAAAGACATTCCACGATAATAAAAATCTTGGTCCTTAGAGGTGAAGAAAAGATCAACCTCGGTTTTGACATCTTCTTCGGATGTCAAAACCGAGGTTGATCCGTTTATTGGCCAAAAAGTTAGACAGAGACAAAAATAAATAATAATCAGATGGAGAAAGGTCTGGACTATAATGTTGATGTGGTAAAACCTCCCATCCAACACTCTGGATTTTTTGTCGAGTCTGTAAAGAAACATGTGGTCACGCGTTATCGTTCATGCGGTATCCATTTGTTCAACTTTTTGATAAAATTCATGGCATTCAAGCGTTTCCTTACGGTTGACCCATCACAATTTAATGTAAGGCCTATTTCTGAAGAGGTTGGACGAGGGTTTTCGAGAAGACAGCGTCTTATTTGGTCATCCGAACAGGTCTCAGGGCGACCGCCACGTGGTGTTCATCTTCTAGGCTTTCATCACCACCTTTGAATCGTCGGAACCAAAACCTAGCGGTACCATCAATAACGGCGTCTTCGCCAAGCGCATTCCGAATTCGACGTGCAGCCTCCGCAGCTTTCAACCTATTTTTGAACTCATAAAGCAAATTTGACCGAATAACGATACTTGTGTATACCATTTTCAAACTAAAATGAAAGTAGTTTATTGTCGTCCTTTCAACAAAATAAATATATCATTCGAAAGAGGAAAAAATAAGCTTTTAAACGATATATATATCGTTAACAAAAAAAAAAATTAAAAATTGTTTAGATATATTTATTTAAACAAAATAAAAATAAAAAACGTCGATTACTTTTTCACACACCTAATATATTCTTTTTTTTTGTTTGAGCTAATAATTTGACCTAATTTCTTTCTGGATTTTTGTTCATTCACTTTTTCGTCAAAATTTTCACTATTTCCTTTTATAGCTACGTCTAGACACTAATTTACAGCCAAATCACCCGGGTTCAAGAAAATTACGACATGAAATTTGAAGAAAAGAGGTTTATGTGAAGGGTTTATTTGAAGTTTTAAGCTGAAAAGTGTTTACTGATTTAAATTTTTGCATTTTCTGTGTATCATTGAGCTTTTAGCAAGCTTATAGAGTTTTTAACATTGCATTTTTAACATTTTTAACATTTTTAACATTCATAGTACTATAATAGCTGAAGAGGGAGCAAATTGAAAAGCAAGCAAAATTTGGTCAAGGAAATTTACAATTAACACTCAAATTTTTTTATTTTCTAGGTTTTCAAACTAGGAATCGAATGAGAATGAAAAATTTTCCAAATTCGAAAGAAAATTATTTTTTTATGATTTCAAAATGGATGTTTAGTTGATATCTGTTTTTTAATGTCTTTTATTCTAATAAGCCGCTAGATTATGGAACTTGCTCCCAAACGACATACGAGAAATTCAGTCGCTTTTCATATTCAAGAAACGTATCGATGCTTTAGATCTAGTGGCTCTTTGCCGTAAGTAATTGGCTTATTGATTTCAGTATGTATTGTATGATTAAGTATCACTGTGCATTTCTCTATGATTTCTTTCACTTTATCGTTTGAATAAAGTATTATTATTAATAATGCTGCTAGGCTAGATTTGTGTTCAATCTTTTGATGGAGTGGGTCTGTATTTGTTTTGGGAAGATGTTGCTAATCGCTATCCACTTTACTAGGCTTTTTTTTGTTATTTATTGATCAATATGTTGTTATGTTGTCGTAGCCGATGATACCACGAGACCAGAAGAGACCAGAAGAGACCAGAAGAGACCAGAAGAGACCAGAAGAAGACCAGCAACGAGGTGGAGCACAAGAGTGGCAGAGACGGTCAGAGAAAGGATGGCTAGAGTGCAACCACCAGCACAAGCAAGTGGAAGACTTCGAACCTGGAACAACCAAGATAGGATAGGAACCAGGAACAACCAAGATAGACCAGAAGAGGCCCATCGGAAGACCAGCAACGAGATGGAGCACAAGAGTGGCAGAGACGGTCAGAGAAAGGATGGCTAGAGTGCAACCACCAGCACAAGCAAGTGGAAGACTTCGAACCTGGAACAACCAAGATAGGAAACACTGGATGACAATAGCAAGGGATAGAGAAATGTGGCTTTTTGTTGCTATTTATTGATCAATATGTTGTTATTAATAGTTTTTGAAATTTTTCTCAGCTAAAATCATTTTCATTCGATTCAGCGTGAGCCCCAAACTAGTATAACACAAATTACAAAAAATCTCGAGTTTTAGCTCGAGTAGAATTGCAATTTTTTTGTTCAAAAACGTGCCTTTCCATGTTTTTTTTTGAATAGTTTAAAAGTTGATTTTTTAAAGTTTAGAACCCGTTGATGTCATCGGTTCGAGGATGATAAACGCTTTGAGACGAGAATGGTGAGGATTTTATGGATTTTTAAACATTTAATGTTTAAAATCTGTTGGTTGAAATGCTTTTAAGGAATTTTTGATCATTTTTCTATCAAAATTGTGTTGTTGATCTTGTTCTTTTGAAGATTTTCTAATTTTAGTGACAAAGATGAAGAGAAAGAGAACGATCGACGGCCCTACTCGTTTCCCTATCCACCCTATGAGATTCAGATGAGGCTAATGAACGAAATTAATGAGTGTATTGAGAGAAAACAGGTAAAGTTATCGTGTTTTGATGATTAAAAGTGATTTACTTGTTTGTTGATTGTTTGTTGTTAATTGTTGATTGAAATTGTTGATTAATTGTTGATTAATTTGATGTTTAATAGTGGATTTAGTTTAGATTTAGTCTTTTTATCGTAATATAGAATTTTTTTTTAGGTAGGAATCTTCGAATCTCCGACGGGCACTGGGAAATCGCTCTCCGTGCTATGCTCGACGTTGACGTGGTTGGAGAAGAACGCGGAGAAAGAAAAACGAGAGTTGAAACGAATCATCGATGAAACAAAGGAAAAAGGAGTGAAAGAAGAAAAAGCGGGTGCATTGATTGAGTTTCTATTTTTAAAAAAATTGAATATAGTTAACGATTGGATCGCGGAACACAAGAAGAAGTTGGCCAACAACAAAGAAGTGGATGAGGCGAAAGATCGTTTGGAGGTGCTGAGGTGAAGGAATTTGGGTAAATGAACCGTTTAATATGGTTAAATGAACTGTTTAATATGGTTAAATGAACTGTTTAATATGGTTAAATGAACTGTTTAAATGGTTAAATGAACTGTTTAAATGGTTAAATGTTGCTAAAGCTACAATTCAATAACTTTCTGATTAAGATTGATCGACGAGCGGCTGAAACAAGCGCGACAATCGAAAGACGAGGAACAAACATCGAGAAAACGAAAAGGAAATTGGAAAGAATCGACAAAAGAAGATGCAGATGCGGATTTACTGCCAGAAAAGGAAGAAGATGAAGTGTGTTTTTGCTAAAGCTTTATTAGAATTTGGTAACTTGTTAAAGATAACTGTAAAGTTTGCTCTGTATTAGATAACTGTAAAGTTTGCTTTAGTGTGCTCCAGCAGATGACTACGATTCGGATGATGATGCCTCGAAATCGAAAAAGGATGACGATGAAGTGACAGCGTTAAAAGTGACAAAGGTTTGTTTTGAATGTTTTGAATTTGATAATTACCTGATTGAATTGACTCAGAAAATAACTTTATCTTCAGATCTTCTACGCAAGCCGCACTCACTCTCAATTGGAACAACTCGTGCAAGAAGTGAAGAAAACAAGGTGTGGTTTTAAATGAATCTTAAAAGTGAAGAGTTGTCTTGTCTAATGGACACTAGACAATAGACAAGACAATGGAGAAGACAATAGACAAGACAATAGAGAAGATAATAGACAAGACAATAGACAAGATAATAGACAAGACAATAGATTCAACATTTATATGATAAACCGATCTAGTGCAATCGATTTCTTTAGATTTCAACCGCGTATCGTCATCGGCGCCTCTCGACAAACGCTATGTGTGAATGAAGATGTGAGAAAATTGACGTCGACAAGTTTAATCAATGAGAGATGTCAAGAATTGAGAAACAATCACAAGGAAACCAGTCACAAGAGGAAACCGGGAGAAAAGGTACAACGTTGTGCGAAGTTTAACAATTGCAATCATATCGTTAACTTTTAGAAGTCCTGTTGTACGAAGATTAACAATTGCAATCATATCGTTAGCTTTTAGAAGTCCTATTGCGCGAAGTTTAACAATTGCAATTATATTGTTAACTTTTAGAAGTCCTGTGGTGCGAAAACGTGTCAATTCTACAAGTCGGACAACATTGAGGATGTGACAAATGGGATCTTAACTGGTAATTCTTCTAACATTCTTTTAAACCACCAAAAGTTCAGGATGTGATACGAATCCCTCGGCGGTGATCGCGAAAGCAAAGCAACTGGAAGGATGTGCGTATTTTGGCTCGAGAAAAGCGATTCCTCTTTGCGAGATTGTTTTGCTACCATATCAGGTAATCATTTTGTCAAAAACAGCTAAAAATTCATCATTTTTAGGTGATCCTTCACGAATTCACGCGCAACTCCTGGGAAGTTGACTTAAACGACAACATTTTGGTGCTCGACGAGGCGCACAATGTGCTCAACACGATTAGTAAGGGGCAGAAAATTAAAAAAAAAATCATTTTTAGCTTCTGTGAACAGTTCGGAACTCTCGGTGAATGCGTTGACATTATCCCTTGAATTGGTGCGAAGCTATGTCGATTTCTACAAGACGAGACTCAAGGCGAAGAATTTGCTCTACATGCGGATGTTGCTTATGGTAAATTTCTATTTCAAACTAACTGGCGTATTTTACTCTAATAGAAGAGCAGTCTCCAATAGAAGAACTTTTGGGGAGCCGGGTTGAAAAATAGAAGAGCAGTGATAGAAAATCTCTGATAGAAAAACACGACTAATAAAATGCACTAGTTTGCCTACCGTATACCCTTTCTTGGATTTCTTGGATGGAAAATCGAGAGTATGAAGAGAATGCAAATATGGAGCCGGGAAAAGATCCAATCCTTGAGTCAGGACACGAATCTGTGGATGAGCTCGATCAGGAGTTGACAAAAAAGAGAAGAAAGCGAAAAGCAATACGATCGACCCAAGCTGAAGGCAATCGAGTATGCCAAGAAGATTTCAAGAAAGAATGCGAGCGAGAAGTTTCGAGTCACCTGAGCCATGATTTAAAAATGGATGTCACAAAGGGACATTGCGGAAAATGGGGAAATCGTTTAAAAGAGTAAAAGACGGAGAAAACTGACGGACAAGCAGCTCGATCTTGAGCTGACCGAATGGGTGAAGGCGAGCGTTTGTAGAAAAATAAAGTTTCAAGAAGACTGGTTCAAGAGAAAGCGAAGAATTTGTGCAAGCAAAACGACATCGAGCTCAACTGCTCAACTCTTCAAGCCAGAAATGACGAAATTGATCTGGGTGAAGACGAGGAAAACAAGGACTACGAGAGTCCTCAATTGAAGTCGGCGATTCTAACGGCAATGAAATCGAGGGTACTGTTTGTTTGTTTGATGTTTCTGATTGTTTTTGTTAGCTAATTGTTATTTGTACATATTGTTATTGGCTTTAGAAATATTGCTTTCGAAATAAAGAAGTTGCTTAGGCATAGAATAGCAGTCTTCGATAAAAGAAACTTTGAGAGGGGCGTTGAAAAATAGAAGAGCATGATCTTCTATTAGAGTAAATACGGTAAACTGCATTGATGCCTGTTTTTTTTTTAGCTTCTCTCACGTTTACAACTCTACTTCACCAAGTTGCCCGCCGAATTTCAAGAAGTTTCGACGATTCAAGGGTTCTTCATCAAAGTGGGTTTTGATTTCAAGACTTATGCTCTAGATAAATTTGTTGTTTTTTTTACAGATTTGAATTTGGTTCCTTATCTCTAAATTTGGTTCCTTATCTCTACAAATTTGATTCCTGATCTCTAAATCTGGTTCCTTATCTCTAATCTTGGTTCCTTATCTCTAAATTTGGTTCCTTATCTCTCTAAATTTGGTTCCTTATCTCTCTAATCTTGGTTCCTTATCTCTAAATCTGGTTCCTTATCTCTAAATCTGGTTCCTTATCTCTCTGAATTTGGTTCCTTATCTCTGAATTTAGTTCCTTATCTCTCTAATCTTGGTTCCTTATCTCTAAATCTGGTTCCTTATCTCTCTAAATTTGGTTCCTTATCTCTCTAATCTTGGTTCCTTATCTCTAAATCTGGTTCCTTATCTCTAAATCTGGTTCCTTATCTCTAAATCTGGTTCCTTATCTCTCTAAATTTGGTTCCTTATCCCTCTAAATTTCGTTCCTTATCTCTAAATTTCGTTCCATATCTCTCTAATTTTGATTCCTTATCTCTCTAAATTTTTACAGATTCTAAAGCTGAAATTATGAAATCGATTTTTTTAGGCAAATCTCACCGAAGTGAATGTGCACAAATTGTCGACTTATCTGAAGGGATCGTTCATTTGTCGGAAATTACACGGATATAGCTTTAGGTGGGTAACTTTTAACAAATTCTTTTATAATCTTAAAACTATAAAGATAGATTTTTATATATTTTGTATTTAGACTTGCAAATCGAAAACTCAAAGAGGAGACAACGCCAAAAACGACGGGAATTCAACGGTTGCTAGCAAAACCGAAGAATGAAACAAATTTGAAAGTGGAAGGTTGGATTCCCGATTTAGTGGATGTTTTCATTTATTGTTCATTCAATACATTCTTTCAAGAATTGCTTTTTATTTATCTTTTCTAGAATCGGCCGCGGCGGCTCCATCAAAATCAGCCCCATCTTCTCTCCAAATGGCCGCTTCAATTTACGTGATTCAGTCGTTTATCGATGCATTGACGAACAAATGCGATGATGCTCGAGTGATCGTTGTGAAGACAAAAACTGAGTCGAAGTAAGGGCTTTTAAAGGGATAAACAAGAGCTTCCTTTTGAGAGCTTCTAAGAATTACTTTTAGATTCCGCTTCATTCTGCTTAACCCCGGATCAAAGTTGATGGATGTGCTCAAGCAACCGCGGGCCACGATTCTCATTGGTGTGTGAAGAAGTTTGACTAAAGTCAATCCTGTAATTGCCACTTATAATCCTTTCATTCAGGTGGCACAATGGAACCGTCATCGTTTCTTGTGGATTCTCTCGTCTCTTCTGGCCTCTCTCCATCATCAATTCGTCGTTTTTCGTGCTCTCATGTGATCGACGACAATCAATTGGGAGTTCTGGCGATCGGTATGTTGGAACTGATACTGGTAATTGATATTGAATTGAAATTTATATTTAACGAATTGAAGAATATGACTTTTTAGATAAGTGCCCAGATGGTCGACCTTTGCAAATCACCTTCGAAACGCGCTCGGATCCTCGTTTGATACACTCGATAGGGGAAATGATTGCACAATTGGTTTTTATAGACTTTTGATACTGATTCGAGCATTTTCAGATATCAAAAGTGCCAAATGGTTGTGTGATTTTCTTTCCCAGCTACGACTACTTAGACTTTTTCGTTGAGCAATCAAGGAAGAACGGGAATTTACAGAAAATACAGGTTTTGGCTTTAGAATCAGTCATTTAGCTTTAGAATCAGTCATTTAGCTTTAGAATCAGTCATTTAGCTTTAGAATCAATCATTTAGCTTTAGAAATCATTCATTTAGCTTTACAAATCAATCATTTAGCTTTAGAATCAGTCATTTTTCATTTGATTACAGAATCTTGATAATGGTTTTAAAATCTAGAAGCTAAAGGACTTGTTCACCGAGAGCCGAGCCTCGTCGAATGATCTTTTGACGAGGTACAGCTTTTCTTTTGTTTTCAAGTTGAATCAAGTATTCTTTTAGATATTCGGAGAAAGCTGTCCAGGAAAGAGGCGCCTTACTGTGTGCGGTGATTGGTGGAAAACTCTCAGAAGGTTTGAGAATTTTTTTTTTATAAAACTTGATCACTTCTACATACAAAATCTAAACGCAATTTCTATAAATAATTTTATTTTTAGGAATAAACTTCTCGGACTCACTGGGACGAGCCGTTTTCATCATCGGCATGCCCTATCCGAACAAAAATAGTCCCGAGTTGAAGGAACGAATGAGGGTGAGTAGTTTTGAGAATTTGGTCGAGAAACAGAATGATTGGTTGCTTGTAAAAAGCTAGTTATTGGTTGCTAGACTAAACTAACTTCAACTTCCTTCAACTAAGACTAGCTTCAACTTCCAACAGTTTTTTTAACCTTTTTCAGTTTGCCGAATCACAGCGTGCCGGGAGTGCGAGTCGTCTCTACGAATCGCTTTGTATGCACTCGGTGAATCAAGCTGTTGGCCGAGCGATTCGCCATCGACACGACTACGCGATGATCTTCTTTTTTGATGCGAGGTTTGGATTTTCGCTCTTAGATGTAATGCGATTACTGTAGTCTTACTGTAGAAAAAGCTTTGTTAGTCTTATTGTAGAAGAAGCTTTGTTAGTCTTACTGTAAGTCTTTATACGCAAATCCCTTAAGCCAGGGCTAGCTTAATGAAAGATTACGGTATTACTGTGGTCTTACTGTAGCTGTCTTACTGTAAGGCAAATCAATAGGCAAATCTTTTAAGGTGCAAAATAAGTTTCTGATCCTATTAAAGAAAGCTCTCGTTTTAGATATTCAACGCAAAATGTCTCCGCTCAATTGTCTGCTTGGATTGGGTCAAGGTTGACGAGAAATGTGCCGATTAGTGACGCTGTTGAGAAAACGAGGACATTCTTTTTGGGTAAATAATCTTTTTTAGAATTTCTTGAACGTCTGTGAATAAACAAACGATAGTTAATATATAAATTTGTAAATTTGTCACGTTTAATTGTGATATTGTCTGTGATAAATGGCTTTTCTTGTCTCTTGAAAAGAATCACGTTTTTGGGGGAAGCTTTGTTAAAGCAAATTCTTTATCTCAAGGACCTTCTAGGGCGCAAATCCTGGCACCTCTTGGCCCTCCAGGCCCTCCAAGGCCAAATCGTGGTTCGTTAGGCGGGTCGACAAAGGGTCTCCCGGTGATTCTTTCTTCAAAATTCGATTCCCTTGCCCTCTTTTGAGGACCCGATTTCTTATGAGATCAAATTCAAGTGTGTCTCCATAACAAAGTGCACCCCTGGGTTACGGTAGTGCAAATGTCTCATCTAGATGTCTCATCTAGTAAAAGGTGTACTTTAGGAGCACTTTGGAGCATACAAGGGGTTTATGATTCTCGTTTTAGAAAACACCTACTTCAAGGGAGACTATAGGTTGTTGATATTAGATTTTAGATCTCAATTTTGATAAAATGTGTTGATGCACTCGCCTTAGCCTTAGCCTTAGCTTCTTGTCGGTTGGGTGTCGAGAGATGGCCCAAGATGATGGCCCAAGAGACTCACTCGGTGGCCCTCATTTTATTGGCCGAGACCGAGCACAGCACTCATTTCCACCCATTCACATTCTCTAGCCCTGAGATCCAACCATTTTATGCATTATGAGCGCTCGGGGACCGCAAAAGAAAGAATTCAATGCAAAAGAATTTGAAAACTGAGAAACGTTATTGCTCTTCGGATCAATTTCTGCTGTCTTACAGTCTTTCATGTACTTTGTGCTTAAACAACGTGTAAACGCAACCCTTCTGGTGCACTTGATTTGTGCAAGAGAGCAGAGAAAGATGCAAAAGAAAGCAGTCAGTGCGCTAGAAAGAGTGCGTTTACCGGTTTAACTCAAAACATACCGAGAAGAAGTCTAATGCCAGAAAGAAGAGTGCTTATATTGGAGACTATGCAAGAGTTTACAGAAGAATGGACAATTGAGCCAAATTTACCTACCAGCTTTGAAGTGTTTAACTCAAAATGTCAGGAGTGAGATGATTGGAGGCTGGACGAGGCCCGGCCCCGCCCCGGGAATCCACTCAAAGGCCAACACTGGAACGGGAGAGTTCAGGGGTTTCGAGAATTTTCTCCATCTATTAGCCATTGTCTCTTCACGATTTGTCTACTGTACTTTGGCTACGGTACTTTGACTACTGTACTTTGTCTACTGTACTTTGACTACTGTACTTGTGAGTGAAATTTCCATTCTCAATTCAATTTTTGTGGTCATTGACGAGCTTCATGCTACCCAGAGACACCACTTTCCCGCAGAATCAGGTAGACGCAGGTAGACAAAATGTTAGATTGTAAGCAATGTTGGTAGCTCATTGGTTAAGCGTTTGATCATGTAGGGTCGCTTTTTTCACGGGATTCACAATAGATTCAGTCATTTACAAGTTGGATCAGTGACTAACTAAAGAAAGTTCTTTAAGATTGCCCAGTGGCTTCAACGAAGTCTCAGCGCTGAGCCGAGGCGACAACCGAATCTTCTGCTGACGGTATGGTAAAGGTTTTGAACAGATTACAAGCTGGGGTTGAAGCTAGGGTTGAAGCTGGGATTGAAGCTGGGGTTGAAGCTAGGATTGAAGCTAGGATTCAAGTCAGGGTTGAAGCTAGGATTGAAGCTAGGGTTGAAGCTGGGGTTGAAGCTAGGGTTGAAGCTGGGGTTGAAGCTATGATTGAAGCTGGGGTTGAAGCTGGGGTTGAAGCCAGGGTTGTACTAAAGCCAGCGTTGCCTACTTAAAGCTTTGATACCGATCCATTGATGTGCTTTCGTAGCCTAGTTGATAGTGTACTAGCGCTTTTCCTGGTCTTTGGTTCGAATCAAGACTTTTGCTTCTTGCAAGGCATAAAGATTGATTTTGCTCTAAAGTGCTCTAAAGTTCTCTGATTAGCAAAAAGGTTTGAATTAGTTTTGAATTTGGAAGATTTTGATTGGATTGGATTGGAATGGATTGGAATGGATTGGAATGGATTGGATTGGATTTGATTGGATTGGAATGGTTTGGATTGGATTGGATTTGATTTGATTTGATTGGATTAGAAAACTTTGACTAAACTACTTGAAAACATTCTAACCATTCTAACCATTCTAACCATCTAACATTCTAACTAAACTCCAAAATCGCACTCGGAAACCCCTGACCTGTGTGGATTTATGTAGGAGCAAGATCAAAAAGATAACTAGGATTTACTCAATCTTCGTCCTGCTTTCTTTTTCTTTCACAAAAAGGAACAACGGGCTTAGTTGGGGACGATTTTTGGGTGAAAGGAGATGGATTATGGTCCCCTTTTTGGCCTTTTTAAGAGTCCTGAGGGTTTTGGATCCTTTTTGAGGGAAAACGGGGTAAAAGAATAGATGATCGGGTGGAGAGATAGGTGCATAAAATAGAGACAAGCAAGGCATTCACGTTATTAAGCAAGCAAGGCATTAACGAAACACCCTTGATTCATCCAGAGCTTCAAGAAAATCGTCAACTTAAGTGGATAGGAAAGCGCTATCCACTTAGCGTTAAGTTGACGATTTTCTCGAAGCTCAGTTTCTCGAAGACTTAACCCTAAGTGGATAGTGTGCTAGCGCTTTCCTATCCACTTAAGTTGTCGATTTTCTCGAAGCTCAGTCACCTTAAAGTATCTCGTAATACAAAGCTCTCTAAAAAGCTAAACACTTCTTTTCGGCAATCGATAAATCTATTAGTTGATTTACTTACTTTGAGCTTAAACTTTGAAACGAACAGCGCTGGCAGCCAGTTTTCTTCAACAGAGAGTTGATTTACCCAAAGTTTTGTGCTTTTTTTGTGCCAAAGCCAATGACGGCTGATTGTGAAGTTAATTTCGAATGGCTGGCTTAAGCTGGCAAATGGCTGGCTGGCTCTCTGGCGAATGGCTCTCTGGCTTAAAAGCTCTTGAAGTCATTGTTGGTTTATGAAGAACGATCGCCTTTTGAACTCAAGGGCAAAACTCAAGGGCTGGTAGTTTAGCAAGATAAACTTGAGCCTGAGCTTGAGCCTGAGTCTGAGCCTACGCCTAAGCCTAAGCCTAAGCCTGAGCCTGAGCCTAAGCCTGAGCCTGAGCCAGTACTAGGTCAAGACCATGACATAGCTTGATATCCCAAAATGGTCATGAGTGGTCTGACCTGGCAAATTTCATTCTAAGATCAATTTTAAATCCACTATTTAGCATTTAATGCTAAACTTGACGAAAATATGGCCATTTTTTCCAACTAGAAACTCACTACCGTATCCCTGGGTTCTCAGAGTTTGAAAGAGCTGGTTGATTGCCCTGGGGTCTGCCTTAAAGACCCTCAAGGGTAATCCCCCTCCCTATGCAATTGGATGATTCAACTGACAAAAGAGAAAGAATTGAAAGTGTTTGGGGATGGGGAAGGACAAAAACCTAGTCAAAAAAGGACAGATACCTTACATAAATAAATCAGAATAAATCTAACCTTAGAATAGATTTTCAATGGATATAGATCTGGAGGATTGTGCTTAGAGTTTGATAGCTGTTCTTCCTGTGCCTGTTCTTCCTATTCCTGTTCTTCCCATTCCTGTTCTTCCTATTCCTGTTCTTCCTATTCCTGTTCTTCCTATTCCTGTTCTTCCTATTCCTGTTCTTCCTATTTCTGTTCTTCCTATTTCTGTTCTTCTTATTTCAAAACCCATAGAATACTAGCTAAAAACAGGCTAAAAAACAGCTTAACGAAGCTTAATGAAGTTTAACAACAGCTTAATGAAGCTTAATGAAGCTTAATGAAGTTTAATGAAGTTTAATGAAGTTTAATGAAGTTTAACGAAGCTTAATGAAGTTTAACGAAGCTTAATGAAGCTTAACAAAGCTTAATGAAGCTCAACAACAGCTAACGAATCGCTTCTTCAACTCAAAACCATTTAGATAAAGCCGATTGAGATTAAGAGTTCATAATGATCAAGAAAAAAAGAAAAGAAAAGATTTATGAGAGTGGAAATGGTCGTTTCGCGGGAGGATGGGGGTGTCAGTGAGGGGACAAGGCAGATGCTTACCCCAGCGGGGTTCCCTCTTTGAAATTGAAAAGCGGGGTTCTCTCTTTCCCCTTGTTGAAATCCAGAAATCTTCAACCAGAAATCTTCAAATCCAAGAGAAAGCTGAAATGGATTAAAATTTCGAACATTTCTATGAATCTAGCTAATCAAGAAGAAATCAAGAAGTTTTCTAGGATTTCCCGTCATCTTCAAACTCCACGCTGTCACTGGGACTCGTTGACGGAGTCACGACTGAGTCTACAGGTAGAAAATACTAGGATTTGATACTTATAATATCTAGCATAAGAATCTAGGGCTCTTGTCGGGTTTTCAGAAGATCAGGCTGAGTTATTGTACTTAAAAGATTTTGATATAAGAGCTGACAGCTGACTGAAATCACTTTGAATGACGTCCGGACGACATAGCTTTGAAAGCCTATAACTTTGTCCAGAGATTCTATTATTGCTAAGTTTTTATATCATTGAATAGAGGACATTTCAGGCTTTCAAATGATACCAAAAAGAGTTTAATTGGATAGTTGAGTCCAGAAAAATCAGCCGACAAAGTTGGGATCTCAGAGGTTTGCTGAGAGTTGGATCGGTCAGAGTTGGCTTTGATTTTTCTGGATTGGATTATCCAATTAAACTCTATTTAGTATCATTCAAAAGCCTGAAATGTCCTCTGTCCAATGATATAAAAAGATCTGAATATTGTTAGCTTTAAACAAAGTTATGGGGTATCAAAGGGTGTTGAGTCCATTTGATCCCATTATTTCCCTCTTTTTTCCATATCAAATACATCATTTGATAACTTTGTTTAAAGCTAACAATATTCAGATCTTTGTATATCATTGAATAGAGGACATTTCAGGCTTTTGAATGATACCAAATAGAGTTTAATTGGATAATTGAGTCCAGAAAAATCAAAGCCAACTCTCAGCAAACCTTTGAGATCCCAACTCGATACTTTGTCGGCTGATTTTTCTGGATTGGATTATCCAATTAAACTCTATTTGGTATCATTCGAAAGCCTGAAAGCTCCTCTATCGAATGATATAAAAAAGATCTGAATAATGTTAGCTTTAGACAAAGTTATAGGCTTTCAAAGCTGACAAGAGCTTAAGGAGAGCTGTCATATGACATATAAGCTGTCAGCTATTATATATCAGCTCTTATATATCAGCTATTATATCTCAGCTATTATATCTCAGCTCTTGTCAGCTCTAAAGTTTTTAATTCTAGGCGGTGAATGCGTTGTTTGTGGAGACAAATCAAGTGGAAAGCATTACGGGCAAAACTCGTGCGAAGGATGCAAATCGTTTTTCAAGAGGTATCAAGATTCCAAAAGGTATCGAGATCACAGCTCTGATCACAGATCAATCCGTCGATCCCTCTCCTACACATGTCGGGGTCAAAAGAATTGCCCAGTTGACATCAATCACCGAAATCAATGCCAATATTGTCGATTGAGGAAATGCGTGCGGATGGGGATGAGAAAAGAAGGTTGGAGAAGAAAAAAAAAGAAGGTTTCCAAGAAAATCAGAGCCAACTGCTTGAAGCCAACCGCTTGATAAAGCTTCGTTCTTTCTCCTTTATCTTGATCCATTGATAAATTGATGAGAACGAGTCTCCGAGTCTTTCAGAACGAGTCTCCTTGTTGACCTCGGTGCAACGAAGCTCCGTCCCATCCAACGGAAATCTATTCAACATTTTACCGCCATTATTCCCGGGTGCAGGTAGGGTACTGTATAGAATTAGAAGTCTAGTGTAGCCTAGTGTAGTCTAGTGTAGCCTTGTGAGTACCATCCAATTGTTGATCTCGTGTAGTGAATAGTACGATCGCCTTTGTACACATTCCACTGGCAATAATGACTTCTTAATCTAGTAAACAGACAATCTCCTTAATAAAACAATAACCTTGACACTTGCAGGCCTTCTCTCTCCCTTCAGCACTCCCTTCTTACCTCTATTGACACTACCGATGGCGCCACACTTTCTCGCTCCAAATTTCGACTTTCTACGAACTGAACCTATTCAAATATCGAGTGAAGTTGAGGTAAACTTTCGCGTACTTTGTGCTATGTACTTTATACTATGTACTATGTACGTTGTACTTTGTACTATGTACTTTGTACTATGTACTTTGTACTTTGGTACTTTGTACTTTGGTACTTTGTACTTTGGTACTTTGTACTTTGGTACTTTGTACTATGTACTTTGTACTTTGGTACTTTGTACTATGTACTTTGGTACTTTGTACTTTGTACTTTGGTACTTTGGTACTTTGTACTTTGGTACTTTGTACTATGTACTTTGTACTATGTACTTTGTACTATGTACTTTGTACTATGTACTTTGTACTATGTACTTTGTACTATGTACTTTGTACTATGTACTTTGTACTATGTACTTTGTACTATGTACTTTGTACTATGTACTTTGTACTATGTACTTTGTACTATGTACTTTGTACTAGGTACTTTGTACTATGTACTTTGTACTATGTACTTTGTACTATGTACTTGGTACTATGTACTTTGTACTATGTACTTGGTACTATGTACTTTCTACTTTGTACTTTGTACTATGTACTTGGTACTATGTACTTTCTACTTTGTACTTTGTACTTTGTACTATGTACTTTCTACTTTGTACTTTGTACTCTGTACTTTGTACTCTGTACTTTGTACTCTGTACTTTGTACTCTGTACTTTGTACTATGTACTATGTACTTTGTACTATGTACTATGTACTTTGTACTATGTACGTTGTACTTTGTACTATATACTATGTACTATGTACTTTGTACTTTGGCACTTTGTACTCTGTACTTGGTACTATGTACTTTCTACTTTGTACTTTCTACTTTGTACTCTGTACTTTGTACTCTGTATTTTGTACTCTGTACTTTGTACTTTGTACTTGGTACTCTTTACTTCGTACTTTGTACTTGGTACTTTGTACTTGGTACTCTGTACTTCGTACTTGGTACTTTGTTCATGTACTCTGTGCTTTGTTCATGTACTCTGTACTCTGTACTTCACTTTGCACTTTACTGTACGTACTTTACGTACTTACTCACTTTTTAAACCCTTCTAGTGCACTGAAATCTTTGCTTTTCGCTTTTCGCTTCAGCGAAGAATCGAGTACACTAGAAAGGGTGTGTTTACGTTTTTTTGAGCTCAAAGCACAGCTCGAACAACTGGTAACAACTGTACTCGGAGGCTTTAAAATTCAAATTTCGATCGATTTCTTTGCATTTAGCCTCTCGCCGACACAAAACCCGTGGAAGAACGCGAAAAAAAGCCTCAACTCTGGACGATCTCCCGAATTCTTCCAAAATAGACCAAAAATCTTGATTTCCAATCTTTATTCCCAATATTTCCTTCTTTATTTTCCCAATTTTACCCACCAAATCCTTTTAAATTTCGAATTTTCTTTCAAATTTCCTTTCAAATTTCGAATTTCCTTCAAAAATTCGCATAAATAAAAGCATTTTCTCAACAAAATCATCGGTTTTTCGGTTATAAACGCTTTTCGGAGCGTTTTAATTGTCGTTTTAGTCGCTTTAGCCTTTTTAGTAGTTTAATCCAAAATCTATTCACCATTATTATTGATTCCAAGGCTGGCCAAGCTTTCCCAGACTGCCATTTCTATCAAATACAGTATCCAAGGCTTTCCTAGACTCAAAAACAACACAGTTTAATCCAAAATTGATTCACCATTATTATTGATTACTTCTTGCCATCTTTTGCGCAAAGAATTCATGCCGCTCTTGAAGAACTCTGCCGACTGTCACTCGAAAAACTTGGCGCCAAACCCGTGAAGGTCATCTAAAGGTCATCTAAAGTCATCTAGAGTCATCTAGACTCAGTTAGAGTCATCTAGATTCATCTAAAGTCATCTGGAGTCATCTGGAGTCATCTAGATTCATCTAGAGTCAGCTAGACTCATCTAGATTCATCTAGAGTCATCTAGAATCATCTAAAGTCATCTAGAGTCATCTAAACTCATCCAAAGGTCATCTGGAGTCAGCTGGGCTCATCTAGAGTCATCCAGATTCATCTAGAGTCATCTAAAGTCATCTAGATTCATCTAAAGGTCATCTGGAGTCAGCTGGACTCATCTAGAGTCATCCAGATTCATCTAGAGTCATCTAAAGTCATCTAGATTCATCTAAAGGTCATCTGGAGTCAGCTGGACTCATCTAGAGTCATCTAGATCCATCTAGAGTCATCTAGAGTCATCTAGATTCATCTAGAGTCATCTAGAGTCAGCTAGACTCATCTAAATTCATCTAGAGTCATCTAAAGTCATCTGGAGTCAGCTGGACTCATCTAAAGTCATCTAGATTCATCTAGAGTCATCTAGAGTCAGCTAGACTCATCTAGATTCATCTAGAGTCATCTAGAGTCATCTAAAGGTCATCTAAACTCATCTAAAGGTCATCTAGAGTCATCCAAAGCTCTAACAACGCTTGTTTAGATCCGAACAACCATTTGATTTGCTTATACAAGCAAATTGTATAAGCAAATTTCCCAATTCTTCATAGAAAACAAAAAGATTTTCCCGAAAAACAGAAAAACAACGCTTCGATTTTCTTCGCTTTTTCAATGAAATCATCAACATTTGAAGGGCTTTTCTGAAAGTTTTCTTTTAAAAGATTAATTAGGACTGAAAGAAACACCTGTTCAACCAATACTTTAATCTTTTACGCAAACAAAAAATGATTATCTTGTATTTTTTGAAAAAGAAACCATTTGCACTTATTTTACTATTCAAAAGAAAATCTTACAACAACTTGTTGTAAGATTTTCTTGTAAGCATTTAATTTAGTATTAATTTAGCATTAAATTTAGCATTAGAGTTGGTTTTAGAGTTGGCTTCAGAGCTGGCTTCAGAGCTGGCTTCAGAGCTGGCTTCAGAGCTGGCTTCAGAATTGGCTTCAGAGCTGGCTTCAGAGCTGGCTTTAGACCTGGCTTCAGAGCTGGCTTCAGAGCTGGCTTCAGAGCTGGCTTCAGAGCTGGCTTCAGAGCTGGCTTTAGAGTTGGCTTTATCTTTCCTTCAAATTCTGCCTCCTGTTTAACCGCAAACCCATTTTCATAGTGTCGATTTTCACGGTGTTAATGGGCAACATGGTGCTTCTTGCTGATACGACGAAAGCGTTTCCCATCGAGACGAATCAAGACGTTTTTGTGGTCATGGATTACGCGTCAAGTGAGTGTACAAGTTTTGCTTAAATATTGGTTTTGGAATGGACAAGATCTGAATCCTGTTAGCAGCAGGAATTCTGAGTTTCAAAGATCAGATCAGAACAGATCAATAGTCTGTTCTTGTTCTGGTTTTAGAGCTGGTTTTAGAGTTGGCTTCAGAGCTGGCTTCAGAGTTGGCTTCAGAGTTGGCTTCAGACCAGGCTTCAGAGCTGGCTTCAGAGCTGGCTTTAGCCTTCAGACCTGGCTTCAGACCTGGCTTTAGCCTTCAGACCTGGCTTCAGACCTAGCTTCAGTCTTCAGCCCTGGCCTCTGGCTAGACCAGATCGGATCTAGCTTCTGGATTTGTAATCCTTTCCCTGTAAATCCCTTATCTACCATTTACGAGCCTTCACCAGATAAGTTGTCATCAGTTTTCAGTTCTCGGCACACTCATCAACCTCTTCGGCCTCTACGTCATCACTTTCCACACACCGAACAGTATGAGAACCTATGGGCAAGCACTGTGCGCATATCAAGTTTTATAGAGGATCGATTTCTCATCTAAAAATCTCTCAGATTCTCTCCTTGATCACTGATGCATTGGTGGGATCGGCGCTGGCGCCGTACTTCATTTTCCCAGTGCCCGGCGGTCTTCCAATGGGATGGCTATGGAAATTCGGCGTTTCGACACGATTGCAGATTGTAAGTACCGTGCAATTGTTGATCTGTACGAACAAGTACTCTAGCAAACCCAAATCTAGTGAAGTACTTGGCGAAAAGTGGCCGGATGTTGTAGTGGATAGTGCGCCCCCCCCGCCCCCCTCGCTGCCCTCGGTCCCCTCACTGTCAAACTCTTTGCTTAAACCAGTAGCTTAAAAACTTTAAAGCTGAATATCTTTCATCAATTTTTAACTATTTTAAAGGATCTATAAAAGGTAAGAAAGCTATTTAGCTAAGAGATTTGATTGAAACGAGATTTACCGGTTCAGCGTTCGCAAAGTGACACTTGTTTCTTGAAACTCACCAAAAGCAATGACTTCAATTTAGGCTCTTGGTTTCATCTTTGGTGGCCACATGGTTTCACTGATCATGACAATGTTTTTGATTCGACATCAGACAATCATGCCGGAGGGACATTTCATGAAAATCTCGCCACAGTGAGTGCAAGTCTAGGTCTAGAGGCAAGGTCTAGAGGCAACTCTAGGTCTAGAGGCAAGGTCTAGAGGCAAGGTCTAGAGGCAAGGTCTAGAGGCAACTCTAGGTCTAGAGGCAAGGTCTAGAGGCAAGGTCTAGAGGCAAGGTCTAGAGGCAAGGTCTAGAGGCAAGGTCTAGAGGCAACTCTAGGTCTAGAGGCAAGGTCTAGAGGCAACTCTAGGTCTAGAGGCAAGGTCTAGAGGCAAGGTCTAGAGGCAAGGTCTAGAGGCAACTCTAGGTCTAGAGGCAAGGTCTAGAGGCAAGGTCTAGAGGCAAGGTCTAGAGGCAAGGTCTAGAGGCAACTCTAGGTCTACTGGCAACTCTAGGTCTAGAGGCAAGGTCTAGAGGCAAGTCTAGGTCTAGAGGGAACTCTAGGTCTAGAGGCAACCTTTGCTTTCCCCAGATTCGTCACTCCAATCTACATCATACTCCAATTCTGGCCATATCTTCACATGGGTGGCCTCTTTGTCTACATTTTCTACAATGATGACGACCAAGCGACAAGAGCTTTTTATCTAAAAGTGAAAGCTCATTGGTTGATCGAGAAATTTCTATTCTTTAGACATATCCAATATTCGAACAATTCATCAAAATCGATCGTTTTTATGCTTTCGCGCCGGGAAAGGGTTTTATTTTTGCGGTAAATATTTCTGCGTGGACAGCTGTTTTGACGGTTTTGATTGGAGGTGAGATTCGAGGTTTGGTTAGAGGTTTTGATTGGTTTTGATTTGAGGTTTGATTGGAGGTTTGATTGCACATTTTGATTGCACATTTCCATGCAACTTCTCCAGCTTTCTGAGCTTTTGTAGGCTTTTATAGACTTTTGTAGACATTTGTAGACTTTTATAGACTTCTCCAGCTTTCTGTTTGACTTTTGTAGGTTTTTATAGGCTTTGGGAGGCTTTTGTAGACATTTGTAGACTTCTCTAGCTTTCTGATTGGCTTTTGTAGACTTTTATAGGCTTTTGTAGGCTTTTATAGGCTTTTGTAGACTTTTGTAGGCTTTGGTAGGCTTTTGTAGGCTTTTATAGGCTTTTATAGACTTTTGTAGACTTTTGTAGACTTTTGTAGGCTTCTCCAGCTTTCTGATTGACTTTTGTAGGCTTTTGTAGGCTTTTATAGGCTTTTATAGACTTTTGTAGGCTTTGGTAGGCTTTTGTAGGCTTTTATAGGCTTTTATAGACTTTTGTAGGCTTTGGTAGGCTTTTGTAGGCTTTTATAGGCTTTTATAGACTTTTGTAGACTTTTGTAGACATTTGTAGACATTTATAGACATTTGTAGGCTTTGGTGGACTTTTGTAGACTTTTGTATACAATTTTCACCCTAAAATACAGTAGATCTAATCAAAAGTATAGAAATGGTAAAAGAAATGCCAAAAAGAAAGAAAAAGCCTACCTTTCAGTGATCGTTGGCTCTTGTTTCCACGTTTTGCGAGCGAGACGCGCGATCATCAGCGTGAAGACGTACAAATTGCAGAGGAAATGGATCCAAAAATGCATTCTGCAAGTGGTCATTCCACTTGTGACCATATTTCTGCCAATAGTTGCCGGGATCTACACTGTGCTCGCCGGGAATCTCACGTTAGTTGGTGGGTATACTGGCTACAGTACATCACGGTTTGCTTGAGAGCTACAGTACCTGAAGAGCTATAGTGGCCTTAGAGCTAAGGTCTTAGAGCTACAGTAGGTCAGAGCTACAGTAGGTCAGAGCTACAGTAGGTCAGAGCTTCAGTAGACCAAGAACCTACAGTGCCCGAAGAGCTACAGTAAGCCAAAGAGCTCCTCTGCTAAATCTCATCCATTCGGTTTCAAGTAATCTCTAATCCTTTCAGCTCTTGCACCATTTGGTGTCTTTTGCATCGCCGAACACGGTCTCCTTTCAACGATCGTCACTTTGGCCCTCTATCGACCATACTATGCCTATATTGAGCAAATCGTTTGGGATTTTCTCGCAAAAGTCTTCCCGTGTAAGTTTTAAAACACTTCAATGAGCCAGAAAAGGTATTTGAGCGAAAAAGAGCTCTAAAGATCAAAGAGCTCCAGTACTACAGAGCTACAGGTTACAGGACTGAGCTACAGGCTACAGGACTGAGCTACAGGCTACAGTAGAGCCAAGGAGCTACAGTATACAAGTACTTTGTGCAGAGGAGAAACGCTAGCTTTCTGGTGCATTGGCTCAATTACCCGATCAATGTTTAGGCCTTTTTGAGCCTCGAGTCTTCTCGACAGCTGAAGCAACGACTATCGTTGTGTTATCAAAAGCGAGAGCGGGAAAGATTCGACGATTCTCGTTAGCAGCCCGTTTAGCCGTCACTGGTCACTCAAATATCACGAATCTCTCAAGGATTGCTAGCAGTCTTGGATAGAGAAATATTATTGTTTTGTATAAATCTTTCTCACTTCAGCACAGCTTTCAGCAACGGTTTAATTACCCACCTTTTCTTAAAGGCGGTAGAAAGCTTTGTTGGAAAAGGAAAAGTTTCGTCTGCAACGATGCACTACAAAGTGAAAATTGCAAAAGCAGGGATCGAACCCGGCATGCCTGGAGCGAGAGACCGACGCTCTGGCAGTGCGCCATGAAGACAGTTGAAGCGAACCACTTTTCTCCGCCTTTTGTGGTAGAGCTTTTCTCTGCCTTGTAGAGCTTCTTGCTAACCAATAATCAAAATTGCTACCCAATAATGAAAATTGCAAAAATTAGAGGCAGCAAGTGGGATCGAACCCCCGATGCCCTGAGGGACAGACCAACGCTCTGGTAATGCGCTATGAAGAGAGATGAACTGACTGCCTTTCCGCGGGTTGTCTTCTTGCCGGGGAGCTTTTTGCTACCCTCTTGAGAATCCTGAAACGCTAACTGACAAGGGAAGGCAACTGGTTGGTCAACTGGTTAACTGGTTGGTCAATTGGTCAACTGGCTAGGTCAACTGGTTAACTAGCTGGTCAACTGGTCAACTAGCTGGTCAACTGGTCAACTTGCTTTCCATTAAACAATAAAAATTGCAAAATTGGCAGCCAGAGGGATCGAACCCCCGATGACCGGAGCGACAAACAGACGCTCTCTTGAGAATCCTGAAACGCTATGCGCTATGAAGACAGATGAATCGTCTGCTTTTGGCTTGTTTCCTTGCGGGGGAGCTTTTTACTCTCTTGAGAATCCTGAAACGCTAACTGACAAGGGAAGGTCAACTGGCTGGCTAAACTTGCTAAGCTAGAATCTAAAGTGGGGATCGAACTCGTGAGATCTCGCTCTGGAAACGAACATCTACCACTCGGTCACTCCTTCAGCTAATTTGATCTGCAAAGGGTGCTAAGATCCAAATGACCACATGACACAAATGACTTTTCAGAGTCCTAACAAGCGTTAGACGCTTATAACTCTTGACAGATTGGCATTTAGTTAAAACGGAAGATATATTCGGCATCAAATTCAGATATTAGCATCTATTCTAGCATCATCTGCGAATTCTAGAGATCGTATAGCGTATAGCAGATCGTATTTGGTTAGTTAACCATCGCTTATCAGTTATTTAATGTTTGCATCGATTAATCGATTCAAAGAGATTAATCGATTCAAAGAGATTAATCGATTCAAAGAGATTAAACCATTAGACAGTAAAGACAAGCTTAAACTTTGCTTGTTTCAGTATCTTTGTTTCTTCATGGTGTATTGGTTAAGTTCTCTTCCCTAGCCCGTGCGCCCAGACTAGAGGTGTCTTCTCTAGAGCTGACTAGAGATCCCTTCTCTAGCGGAGTTCTCTAGCGGAGTTCACTCTTCCACTGGGTTGGCCCATTCATGGCCTGAGGTTATTAAAGCAAGAAGCCTATCTTCTATCTATCTTCTTTTCTCCGCGCCTCTTTCTTAAAATATCTCATCTTTCTCTATGTATTTATGTGTAGATTTGTGTATTGTCTGACTGATTACACTTTATTTCATTTCCTGAATAAAGTATCAATATTTCAGTAAACTTTGCTTGTTTCAGCAAAACTTTAAACTTTAAATACTTTAAATCCATTAGACTTTAAAATTAATTAGCTAAATTGACATTTTTTTGGATTTAGAGATGGGGGAAATAAGTTAACAATCATTTTTTCGAGTAATTAATTTGAAACACAGCTTTTCACCTGCTTTTACACCGAGCCACAGAATTTTAGAAGCTGAAAAGCTGAAAGCTGAAAAGTTTCGTTATCAAATCGAGATTTTCTTTTCAGAATAGAGTTGTTAATTGTTTAGAAGTTGATCATTGTTTAGAATTGTTGATAGAAGTTGATAATTGTTTAGAAAATGGAGAATATTGTCCCATTCATCGATACAACAAGAGAAGTGCCGATTGATACGAATACTGCTGTTTTTTATGTCTTGCATTATATTGCTAGTGGGTTTGATCGATCCAATGTTACAGTAACGCTCAGTACAGTAACCTAGCTAGTACAGTAACCTAGCTAGTACAGTAACCTAGCTAGTACAGTAACCTAGCTAGTACAGTAACCTAGCTAGTACAGTAACCTAGCTAGTACAGTAACCTAGCTAGTACAGTAACCTAGCTAGTACAGTAACCTAGCTAGTACAGTAGCCTAGCTAGTACAGTAGCCTAGCTAGTACAGTAACCTAGCTAGTACAGTAACCTAGCTAGTACAATAACCTAGCTAGTACAGTAACCTAGCTAGTACAGTAACCTAGCTAGTACAGTAACCTAGCTAGTACAATAACCTAGCTAGTACAGTAACCTAGCTAGTACAGTAACCTAGCTAGTACAATAACCTAGCTAGTACAGTAACCTAGCTAGTACAGTAACCTAGCTAGTACAGTAACCTAGCTAGTACAATAACCTAGCTAGTACAGTAGCCTAGCTAGTACAGTAACCTAGCTAGTACAGTAACCTAGCTAGTACAGTAACCTAGCTAGTACAGTAACCTAGCTAGTACAATAACCTAGCTAGTACAGTAACCTAGCTAGTACAGTAACCTAGCTAGTACAGTAACCTAGCTAGTACAATAACCTATCTAGTACAGTAACCTAGCTAGTACAATAACCTAGCTAGTACAGTAACCTAGCTAGTACAGTAACCTAGCTAGTACAGTAGCCTAGCTAGTACAGTAACCTAGCTAGTACAGTAGCCTAGCTAGTACAGTAACCTAGCTAGTACAGTAACCTAGCTAGTACAATAACCTAGCTAGTACAATAACCTAGCTAGTACAATAACCTAGCTAGTACAGTAACCTAGCTAGTACAATAACCTAGCTAGTACAATAACCTAGCTAGTACAATAACCATTAGAATACTGTAAAGAAGTATTGTTATAGTATTCATCCACAGTCTTGTAGCATTCATCCATAGCTGAGTCTTGTAGCATTCTTTCATTTCCAGTATTCGAGGCGGCGATCAATCTCTTCGGTTTCTATGTGATCGCTTTCCACACACCACAAAGTATGAGAAATTATGGACGAGCGTTGAGTGCTTATCAGGTAAACAATTAAGAAAAGGTTTGAAAGTGAAAGTGAACAAAAGTGAAAAACGAGAAGCTGAATTCTTTTGCTTTTCAAAATAAGTTTATAGTTTTAGATAATTAATGAAAACTACTATTAGAGTTTTTTTTTGAAAAAGTCGTGGAAGCAGAAAGCTGTGGCGGGGATCGAGCCAACCGGCAATCAATAGCAATGAGTGGGAATCAATAGCAATGAGTGACAATCAATAGCAATGGGTGGCAATCAATCTCACTAACCACTCGGCCATCGAGTAACTCGATTAGAATTTAGCCAAATATCTTTCAGATTCTAGCATGCGTTCCAGATTGAGCTCTACGATTAAAAGAATATCGCAAACTTCACAAAATCTTTCAATTTAAGCCTTAAAGTCGAGAATTGATCAGTAGCACAAAAGAAATTAGGATTAGAAGCACAAAATGTAGTTGATTTTGGCTTTGCAAAGTTTTTACTAGAAAAACAATGACAATGAATGACAATAGAAAGCTCAAAAAGACAATAGAAAGCTCAAAAAGACAATAGAAAGCTCAAAAAGACAATAGAAAGCTATAGAAAGCTATATTAGACATTTGAAAGGAACGAATTCTACTGGAAATCTCTTGAGAATCTCTTGAGAATCTCTACATTGATCTTTAGATAGTCTCCTTGATTGCTGATGGTTTGATTGGGTCAGCTCTTGCTCCATATTTGATCTTCCCGGTTCCCGGTGGTCTACCAATGGGTTGGATGTGGAAATTCGGCATCTCTACCCAACTACAAATTGTTTAAATCATTTAAATCCTAAGAAAAAGCTTTTCTAGATCTTTGGCTTTGTCTCAGTGGGTCATATGGTAACGCTAATGGTTACAATGTTCATTGTTCGACATCAAACAATTTTGCCACAAGAACATGCGCTCAAAATGAGACCCGGGTAAGGAATTTTGTCTTTTACGATGCCTAGATGATTGCCTAGATGATTTTAAGCCTATTCAATCAGCTCATAGCTAAAGAGGGTTTTGTTTGAATACAAGGCAAAGCTAGATCCTTCAGATTGATTGATTAGGCTTAGGCTTAGGCTTAGGCTTAGGCTGAGGCTTAGGCTGAGGCTTAGGCTTAGGCTTAGGCTTAGGCTTAGGCTTAGGCTTAGGCTTAAGATTATCGTAAAAAATCGCAAACTTAAACCTAACTTAAAAAACTACTTCATCGAAAAAGTACTTTTCCAGTCGTCTTGCTATTTTCTACAGCTTACTCCAAATCTGGCCCTATCTTCACTTCACAACCATCATGATTTACACATTCTACAATGATGATCAAGACAGCATCAAGAGCTATTATGCTGATGTAAGCTTAAACTTAAGCTTAAGCCTAAGCTATGATTGTCTTAAACTTAAGCTATGATTATCTTAAGCTTAAGCTATGATTGTCTTAAGCTTAAGATATGATTGTCTTAAGCTTAAGATATGATTGTCTTAATGGTGAAAAAGATGATGAAGAGATGGAGGGAAACTTGTTGTCATCTTAAAATAAACTAAAATAGTACTTCCCCACCCAGCAGAACTAACGGTACCGGCTGTGTAGGCACAGGTCTGTGGAGGCACAGTCTGATCTAAGGTTTCCGGCTGTGTAGGCACAGTCTGACCTAAGGTTTCCGGCTGTGTAGGCACAGTCTGACCTAAGGTTTCCGGCTGTGTAGGCACAGTCTGACCTAAGGTTCCCGGCTGCGAACTAACGTTACCGGCTGTGTAGGCACAGATCTGTGTAGGCACAGTCTGAACTAACGTTACCGGCTGCGAACTAAGGTAAGGAATTTTGCCTTTTACAATGATTTTAAGCCTATTCAATCAGTCTGATTCAATCAGCTCGTAGCTAAAGAGGGCTTCCCAGTTGTTGAAAAATGGCATCAATGTTTACATAAATGTCACGATTTGCTCACTTAGTCACTTTTCTATCTACTCACTTTTCTATCTAGAGATATCCAATCTTTCGCCAATTCCTTTCAATCGATCGTTTCTATGCGTTTTCTTTGGAAAATGGGATCAATGTTTGCATAAATGTCACGATTTGGGTGATTATCGTTGTGATTATCATCAGTGGTTTGCAATAACGAAAGGATTTTTGATTTAAACTTACATTCAGTTGTCGTTCTTTCATGTTTTCATGTGCTTGAATCGCGCAAGGACAAAATAAGCCCAAAAACATTTCGCTTGCAAAGGAAATGGATACACAAATGTATTCTACAGGTTTGCTAGAAAAGGTTGCTAGAAATTCTACAGATTTGCTAGAAATATCAGTTAAGTTTATGAAAAGATGTTGGAAGAATTTATGGATTGGTTTTTGAGAAATGAGAAAAATTGTTTTTTTGAGAAATCATTGTGTAAACTTTTCAGAGAACTTTCTTTTCAATAAAATTCAATTCAATAGAATTTTTTACGGTTTATGTCACTGCTTTTATAGCAAACACAAGGAAAGATCAAATGCTAAACTATCGCAGAATTTGATGCTGATTCTGAATATATATGTTACGTCTAAATCCGACCAGACCGAATCAGAATCCGATTAGAATAATCCGATCAGACTGGATCCGATCGGGATGTCGGAATATTGACGTTCGAATCCGATTCGGACGTCAATATCTAATTCGAACATCCAAATCCAGACATTTTTGTCTTTGTCCAGCCAAATCCAGCCTTCAACCAATCCAGCCAGCCGATTTCGGTCGTCATTTGGGTCTTAGCGGCCTTTTTGCAGACCAAGATTCAGTGCAGCTGTGGCCGAGTGGTAAAGCTAAGCTAAGCTTTCATTTCTAGAGCTCAGCTTTCATTTCTAGAGCTCAGCTTTCATTTCTAGAGCTCAGCTTCCATTTCTAGAGCTCAGCTTCCATTTCTAGAGCTCAGCTTTCATTTCTAGAGCTCAGCTTCCATTTCTAGAGCTCAGCTTCCATTTCTAGAGCTCAGCTTCCACTTCACAAGTTCTATCCCCACTTCTTTTCAAGAAGTGCTAGTCTTCTGACTAGTTGTCAATAACTTCTTCTTACTGTTTGTTTACGGTGGTTTGAGCTTTGTTTAGGATTAAGGCTATGCATTAATTTGATGACATTTGTGTAGTGAGAGGTTCAAAGTAGATAAAACCCTTAGAAATAATAAATAATTTCTATTTCGTTGCTCAATCGCATTTCCAGGTCTCAATCCCGATGATCACTTTACTTTTCCCTGTACTTGCTTCAATCTACATCTTTGTATCAAAGAACTTGGCATTAGTTGGTAAGTTGAAAGTATGCTATTATTTAAAAAGTAGAAAGTACCAAGTCTGTAACGAAAAGGAAGAATCTGAAGAGAAAAGGAAACAAATCTGTAGAGAAAAGGAACCAAATCTGTAGAGAAAAGGAAACAAAACTGTAGAGAAGCTGTAGACAAATCTAAGCTGAAAGACTGAAAGATCAAATTTGTGTTAGAAATTAGAGAATTCAGAATTAGAGAAAGTCTCAAAACCGAAACGAATCCATCAAATAAGTAACTAGCTTTGTCTTTAAACTTTCATTGTTACTTGAAACTTTTACTTTACTCTAGTTACAATCAATTACAGCTGAAGCTTACAGCTAAAGCTTACAGCGTCAAGCTGAATCCTTCAGTAATCCTGAAGAGACAGGACTCTGCTTGAAGTTTAGCACAATCTAGAAATTCAAGATTGATCTAGATTGATCTAAAAATTCAGGATTGATCTAGATTGATCCAAAAATTCAGGATTGGTCCCGCTGGGCTTAGTCTTGTTCTCATTACATGGACTTCTTTCCACAATTGTCACCTTGTCCCTTTATCGACCTTATTACGCTTATGTGGAACAAATTGTCTGGAATCTCTTGGCCAAGATCTTACCATGTGAGTAAAATAGAAAAAGAAATAAAAAAAGCAATAAGGAATAAAAAAAGAAATAAGAAAATGCTATTCCGCAGAGCTTTTAGGCTATACGAAACAAATATTTAAGGTATCTTTGCTCCGAGAACTTTTGCGATGGGAGAAACGACTACTGTTGTTCCCGGTGGAAGTGATCGACGCTTTAGTTTAGCCGCTCGAATCGCGAAAACCTCGTTTACTCGCTCATCTGCCGTTCAAAGCACTTTTTAGTTGTTGAAGATTTAAGCTTTTATGAAGTTTTGAATAAAGAGAAAGAATGAAATCAGAAAACATAATGAAAACGTTTTACAAAAAAATTGACAAACATTGAATATTTAGCCAGATGACTGAATATCTTCACTTTTGTAGCTGCATTAACAAAAAACTTTCATTCTTCACTTAATTTTTTGAGTTGTTGCGCGCCAGTCCTTTTCTTTTGCGTAGGTTATGACTTTGCATTGCTTTGCTTTGCATTGCTTTGCTTTGCATTGCTTTGCATTGCTTTGCTTTGCATTGCTTTGCTTTGCATTGCATTGCTTTGCTTTGCAGTGCTTTGCTTTGCATTGCATTGCTTTGCTTTGCATTGCATTGCTTTGCTTTGCATTGCTTTGCAGTGCTTTGCATTGCAGTGCTTTGCATTGCAGTGCTTTGCTTTGCATTGCATTGCTTTACTTTGCTTAGCTTTGCATTGCTTGACATTGCTTTGCTTTGCTTAGCTTGCTTTGCATTGCTTGCTTTGCTTATTTTCTCGTTTTATTTCAAGAACTCAATGAAAATGAGAAGAGCATCCGCGCTTTTAAACGTTAACCATGCTAGAACGCTTGCCAACGAATATTCTAGCTTTGAAGCTGCTTTATTTGAAGTCTAAATCTGCTCCTATCGTTAAGTCACCGGCTTGTTGTCTTTTCCATTCTTTTCCATTCTTGATCCATTCAATTTTTCTTTTTTAGTGATGTCCGACCACGACGAGGATCATCAATTTGAGGGAGCCGCCGATTCGGGAGCTGCTGCCACTTTCCCCAAGCAATGCTCGGCACTGCGCAAGGGTGAGCACGTGATGATCAAGGGGCGTCCATGCAAGATCGTCGAGATGTCAACTTCGAAGACTGGAAAACACGGGCACGCCAAGGTTCATATGGTCGCTCTCGACATCTTCACCGGCAAGAAATACGAGGATATCTGCCCATCCACTCACAACATGGATGTCCCAATAGTCAAGAAGCGCGAGTTCATGGTCGGTTTTTTGGGAGTTTAATATTAAAAACTTTGTTGCTTTGGTGATTGGGAGAAGCTACTTTTGGCTTGGCTTCGTCGAATCTAGTGTTTTAAGCGGTTCTTGTCGGTACTTTTCTTCTATTCCCGGATAATTCAATATGCTGAAGTGATTGGTGCTAATTTTAAAGTATTTCCAACATGTTTCAAGTTAGTACTGTGGCTTTCCAAGTGTAATCAGCTTTGAAATACGAGGTACGATAGAAGACGAGGACACAGGGCAAATCATTGAATAGGATTATCGAAAACGTGCTTAAATTAGCATCCATCGCTTCAGCATATATCTCTTTCTTCAGAATAAAAGAAAAGTATCGACGCGAACCGCTCAAAACATTTTTTTCGACAAAGTAAACTAAAAGTGGCCCCTCCCAACTACCAAAGTACCAAAACTTGACCGTTTTACTTTTAAACTTTATTAAAACATAACGATGGTAACTGTTTTAGCATTTAATTGTTAAGGCTAATGTAGGGAATTACTAGATTGTTGCCCGAGATTAATATTTTTCTTTTAGTTGATGGATATTAACGCCGATGGATTCCTCAGCTTGATGGATCCTGAATCTTGCGACACAAAGGACGACTTGAAACTGCCAGAAGACGCTACACTTTCAACTCCAATCAAGGAAGCTTTTGAGAAGGACGAAACCGGAATTATGGTAAATCTTGGGTTTATTAATTAGATGCATTTAAGGTTCATCAGCTTTGTGAATTGTTTATCTTGTTCTGTTTAGGTGACCGTTTTCGCTGCTTGTGGTGAGGAAGCTGTGATGGGTTTCAAGAACATGCCCAAGGACCAATAGAAGATGCGTGGCCTCTTCCAGCTTTGTTCAACCATTTATCACCAATGATAAGACACCGAAATCGTTAAATATTTCTCTTTGGTTGTTTCATTATAGTAAACAATGTAAATTTTATTTTCCTGCTTGTTAAATTTTGTAAATAAAAAGTTTGATAAATGCGAAAGTGTGAAGAAATGTTAATCCACAAAGCTATCGCAAATGTTCGCAAAGAAAGTTTGGGGTCTTCAATCTTAGCCACAAATCTATTTTGAGTTTCACAATCACAAAGTTTGTGGGTGCGTTTAAATTGTTACAAGCATATTGCATGTGTCTTTGGAGGCAATTAACGTTTTCTCTGTCGTTGCGTGTACAATGGAGTCGAGTGTACTTGCCGACTGAGAGAAACGAAAATATTACGCCATGCTTTAACAAGCTTACCTTAAATTTTTTTGTCAATTACTTCAATATCTTTATTTGTCAGAACAGTTAAGCGAGAATTTAGCAAAGCCTTTTTAGAAGTGAAACAAGATGGGAGCTGATGGTGGCACGATTCCAAAACGATGCGAACTAGTACGGCTTTTAATTCTATTCTGCTGTGTATTTTCGACAAATTACAATTGTTTATTTCTAGGTACGAAAGTCGAAAAAAGTGGAGAAGATCGAAAGAGCGGTGAAGAACGCCACGAAATGGAGAACGTGTCAACTCTCGCAACAACCGCTGAAGAAGCCAATTATCGCTTGCAGGTTTGTTAAGAATAACCAATTTTTTTAATAAAGTAAGGTTTTTGATCCTTATATCTAGACTTGGACGACTCTACAATAAAGAGGCAATCATCGAGGCCATCTTGAACAAAACTATTGGCAAAATCGACATCACGGCTCATATCAAAGGCGTTAAGGTAGCTAATTTGGTTTAGATATTTTGACTTTTTGTTTTTTAGGATTTCAAAGAGTTGCGCCTCACTGTAAACAAGGATTACACAGATGATGGGGTAATTTATTGATTCTAAATTTCAAAAATGTTTTCTATTTTAGGCTAAAGGTGATAGCTATTTGGACGTAAATCAGACACCCTACATCTGCCCAGTGACTTCATTCCCAATGAACGGGAATCAATCGTTTGTTTTCAATTGGAAGTGCGGATGTGTCTTTTCAGAGAAGGCGCTTAACGAGGTATTTCCTTTTTAGTTTATCGATTTTGCTTTTGATTAAAGTGATAGTAGCAATGCACGTTTTCTTTACAAGTTAATTCGTCTGCTTTGATCAAAAATCAATCAATAATTTTTAATGCTTTAGTTTTAATGCTAGTTTCAATTGTTTTTTTAGATCAAGTCCGAATCTTGCCATGGCTGCAGCCAACCGATGAGCCCAGAAGACATCATTGTGCTCAATCCCAGTGAAGAACTTTTAGCGGAATACAAGGTAACTTTATGTAAATTTGTTTTTTTTTTTGATAAAGATGCATTCCCTAAATTATTTAAGTAAAGATGTCATATATAAATTATTATGATTTTTTTTCAGGAAAGGCTAGCTACGGAGAAGAAGGTGAAGAAAGAAAAGAAAGTGGCAGAAAAGGAGGCAAATGGGACGAATCAAGTAGTCAACGAGCCGGTGGCTGGGCCTTCTAATGGAGCACCTACACGGAAACACAGTGCGAACGAGGATCAACTACCACCAAAAGCGCAACCAGTTGGTGAAGCTGCGGTGGCCGTTAATCAAGGTAATTTTCAAGTTAGAAGTCCTATTTCAATAGTTAGAATCTATGTGCGTAGCTTTTGCATAATTTTGCTTATTTTTATAAGTTTCTTTTTAGTTAAAAAGGCAGAAAAACGAAAAGCGGAAGCGATGGGTATTTTGAAAGGAAAAGTGTCGATACAAGAGGATCCTACAAAATCCGATGTCTACAAGAAGCTCTTTACCACATGCGAGGAAGCGAAAAACAAACCGGAGCAACATTGGGTCACGCACAATCCTCTATTTTACTGACAAGGTCTTTTTACTTTCAATGTTACATATTTATTTCTGAAAATATTCCTAGTTTTTGAATTGTTCTTATCATTGAATCGTGTATTTGTTCCAAAATAAACAGTTGTGAGGTTATAAAAACTAGACTAAAACAAGTAATGGATTGCTGGCTTTCAGAGAGTTCTTCATCTAGGATTACGACTAATTTCACAAGATCGGACTTAATTTCTGCAAAATCTTCTGAATCGCAAAATCTTTCTAAGCTTGACGCGGCGTGTGTGGAGGCAAATGACAGGTGGAAGGCGGCGAGACTTTCGGCTTCTCTTCAACCCCCTCAGGGGAAAGATGGGAGGCGATCCCCAGGACACTTTTTGGGACAGTCAGCAAATAGGGGAATGGGGTTGAGGAGGGGAAATGGGGAGAAGAAGAATCGAAAGAAGAAAAGAATCGAAAGAGGACCAGACGACCCTTTCACTCTCGGTGACAAGGACGACCGATGTAGCTGATCGGTGAGGGGGAAAGAGAGGTGAAGAGCAAGGCTTCACATCTCTCCCTCACTCTCTAAAAAGGACTCCTTTTGGAACACAATACACCTTGTGTGTATTCTTGTTTCGTTTAGAGGCTCAAGTGTGTGTGTGTGTGTGTTGCTTTGCCTGGAGGACAGGCTTGAAACATCGGCCGCTCGTTCGATGAAAAGTTTTGAGCCACAGACTGAGTGGGCTTCGTCTTTTTTTTGACGGAAATTTTGTGCTTGGCTGTGCTTGATTGGGATTAAATTCAAATTCTATTCAAATTCTATCCAAATTTCTCTTTCTTATGACTAGATTTTGTTGTTGATTTGTTTAACCATGTCAGTTAGTCTTTTTCACTTTCACTAGCACTTTTTTTGAATAGCACTTTTTGAATAGCGCGTTTAAGCCTTAGATAAATCTTCTTGCCGCTTTTATTATCTGCTAGCTTTTTTTTTCCGAAAACTTCTAATTCTAAATTCGTACTTTGTAAGTATTCTAAAACTTCTCTCGGGCTAAATTGTACAGACAACAAAGTCTGCTGGTCACAAAGATCAATGTGATTTTGAGCCTTCCTTCGGGCTATCCTCCATTTCCACTAAAGAGAAAGTGTACACGTTTTCTTTCACTTTTCCCCCCTCTCGATTCGCATATTTGTCGAACATGATTCGGAGTGAGGTTTTTGTGGTTCTCTTTTTTTTCTTTCTTTTTTTTTCTTTCTCTTTGTGCGCGGGATTTTGTCCCGGGGAAAAAAAGTGACTAAGTGAAGTGTGTACACCAGGAAGCACCATCACTTTTGTTTTTTTCTTTGTCCTTTCTCTCATTTCCCTTTTTCTGTTGTTCTATGGTGCCAATGTCTGTCTACTCGAGCATTTCTTATTTTGGGATATTTTTGGAAAAGGGCACCTGTTTTGGGATAGGTTCTAGAATTCACTAGCGAAGATCCAAAGCGACATCTACCTTTTCTGCTATATTCATTTACCACAGGCTCATGAGCCTAAGCCTGGTGAAGTGCTAAAGTTGAGTGCTAAAGTCGAGCAGCTGGGTCTGGATTTTGCTTGTCCTAGTTTTGACTTACTCTTTGGCCAATACCAGTCAGCTTCTGGCTTCTGGATTAGGCCAGCTTGGCTCTGGTTTGGCTAGCTTGGCTCTAGTTTAGCTAGCTTGGCTCTGACTTGGCTAGCTTGGCTCTAGTTTGGCTAGCGTGGCTCTGGTTTGGCTAGCTTGCCTCTAGCTTGGTCAGCTTGGCTCTGACTTGGCTAGCTTGGCTCTAGTTTGGCTAGCTTGGCTCTGACTTGGCTAGCTTGGCTCTAGTTTAGCTAGCTTGGCTCTGACTTGGCTAGCTTGGCTCTAGCTTGGCTAGCTTGGCTCTGGTTTGGCTAGCTTGCCTCTAGCTTGGTCAGCTTGGCTCGGGTTTGGCTAACTTGGTTCTGGTTTGGTTAGCTTGGATCTGGCTTGGCTAGCTTGGCTCTGGCTTGGTCAGCTTGGCTCTGGCTTACTAGTTAGCTGGAGTTAATTTTCTGACTTTATCTGCTTCAGTTATTTTGAGACAAATCAGTTGGAAATTCGCAAATATCACCTCGAAGTTTTCGCTTTCAAATAACAGGGTGAAGTGTGTCTTGTCTTGAAAAGATGATAGAGAGAAAGGTGATAGAAATGACAGAAAGGGAGGGAAAGGGTGATTCCCTGCAGGTTTTAGCCATTCTCCATTCAATGAGGGATCGACGAGGGTGAAAGGAGCCGAGTCTTCACCCTCTTCCCCCACGCCACAGACATTGGCTTCTTTTTTTGTTTCGTGTAGAACCTTTTTGCCAGCCTACTAGCTAGACTTGACTAATTTTGGATAACAAGCACTAATTGAGTGCAATTGGCTAGATTATTAAGCTATTAGGCTAGACTATCAGGATATCAGCTTTGGTTTTGCTCTTTTCAACTCTTCTTACACGCTTCTGAGAGCTCAAAATCTTGTCTCAAAAGAAGGCCAACGTTTCTAGCTTCATTTTTTATATAAGCAGATGGTTATCATTTAAATATGAACCTTTTATCGAAATCTAGATTTGTATCTGTTGGGAATAGACTTGATTATCGATATTTGAGTATCGAAAAGTATTGATAAGCTTTTTAAGGCACTCACATATTAGAATTTGTTTTGTATAAGATAACAAATCAAAAGCTGACATTCTCGGCTTTCCAATGAAACAATTTGTAGATTGATAGCTGCTCTAGAAACCGAGATCTGAACGGTTAAACATGAGCTTGCCATTTGTATCGATAAGCAAGTCTAATTGGGAAGAGAGCCTTTTATACTTAAGTCGTTTTCTTCACAAAGTCCTTTTCTACACAAAGTCCTTTTCTACACAAAGTCGTTTTCTGCCCAAAGTCGTTTTCTAAAGTGCACCTTCTACGTCTGTCTAGGTTGTCGCTAAGAACGTCTCGTAGTCTGTGCAATTTTATTTTATTTTTCCGCCATCTCGTTTTTTTTTACATTTTTATTTTTGTTCTTTATTTTTTTTACTTTTTTCTTTTTTCTTTTTCCTTTTTTCTATTTCTTTTTCCTTTTTTTCTTTTATCCTTTTCTTTTATTCGTTCTCATTACTTTGGAGAAACGCTAACTGTTGTGTGTGAACCGTATTGGAATCGTATTGGAACCGTATTGGAACCGTATCAGATCAAAATAGGAACCGTATTGGAATCGTGTTGGAACCGTATTGGAACCGTATCAGATCAAAATAGGAACCGTATTGGAATCGTATTGGAGCCGTATTGGAATCGTATTGGAACCGTATCAGATCAAAATAGGAACCGTATTGGAATCGTGTTGGAACCGTATTGGAACCGTATCAGATCAAAATAGGAACCGTATTGGAATCGTGTTGGAATCGTATTGGAACCGTATCAGATCAAAATAGGAATCGTATTGGAATCGTGTTGGAACCGTATTGGAACCGTATCAGATCAAAATAGGAACCGGATTCCACAAGCAAGTCAATCACATTACAACAGAGTCTACTATTACAAAGCTCTCAATCAAAACCTATTACTTTCACATTATTTCTTCCTATATCTTAACAAAATATAACAAAATATCAACAAAATATAACAAAATATCAAAATATACAGAAATATACAAAATATACAGAATATTATTATTCTCTAGAAATTTATGATACGATCAATGCACTGATTCCCCCCTTTTTCATATTTATATGGGAAAATTGAGGAGCGATCACACCGATCGCTTGAATTGAATCGGAGAAAAAAATACGCAGCAAAAAGATGAAAAGAATATTTCGCATTTGAATCGATTTTATTACTACTTTTGTGCGAAAAAGAATACCGTATTTCTTCGAAAAGAAGGCCGGGTAAAGGGTATCATCGCGTACTCCTGCGTAGCAGCCCTTTCTTCTGCTTAGCAGCCCTTTCTCCTGCTTAGCAGCCCTTTCTCCTGCTTAGCAGCCCTTTCTTCTTCTTAGCAGCCTTTTCTTCTTCTTAGCAGCCCTTTCTTCTTCTTAGCAGCCCTTTCTTCTTCTTAGCAGCCCTTTCTTCTTCTTAGCAGCCCTTTCTTCTGCTTAGCAGCCCTTTCCTCTGCTTAGCAGCCCTTTTTAAAATCTCTTTTCTGCATAAAAGCTTTCAATCAAGTGCTATAGAGCTGGAAAATGGCTCAAAAATCTGTTAGCTCATGTGGTATTTTTTAAATCATTTTCCAGCTCTATAGCACTTCATTGAAAGCTTTTATGCAGAAAAGAAATTCTAAAAAGGGCTGCTACGCAGAAGAAAGGACTGCTACGCAGGAGTACGCGATGATACCCTTTACCCGGTCTTCTATTCGAAGAAATACGGTAAACAAAATAAAATGCAAATCTGTAGCCAAGTGTTGATGGATTTTGCATTGGATATTGGCGGATTTTCATAGAATGGCTCACACTTTCCCCCCATAATCTCCGGCTTTTCAATGGTGATCAATGGAAAGCAGTAGACCGTTGAGCTTTATCTCTAGTCAGTTCAGTTTTGGCGTTTCATCTTTCCTTCAAGTTTGAGAATTTTTCAAGATACTACTGGACAATGAAATATGATATTTGAAAAAAGATCGTCACTTTCGCGCGTCTGTAACTCCCTTGTCTTTACCGTATTTCTAAATATTAATATTATCATTGTGTAGCCCTTGAAAAGAGCTTTCAGAAATGGTATAGCACTAATAGTTTAAACTCAAAGCTAAGGAAGTTACAGACGCGCGAAAGTGACGAAGTCAAATATGATATTTCATTGTCCAGTACTGTACCATCCGACGCAGAATTTCCCGCTGAATCCGAATCTGCTTTCCGTTTTTACTAAATGACACTCTATCAAAAGTTATACGCATTTAAAGTTTCTCATTTCATTTTCCTTAAGGATTTCATTGTCCACTACTGTAAATAAAAAGCGAAATTTCATTTGATTACTATTCCTTTCATGCTATAACTTGTTTACAGCTTTTGCTCAGCTTTTCCTTTAGTCATTTTGTTTATATAGTAATTTCAGAGTCTTTCTCTTCGTCTCTATGATGATCTCGTTAGGCGGTCGACCGCCAGGTTTCTCAATGAAATCTCTATTCTTTCTAGTCATTATTCATTCGCTATACGGGAATATTCAAGCAAAGTAAGCAACTTTAGAAATAAGAATTTCGATTTCTAGCGATAGCGACTAAACGATCGTACTAAATGAGTTCTAAATTCGGATCAGCATTCTATGTCTTGGAAATCTTCGATTCAGAAAATTCTCAGTACTTCGAATATCGCCGAGCACACGAGCGGATGTCGAGTTCTTGCAAGAGATTCGGACAAAAGATCATGATGTGAGTTGGGGAAACATTTCTGGGGTTTTCGATAAACACGTGTTTTTTTATGCTGTTTAAATAATTGCAGTTTGTAGTTAACTCTATCAGTAGTCTAACTAGTACATAGTCTAGCTAGTACATAGTCTAACTAGTACATAGTCTAGCTAGTACATAGTCTAGCTAGTACATAGTCTAACTAGTAGGTAGCCTAGCTAGTACATAGTCTAGCTAGTACGTAGTCTAGCTAGTACTCTAGCTAGTACGTAGTCTAACTAGTACGTAGTCTAGCTAGACTAGCTAGTACATAGTCTAGCTAGTAGGTCGTCTAACTAGTAGGTCGTCTAGTTTTCAATCTTTAACAAGATCGAGATAGCAAGACTCAAAGACAAGCCAACAATTGACCCCCGCTTTCCTTTGGTGAACTCATAAAGTGAGAGATCGGTGAAATTTTTTGATAAGATGATAAGTGAGATGAAATGGTTGAGTGATTTGTCCTTTTTTGTCTTTTTTTTTCCCTCATTTACCTCCAAGGCCATGTGAGAAAGGAAATTGGATAGAAAAAGAAAAGATAAAACTGAAAATCTCGACTTGACGCTTTTTCTTTTTTTGCGAAGAAAAAACGAGCCGCCAATCGAAGAATTTTTGGCTATGGGTGATAGGGAAATGGGTGATGCCAAGGGAAACAAATGAAAATTAGAAATTGTAAGGAAATTTGTGCAGAAAGCTGATAATCTATTGATCTAGGCCTTTAACTTCTTTAAGTTCTTGAAGTTTATAGTTTAGTTATCGATGAATTACCCGGGAGTCTGTCTGGAGTACTGTCTTTAATTTGTTAACACATTCATGATGATACTAATGACGACTGTACTAATGACAGGTCTAATGACACCTAATGACAGCCCTAATGACACCTAATGATAGGCCTAATGATACCTAATGATAGGTCTAATGACACCTAATGATAGGTCTAATGATACCTAATGATAGGTCTAATGACAGGCCTAATGACAGGCCTAATGACACCTAATGACAGGTCTAATGACACCTAATGATACCTAATGACAGCCCTAATGACACCTAATGATAGGTCTAATGATACCTAATGATAGGCCTAATGATACCTAATGATAGGCCTAATGATACCTAATGATAGGTCTAATGACAGGCCTAATGACACCTAATGACAGGCCTAATGACAGGCCTAATGACACCTAATGACAGGCCTAATGACAGGCCTAATGACACCTAATGACAGGCCTAATGACAGGCCTAATGACACCTAATGACAGGTCTAATGACACCTAATGACAGGTCTAATGACACCTAATGACAGGTCTAATGACACCTAATGACAGGTCTAATGACACCTAATGACAGGTCTAATGACACCTAATGACAGGTCTAATGACACCTAATGACAGGTCTAATGACACCTAATGATACCTAATGACAGCCCTAATGACACCTAATGACAGGCCTAATGACACCTAATGACAGGTCTAATGATACCTAATAACGATTATTTCTAATTACTTGGCATTTATTGGTTAGAGTTGAGGACTCAAGATAGTATCAAAAAGCTCTACCACAAGGACAAAAAGGGCAAAAAAGCAGACCCCTCAACTGTCTTCATAGCGCAATGCCAGAGGGTCGCCCTCTCCCTCCGATCATCGGGGGTTCGATCCCGCTACCAGATTTTTGCAATTTTTGGGTCATCTTTGGAAAGACAGAGAAATTTGGACTTTTTATGCCTGAGCTTTTCATCAGAAGCCAAAAACAGGTCAAAAGTCGAGCTGGGCTGGCTTGGAAAGCTTAACCTGATTGCAGGCTTGGCCCAGAAGTAGTTCCCTGGCTTCTGACCGGTTCTGACGAGTTCTGATCTGGCTTACAAGCTAAGGAAAACTCTTGGCTCAAATCCAAACTTCTAAAAGAGATTGAAGCTTTAGTTGGACTTCTGGAAGGGACCCACCGAGGTGAATCGAGAAGTGCACTTGATGGTTGATGAGGCACAGGTGAGCGGAAGGTTTAAACTTCGATATCTTTAAGTTTTGATACGTTTAAGCCTTAAGCTTCAATTGTTGATAAAGCTAGTTCTATTTCAATTTATAGAAAGCCTACATTGAGCGCACATTAGAGAGACACAATATCAACCATACGATTATGATTCCCGATGTGGAGAGGTAAAGATTTTAGATCTTGAAAGATTGAAAGGGTTTTGGGCTGGCTAGTAAGCTAGTAAGCTAGATAGTAAGCTGGCTAGTAAGCTAGTAAGCTAGTAAACTGGCTAGTAAGCTAGCTAGTAAGCTGGTTAGTAAGCTGGTTAGTAAGCTAGTAAGCTGGCTAGTGAGCTAGGTAGTAAGCTGGTTAGTAAGCTAGTAAGCGAGCTAGTAGGCTAGTAAGCTGGTTAGTAAGCTGGTTAGTAAGCTAGCTAGTAAGCTAGTAAGCTAGTAAGCTGGCTAGTAAGCTAGTAAGCTAGTAAGCTGGCTAGTAAGCTAGCTAGTAAGCTAGTAAGCTAGCTAGTAAGCTAGTAAGCTAGCTAGTAAGCTAGCTAGTAAGCTAGTAAGCTGGCTAGTAAGCTAGCTAGTAAGCTAGTAAGCTGGCTAGTAAGCTAGTAAGCTGGCTAGTAAGCTAGTAAGCTGGCTAGTAAGCTAGCTAGTAAGCTAGTAAGCTGGCTAGTAAGCTAGCTAGTAAGCTAGTAAGCTGGCTAGTAAGCTAGTAAGCTGGCTAGTAAGCTAGCTAGTAAGCTAGTAAGCTGGCTAGTAAGCTAGTAAGCTGGCTAGTAAGCTAGCTAGTAAGCTAGTAAGCTAGCTAGTAAGCTGGCTAGTAAGCTGGGGAATGGGTAGTAAACTAAAATGGGAATGGCTATCGTAGGCTTTGTTTAGATAAAGCTGGAGTTAAAGAGGAAAGAAAGGCTGAGCAAAGAAAGGTTTTAGAAAAGAAAAGTAAAGGGTTTAGAAAAGAAAGTTCAGAGAATTAAGACAATTTCTAGAGTAATCGTCGAGCAAAAGAAGAAAAGAGCTAAATTGAATAGCGAGCTGAGGCTGAGGGATTGGAGAGATGGAAAGGTTCGTTCTTAGACTGGATTCGATCTCTACAGTAGTGTCTATAGTAGTATCTAGTACTATCTAGTACTATCTATCGTAGTAATCGAGAATGATGAACTTTTTCCTCTTTATCATTCTCTAGATCAACTTCAACCTTGCTCAATATCACTCGTTTGCTGATGTGATCAATTATTTAAACGCTCTTGCCGTCACTTATCCGGAATTGGTTTCAGTGCAACCGATTGGCACAACGCATGAAGGAAGACAGATTCCATTGATTAAAGTGAGAGAAAAGATCAGCTGAGAGAGTTGTAAACAGATTGGAAACATACTTAGATTGTAAACAGAGACTTTCTGGTGCACAGGGCACAGACTGGTGCACACGACAGTGACACAGACTAGTGCAAAGACCACACAAAAAGTCTCGAATTGAACTCTCGACAGATTCTCTACTAGCTGACGATTAGCTGACGATAAACTCGCTGAAACAAATGCTATATCACTCAAAGAATTGATGTTTCTCAATCTATATTCCATTTTTGACAAATGACAATCTGTCAAGAGTTATAAGCGTTTAAAGTTTCGTTGGTTTTGTTGGTTTTGTTGGTTTGTTAGTTTTGAAAATGCGATCTTTACTGTCTCATTTGAGTCTTAACGGTCTTCTGACGGTCTCATCTCAATGCAGCCGTGGCCGAGTGGTAAAGTGCTAGCTTGAACTTCGGAGGTCTAGAGCGAGACCTCCCAGGTTCGACCCCAGGTCTCGATTTTTCTTTTACTTCTTTCAAGAACTGACTAGTGTTCTTTGTTCAAGCTGTCTAGCGCACAATCGCCTTCCATCTGGCATACCGCCATCGCTAAATCGCCATCGCCTAAAGCCATAAAGAACTTTGATTAATTCCCATCAACCCTCCACTCTACTGTCTGCCAGAAAAATGCGATCTTTGCGGTCTCATTTGAGTCTTAACGGTCTTCTGACGGTCTCGTCTCAATGCAGCCGTGGCCGAGTGGTAAAGTGCTCGTGCTCTAGAGCGAGACCTCTCAGGTTCGACCCCTCGCTTGGATTTTTCTTTTGCTTCTTTCAAGAACTGACTAGTGTTCTTTGCTCAAGCTGTCTAGCGCACAATCGCCTTCCATCTGGCATACCGCCATCGCTAAATCGCCATCGCCATCGCCATCGCCTAAAGCCATAAAGAACTTTGATTAATTCCCATCAACCCTCCACTCTACTGTCTGCCAGAAAAATGCGATCTTTGCGGTCCCATTTGAGTCTTAACGGCCTTCTGACGGTCTTGTCTCGATACAACGGTGGCCGAGTGGTAAAATGCTCGCTTCTAGAGTGAGACCTGGCAGGTTCGGTCCCCACGCATGCTTTTTCGTTTGTTTTTTTGCAAGGAGAGGTGTAAAGAGGGTAAAAACTTGATAAAAGCTGACAACAAGGATATGTTGTGCACAAAGAAAGCCATCTTGTGCACAAAGAAAACCAGAAAATCATCCCCTAATCAACCAATAACAACCGCAAAGTATCACGAGAAAATGGAGAACCTAGTACGCCAGAAAGGGTGCGTTTAAGCGTAGCCTGTTCAAATTTGGGTGTTTACTTTGTGCTGAGGTTGTAAACACACTCTTTCTGGTGCAATGAACTCCGTTTTCTTTGCACAGTCAAGTCAAAGAGATGAAGGGAATGAGGAAAATGAAGAAGCTGAAGAAAATGAAGAAAACTGAAGAGAGTGCACCAGAAGGAAAGCGTTTACAGGGTTTTACGTAGCACAAAGAACAATTGTAAATAAGCTAAAGTCATTCTGAATCTTAGGTGACAAATAAACGACTTCAAAGCGGCAATAAGAAAGCTGTTTGGGTTGATGGAGGGATTCACGCGAGAGAATGGGTTTCCCCAAGCACTGTTCTTTATTTCATTCATACAGTGAGTTGAAAGATTTGAATTTCTAGAGATTTCTAGAGATTTTTAGAGATTTCTAGAGATTTCTAGAGATTTTTAGAGATTTCTAAAGATTTCTAGAGATTTCTAAAGATTTCTAAAGATTTCTAGAGATTTCTAGAGATTTTTAGAGATTTCTAGAGATTTCTAGAGATTTTTAGAGATTTCTAAAGATTTCTAGAGATTTCTAGAGATTTCTAGAGATTTCTAGAGATTTCTAGAGATTTCTAAAGATTTCTAGAGATTTCTAGAGATTTCTAGAGATTTCTAAAGATTTCTAGAGATTTCTAGAGATTTCTAGAGATTTCTAGAGATTTCTAGAGATTTCTAAAGATTTCTAGAGATTTCTAGAGATTTCTAGAGATTTTTAGAGATTCCCGATCGTTTTTTAATTAATAAACATCGAAAATCGTTAACTTTTAGCTCATCACTCAATATGATAAGGATCCGAAGATCCGGCAATACGTCGACAGTATGGATTGGTACTTGGTACCATTGCTGAATCCGGATGGGTGAGTTTTCGAGATCTCTGATAGATCTGATAGATCGCGTAGCCTGAATACGAGCTTAGTAACGGGGACTCGAAGGCTTAGACTCGAAATGAATCGGCTCAAACGATTCCCCGACCTCGAAAACCCCTGGCTATAAATTTACAGCAAAATAGCTTCCTTTTGAGCTATTTTCAAGCCAAAAGAAATCCCTATGGAAATCCTGACGAAATGCTCTTTGTGCGCGTGTCTAATCGCTCGCCGTCTGGCAAAGGAGAAAAGGCTGACACTTTGGTCTTAAAGAAAATGGAATGCTATGAATGAAAGGGGAGGACTGACAAGCCACCTCAACTCGTATCAAAAGGCTTTTCTCGCAACGCGTCGATGTGAGCAAGTGAGCGAGTGGATAAGTAGCTTGGATACAAAGCGAACCACTCATTCCCTGCTCGGGTTCGAATCCTTCTCACGCAAATTTCTTTCCTTTTTTGATTTTAACTCAAAAAACGCGATTATATTTTGTTTCTTTTCATTTAAGGAACTTTAAAGGAGCTTTAAAGGAACTGAATAGAAACTATAAAGGAGCTTTAAAGGAGCTTTAAAGGAACTCTAAAGGAGCTTTAAAGGAGCTTTAAAGGAACTGAATAGAAACTATAAAGGAACTATAGAGGAGCTATAAAGGAACTATAAAGGAACTAAATAAGATTCCGAAAGAAATGAAGGGATTTTTGTTATAAATTGGCTATTTTGTTTACTCCCCCTCCTTTCTAGAATAAATTTCTCTTCAGAGCAACCTTATTATCTGATCTGAAGCATCTGAAGCTCGGTTTGAAGGAATAAAAGAGAAATAGAGACTAAGAAATAGAGAAATAGAGAAATAGAGATTAAAAGAATAGAATTAAGAGAAATTAAGAGAATAGAAGAGAAGAGAATAAAAAAGAAGAGAATAGAATATTCTAAAATAGAAGAATAAGAGAGAATTGAAAGCTGATATACCCAGTTAAATAATCTCAGAACCACACAGTAACCTTAAAAAACAATGAAACTTTCCTTTAACTTTACTTTAACTTTACTTTAACTTTACTTTAACTTTGCTTTAACTTTCCTTTAACTTTACTTTAAATTATTCACTTTTCCAGCTACGAATACTCGCGCTCAAGTACAAATCCTGAAATCCGTTTGTGGAGGAAAAATCGATCCCCGACAAAATGCATTCAAGTGGCTTCAGGTTTGGGAAAGTGGGAGAGGTGAATTTCAGCTTTTTTTTAGGCCCATTCACTCCACCACAACAACAATGCTGTCAAGGAGTCGATTTGAATCGGTAAATGATAGGGAATCCTTTGAAAATTTGACTTTTCTCAGAAATTTCGATTGGTTCTTCGGCCAGGTTGGGTCATCGACGGATCCTTGCTCGGAGATTTATCAAGTAAGAGATTGGAGTGAAGAGAATGTGATAGAGATTGACGGGAATCAGTATCAGGCTTGGCTTGGCTACCAAACTAAGCCAAGTCAAGCTAGTCAAGTCTAGTCAAGCTAAAGCCAAAGCCAGGTCAAAGACAGGCCAAGCTAAAGCCAGGTCAAGGCTAAAGCCAGGCCAAGGCTAAAGACAGGCCAAGCTAAAGCCAGGCCAAGGCTAAAACCAGGCTAAGCCAAAGTCTAGTCAAATCAAAGCCAGGCTAAGCCAAAGCCAAAGCCAGGCCAAGGCCAAGGCTAAAGCCAGGCCAAGCCAAAGCCTAGTCAAATCAAAGCCAGGTCAAGCTAAAGCCAAAGCCAGGTCAAAGCCAGACCACGTCCAAAGCCGTCCAAGGCAAAGCCTAGTCAAGTCAAAGCCAGGCTAAGGCCAAAGCCAACAGTATAGCAAAGCCGACTTTTAGGGAGGGTTCGCCTTCTCAGAGCCGGAAACCCGAGCAGTTCGCGATTTCCTTGCCCAACACCGTATCACCACTTTTATCACTCTTCACTCGTATTCACAGGTTCACACGCCTTAGAATTCGATGCTAAACCCCATTCAGATTCTCATGTATCCATTTGGTCATCAAGTCCGCACCTATTCGAATGATCTCAATGATTTGGTGAGTTCAATTGAGCTCTAATGAATCAAAAGCTATCAAAAGCTATCTTTGCCATCAAATGCCATCTTTGCTTTTGTCAATTGAGCTTTTTGAGGACATTGAGCATTGTAAAACATTGTAAAACTCGAATTCAGCACGCAACGGCGACGAATGCGGCAAACGCTCTTCGCAGCATGTACGGGACACAGTATCGTGTCGGAACAGGCGCTGATACTTTGTGTAAGGTTTAACGTTTGAGAATTGTTTAGTTCTTTAGCTCAATCAGAGCTAAAGGCTCAATTAGAGCTAGATTCTGACTAGATCTGACTAGAGCTAGACTCTGGCTAGATCTGGCTCTGATTGAGCTAGACTCTAGCTAGATCTGACTAGAGCTAGATTTGACTAGATCTGGCTCTGATTGAGCTAGACTCTAGCTAGATCTGACTAGAGCTAGACTCTGGCTAGATCTGGCTCTGATTAAGCTAGACTCTAACTAGATCTGGCCTGGCTCTGATTGAGCTAGATTTTGACTAGAAACCGAATCCTTTTCAGATCCAGCTTCCGGTGGATCAGAGGATTGGGCAAAAGGGAAAGCTCACGTGAAATACTCTTATCTTTTCGAGTTAAGACCCGAAGAACAAGTCTGGGACGGGTTTCTCTTAGCTGAGAATCAGGTAAATACTTGAAACAAGTATTAGAGAATTGGAAAACACAGTGTACAGCTATTCCTCTCAAAATCCTGCCTCTAGATTCTCCCAACGGCTCGCGAGACGTGGGAAGCCGTGAAAGTGATCGCTGATCAATCGCTTCGGCTACAAGTGAGAGATTTGGATATCCTTTAGATAGATCGAATTACAATAGATAGAATTCATCATTCTATTTCTAGATAATGAGCTATATTATATTAGAATCTTTAAGAAAAATTTGCAGGATAGTAATACAGCTGTTCGACACCAGCAACCGCAAAAAGCACAGCCTTTTCGAAATGTTTGCGAGGTGGGTTAGAGAAACAGTTTTCTAAAGAAACAGTTTCCTTAAAAAGTTTTTTGAAAACTACTCTTTACTCTGTATTTCGAAGCCAACTTTGACCTCAAATTTCTTCGTGTTGGGTTGTCCAATTTAAATCCTTTTGCTATCATTAGATGCGCCAAGTCTTTCTCTATCGATTGGTAGAAGAACTATTGAAATTGGACCACTGAGCACCGAGAAATTTGAGTTCAAAGTTAGGTTGGCAAAAGGGGCGGGGCCAGAAAGACCTTTTATACGCGCATCGTCCCATTAGCACTTTGAGCTGAAATTTCTTGATGTTCAGATTCTTGATGTTGAGCTTGAAGTTGCCAATAGCAAAGCGCGCGTATAAAAGGTGGCCCATACACGCCCCGCCCCCTTTCCCATTGACTATCTAACTTTAAGCTCAAATTTCTTGGTGCTCAGTTGTCCAATTTCAATAGTTTTTCTACTAATCGATAGAGAAAGACTTGGGGATTCTAATGGTATTAAAAGGATTTAAATTGGACAACCCAACCCGAAGATATTTGAGTTTAAAGTTTTGACAATGGCAAAGGGGCATATCAAACGTCTTACAATCAATTTTCGATACTAATTAGCTCGATCGATACGATTCAACCTCTTTTTCAGGACAAAGACTCACTTTGTGGATCGTGGGCGGCGAGTGGAGCGTGCGAAACGTGGCCAATCATGAAAGAACGTTGCGCACTCTCGTGTCGAGTCTGTCAATGAGCACAGCTGGCTGAATTTGTTCCTACAGAAAGCAAAAGTTCATACAGAAAGCTAGTGTTCATACAGAAAGCTAAAGTCCATAGCTTTCAAGCTTGAAAGTCTTTTTCTAGTTCTATTGGGTTGGGGAGAATGAGTCGGCGCCAAACTTTAAAGGGACTTTTTGCACACATAAAGCCTTCTTTAAACATACGTTTGGTTTCATCAAAAGGATCCACTATTTCTCTACAAAATCACTTTTGAGAGATTCCACAAAGCTTTTCAAAGAGTTTATGGACTCCCAAACACAGCTGGTTAAAATGGCAAAGAGTCCGACTCATCATTTGAACAGTTTCTTTCACATAAACCTTCTTTGGTGTTTATATAAAAAAGATAGAGCACATTCAATTACATAAGTTGCCAAATTTGCAGGAAGATCCCACCAATGGTTTTTTCTAGATCACAGTTTGTAGTTTTTGTGAAAAAATGGCTTTTTCTTGAGCGGAGGCGCTGTTTGAATTTTCTTTTAAATGTCATTTTGTAGAGAATTAGTTAACCATTCTACTCATATCAAACGCATATTATTTGACGAAGTCGAATAGAAGTTTTAGACATTTTTTTGATTTTCGGCGCCGACTCATTCTCCCCAACCCAATATCAATGCAAAAGGAATCCCAGAAATTCACAAAATTCGCTTTTTCGTTTCTTTTTTAGCGAAATTTAGGAAAACCGATAGGAAAACGTTTTTAAAGGAACTAGAAACGAAGTTTAAATGCAAATTGCAAACAGCAATTCCTTTCTTATATTGTTTCTATCTCTTTCTATCTCTTTCTATCTCTTTCTATCTGTTTCTATCTGTTTTTATATGTTTTTATATGTTTTTATATGTTTTTATATGTTTCTATCTCTTTCTATCTCTTTCTATCTCTTTCTATCTCTTTCTATCTCTTTCTATCTCTTTCTATCTCTTTCTATCTCTTTCTATCTCTTTCTATTTGTTCTCTCCGTTTCTATCTATTCCTTTCACTTTACATACCATTTAACGGGTCTCATTTCCATCCATTTTCCCCTAAAAAAAACTACAATCATCAATAGAACCTCAAATTTTTCACCAAAAAAAAACTTTTTCCCAAATCCCAATTTTTTCTATACAAAAATCTCTAAATTTACAGAAATTTGCGATAATTTTGTAATTTTGTAAGGGTTTTGATTAAAGTATTCTTTTTAGAATTATGCCTTTGTTTTTTGGGCTAAAGGGACGAAACACAAGCCGTCTGCCGCGCCAGCTGACTTGTGTTTCGTTTCCACAATTCTCTAGGCTTTATTTTTGATTTGAATTTGATCTAATGTGTAAATTTTAGTGCTTTTTGCTTTGCTTTAGCACATCTTTCATTTATTCATTTTGATATTCATTTTGATATTCATTTTGATAAATCTATTTTATTATATTGCATTTTGATAAATCTATTTTATTGTATTACATTTTATTGTATTGCATTTTATTATATTGCATTTTATTTTATTACATTTTATTTTATTACATTTTATTACATTTTATTGTATTTTACTGTATTCAGAATACAAAGAAATGACTATATTATATTGGGTTGATGCATAATTATCCGGACTTCTTTTTGCGTGCTTGTATCTTTTTTGTTTTGAAAGCTTTTTGTCTATTTCTTTTTTTAAAATATTCGTTATTCTTTAGTGAACAAAATGCGTGTCGACAATCATATCCATCTTCGCCATATCATGCTCTACCACTTCGAAAAGGGATGGTCTGCCGCAGAGTCGTTTCGCGATCTCAAAGAACTTTTTGGTCAAGGAACAATTGGACGTGCAACAGTTTATGAATGGTTCGATCGTTTCAAGTCCGGTAACACAAGTGTTGATGATGAACCAGGAAGAGGACGGCCATCAGAATTCGATGACAAGGCACTTCTGGAAGCCGTTGAAGAAGACGAAAGCCTGACAACCAAGCCCTACTACTCTCCTACTGAAGCCCCAACGGACTACCACGTCAATCGATCGCTCAAAAATTGGCAAACAAATAAGATCTACAACGATTTGGATGACTTGATAGACGATGTTAAAGCGTGGATTGCCTCCAAAGATCGTTTATTCTTCGCTCGTGGAATCGATCGTCTTCCAAGCAAATGGCAATCAGTTATTGATGTAGGCGGTGAATATGCTCCAGAATAATCAATTAAACATATTTTTCTAACTATTTATGTTATTTTTTGTTAAATAAAATCATTTATAAAAGAAGTCCGGATAATTATGCATCAACCCAATAGTAATGTAAAGGTTCCAATACGGTTCCTTTTTTGATCTAATACGATTCCAATACGGTTCCCATACGGTTCCTTTTTTGATCTAATACGGTTCTTTTTTTTGATCTGATACGATTCCAATACGGTTCCTTTTTTGATCTAATACCGTCCAATACGGTTCCAATACGGTTCTTTTTTTGATCCAAAACGGTTCCAATACGTCATCTTGGGGGGAGGTCTTATGCGCTATTTTCCCTTATCGATATAAGGTGCGTTGCAAAATGATAGGGCCACCCAAGTGGTTCAGATCCGATGTCCAAGCTTGTCGTCATCTTGGGGGAGGTCTTATGCGCTATTTTCCCTTATCGATATAAGGTGCGTTGCAAAATGATAGGACCAAAATGATAGGACCAAAATGATAGGAGCCTAAATTTCGCATTTCTTGGCTATGAAATTTAATAAAGCGAAATAGCTTTTAAATCCTAGAAATATATACAAATACAAATACAAACAGATACAAAAATAAACATCTATACCATTTTTAACATTATCTGAACAAATTGCAACAAAATTATAACATTTTCTTTATTTAACACCTGTTACGAATAGAAAATAACAATAAATTTGAGAATAAACAAAAGAAAAACGAATGAAAAGTTCATTAATAATCAATAGATGCCCCCTTTTTCTCGATGACGTTGAGTAGTCGACTTTTCATCGAGTTCACTAAGTTTTGAAGCGTTCGTGGTGGAATTGACGCCCAAGCTTGCAAAATTGATTGTTTGAGTTGCGAAATCGTGTCGTAAGAAGTCACTAGAAGAGTTGTGAAGTCTCTAGAAGAGTTGCGAAGTCTCTAGAAGAGTTGTGAAGTCTCTAGAAGAGTTGTGAAGTCTCTAGAAGAGTTGTGAAGTCTCTAGAAGAGTTGTGAAGTCACTAGAAGGGTTGTGAAGTCTCTAGAAGAGTTGTGAAGTCTCTAGAAGGGTTGTGAAGTCTCTAGAAGAGTTGTGAAGTCACTAGAAGGGTTGTGAAGTCTCTAGAAGAGTTGTGAAGTCACTAGAAGGGTTGTGAAGTCTCTAGAAGAGTTCTGAAGTCTCTAGAAGAGCTGTGAAGTCTCTAGAAGAGTTCTGAAGTCTCTAGAAGAGTTCTGAAGTCTCTAGAAGAGTTGTGAAGTCTCTAGTGAAGTGAAACTAGTGAATTCCCTAGTGAATTCACTAGTTTTACTTAGTGAAGTGTTATAGACAGTAAAATTCTACTAATTTTACTCGTTGGGATAAGAAAAAGTCTGCGTTAACGAGGTTTTTCCTTTCGAGTTTGTTTGCTAAGTTATTTTGTTAAGAAGCTTTTCATAAAGACCTCAAAATCTTTTTACTATCAAGGTTTTTGGTTTTTGTTTGGTGTTTTTTGCGCGCAAACAAAATAGCTCGCTTTTTGGCGCACTCTTCTGGCGCACTTCTAGCGCTTCTAGCGCACTTCTGGCACACTCTTCTGGCGCACTTCTAGCGCTTCTAGCGCACTTCTAGCGCATCCTTCTGGCGCACTCTTCTGGCGCACTTCTAGCGCTTCTAGCGCACTTCTGGCACACTCTTCTGGCGCACTTCTAGCGCACTTCTAGCGCATCCTTCTGGCGCACTCTTCTGGCGCACTTCTAGCGCTTCTAGCGCACTTCTGGCACACTCTTCTGGCGCACTCTTCTGGCACACTCTTCTGGCGCACTTCTAGCGCATCCTTCTGGCGCACTTCTGGCGCACCGTAGATAGGTTTTCCCTTTTCATTATGCACAAATGCTTGAGAAAGATTCCCGTCTCTATTTTGGCTCTATTTTAGTGCAAACTTTCAAACCAACACCCCCCTGGTGCGCTCAAATTTCCGTTTTCCTCAAACAATACTATTGTTGTTAAAAATTCATGTTTGAAAAGGGATTTCGAGTTTTTTTAAAAAGTGAAACAGAAAGAAATGGGTTTCCTAGAGATGGAAGAAAATTATCTTACCAACACTTTTCTTGAAAAGCACTAAAATGGAGCATTCGAGAAAGAGCAAAGAAAAGAAAGAGAAAAGAAAATACGAAAAATTCTCTCTAGAAAAAAGAAAATATTGAGAATATAGAGAAAAATTGATGATTTTAGAGTCAAAAGATTTTTGAGTTTTAGAGAAAAATGGGGAAAAAAGCTGGGAAAAGGGGAAACGGCCTCGGCTTTGGAAAAAAAAAAACAGAAAAATGGCCTTCTCTTTTGGAAAAAAACCCCTCACAAACATTACTCAATTTTTTCCGGTTTTAAAGATTTTCCATCTTTTTTTTTTTGATTCCATTCAATTCGTGTTCGGTTCGAATTTTTCCGCGTTTAAGCAATGATTTCAAAAAAAAACAAAACAAAATAAAACTGCAAAAGTTATGGCGGAAATTGTTGTTCACAATCGATTTACTTGCCACCTTTTCGAAAGAAGCATGGGTTGCCGCTTTAAAGCGTGGTAAAACTACCGTACCCCTCCTAGACGCGAAATTTCTTTTTTTTTTTTCATTCTTGTTCATTTCATTTCATTTTTTTTGCTTTTTTCTGATGTGTTTGCGTTTTTTGCTGGAAAAGGCATTAGGAAAGGTCGTAGAGCTTCAGAAATGTTCTCACGTAACGGAATCGTATGCGTAGATTCCGAATTTCGACAAATCAGATCTCGCTGACACGTCAAATTTGGGCTAAAAGGCAAAAACTGCGGAAAAGCGTTAAGTTGTGTAGTTTTGACCTTTTAGCCCAAATTTGGCGTGTCAGCGAGGTCTGATTTGTCGAAATTCGGAATCTACGCATACGATTCCGTTATATGAACACATTTCTGAAGCTCTACGGCATTTTCCAGCGAAAAAAAGGTGCGTAAACGTCCAGGTGTGCATTTTTCTGATGTGTTTGCGTTTGTTTTTGCAGGAAATAAAGAGAATAAAGCTAATTTACGTTTTTAAAAGCATTTTCTATGGTGTAAGCTTTGTTTGTAGAGTTTTTTAGATTAACTTGCTTCCTGCCAATCTGCTTCACGAACTTGATGCCAACTAATGTTAAGTTAGGTGTTTTTATCATTCTCTATGGTGTAAGCTTTGTTTGTAGAGTTTTTTCTTCATCAACTTGGTTCCAGACGATCTGCTTGATGCCAACTAATGTTAAGTTAAGTGCTTTTAACATTTTCTATGGCGAAAGCTTTGTTTGTAGAGTTTTTTAGACCAACTTGCTTCCTACCAATCCGCTTCACGAACTTGATGCCAGCTGATGTTAAGTTAAGTGCTTTTATCATTCTCTATGGTGTAGGCTTTGTTTGTAGAGTTTTTTGATCCACTACCTGACAATCTGCTCAACGAACTTGATGCCAGCTGATGTTAAGTTAAGTGTTTTTTATCATTATCTATGGTGTAAGCTTTGTTTGTAGAGTTTTTTCTTCATCAACTTGCTTCCTACCAATCTGCTTCACGAACTTGATGCCAGCTAATGTTAAGTTAAGTGCTTTTATCATTCTCTATGGTGTAGGCTTTGTTTGTAGAGTTTTTTGATCCACTACCTGACAATCTGCTCAACGAACTTGATGCCAGCTAATGTTAAGTTAAGTGCTTTTTATCATTCTCTATGACGAAAGCTTTGTTTGTAGGGTTTTTTCTTCATCAACTTGCTTCCTACCAATCTGCTTCACGAACTTGATGCCAGCTAATGTTAAGTTAAGTGCTTTTATCATTCTCTATGGTGTAGGCTTTGTTTGTAGAGTTTTTTGATCCACTACCTGACAATCTGCTCAACGAACTTGATGCCAGCTAATGTTAAGTTAAGTGCTTTTTATCATTCTCTATGACGAAAGCTTTGTTTGTAGGGTTTTTAAGACTAACTTGCTTCCTGACAATCTGCTCAACGAACTTGATGCCAATTAATGTTAAGTTAAGTGGTTTTTATCATTTTCTATAGTGTAAGCTTTGTTTGTAGAGTTTTTTTGATCCACTTGCTTCCTCGACGATCTGCTTGATGCCAATTTGATGCCGACGGTCTGCTTGATGCCTTAAGTTAAGTGCTTTTATCATTTTCTATGGCGGAAGCTTTGTTTTTATGACTTTTTAGTCTCGCGATCTTTTATACATGCAAATTAGGAGGCGTACGCTAGTTTTAAAGCGCGAACCCAGGATTTTCTCGGAAAAAGGTCGCAATTGTCGATTTTCTATCGATCTATTTGAGATTCAATAGTTTTGCTCGGAATTTGTTTCCAATCTCAAATTTCCTTTGTATGATTGCAAAGAAATGCTTAAATTAATAATTTAAAGAACTTCTTTTGCAATTTCTCACAAAATTGTTACCGTATTCTCTCAAATAGTAGTGAGGGTTCGGTGCGCCATTTAAAAGTGTTTTACATGTACCGGCTTTTTTCTAATAGTAGTGCACCCCGGTGAGCCGAGTTGATGGCTATTTTATCGTTTCTGAGCTTTCCCAGAAGCTCAAGAGTCTAATCCCTCACTAGATCTCATCATCAGCTACATTTTCCGACCCCACATCGATAGGTTCTGATCAGCGGTTCTCGAGATTTCGAGGAATTTAGGCAAAGCGAAGGGTGCACTACTATTAGAGAGAATACGGCAAGGAAAAACAGCGTAACTTAACTGAGTAGATAAACTTTGAAGGTCTATAACTTAAAAATAATGTTATTGTTAACTTTTTATATTGTTTTAACAAGGAAAATTGAGGCTTTTGAATGATATGAAATGTTTCTTGATTGGATTCTTCAGTCTCGAATCCAATTTGATCAAAAGTTGGATTTGAGATTGAAGAATTCAATCAAGAAACTTGATTTTCATGCAATCAAAAAACCTAACATTTCTTGGCAATCATACAAAGGAGATTTGAGATTTGGGAACGATTTTTTTAGCTTTACTTTACGGCATTTAATGCCATAATTTAATGGCATTTTATTTAACGCCAGAAATCTGACTTTAAAAACGAAATTGCTTAGTAATCGTTTCGAAATGACCTCTATTTCTTGTTTTTGATTGACTTTTTTTGAAATTCTTACCTATTTCTCTTTTTCATTTTGTAAGAAAAAAGGGAAAACTTATAAAATTACTCAGCATTTCAAAAAAATGATTTCATTTTGATATTTCTGGGAATGTTTTTCCTTTTTGAATTAAAAACTAATGTTTTTTGAGATTTAAAAGCTCTTTACTCAGGCTTAGGCTTTAACAAAATGAACTTTGATCTCTAGATATGAAGAGCTAATCAAATTTGATTAGATCTTCATATCTAGAGATGCCGTACCATTGTCCCTATTGAAAGAGGACCCAGTTAGCTATAGTTATCTATAGTTATCTATAGTTATCTATAGTCATCTATAGTCATCTATAGTTAACGTATCCCGTTCATTGATCTGTGCCAGCCTTTAAAATTCTTACAAAAATAAGTTTTAAACTGAAATTAATGTTTTCAATCAAATTTTGCTCTTTCATTTGTGATTCAGCCTCTCATACCTTTACTAACTTTTCTTTTTACAATCCAAATCATACCAGTGATTGCCGGTGATCGTTTAGAAGTGCTCAGCTAGAGAAAGCTCTTTTAGAATTAAATCCCTGCATTGTTACCGTAGTCTTTAGCTTACTTTAACGATATTTTAACTTTAACGATAGAAATAATCTCTTACTTTGACCAGGAACAACTCAAGACAAAGCTAAACTCAAAGTCGGCCTCTATTTTGTCAATGACTAAAATGTTAGTGTCAATTAAAGTATCCATTCTGTCTAAAGCCCTAATTGGATCCTGATTCCGGAATCTTATTAAATTTTTATTATTTTTAAAGTGTGTTTGTTTTCTATCAAATTTTATTCTTTCACTTTCATGACTAAATTCAACTAGAATTCGACTAGAATTTACTTTACCATTTCTTTCTAGAATCCAAATCATGCCAGTGATTGTGATTGTGATGATTGATCGTTTAGAAATGCTTATTTAGAGAAGCTTATTTAGAGGAAACTCATTTAGAGGAAACTCATTTAGAAATGCTCATCTAGAGAAAGCTCAGTTAGAATTAAATCCCCGCATTGTTTTTGTCATTTCTGAATTTCTAAAGCTATCTATTTCAAATTTGATTTATTCATTTTTCAAATCGGTGATTTCAATTATAATTCGATTTTGCTATTTCTTTCTAGAATCGAAATCATGCCGGTGATTCATGTTGAAAGCGATGATCACTTCAAGACTCTCTTAGAGGAAAACAAAAACAAAGTCGTCGTCATTGATTTCACCGCCAGCTGGTTGGTTTCAGTTTTGGGAATATAAGATAGATAAAAAATAAGATAGAAATATTTACGCAATAAGATGGATTTTAAAATATTCAGTTGATCGATTTAGCACTTTACTGTACTGTACAAGTAGTGTACTGTACAGGTAATGTACTGTACAGGTAATGTACTGTGCAGGTAATGTACTGTGCAGGTAATGTACTGTACAAGTACTGTACTGTACAAGTACTGTACTATCTTTACCAATGAGCTTTTGATTTCAAAGTCTAGCAAGTGAAGTATGCTAATACAGTCAACGCTGGATAGTAGATCATTTAATAGTAGATCATTTAATAGTAGATCACTTTTGGAGGATCTCTCCAATGGCAATCTCTCCAGAAATCACTAACTTTTGCAAAAGTTCGAATATTTTATCATAAAACTAGCTTTATATGCTTACAACTAGCTTATCTGCTTACACTATTGTTAACAATCAGCTGCTAATCAGCTAGCTATTCTAATTTCCTAGTCATTAAGCTCATTAAGCATTTCTAGTCATTAAAAACAGTTTTGAAAAGCTGAAATCGTTTACTAGTGCCTAATAGCCTAAAGCCTAGTAGTTTACTAGTGTTTGAGCATTTAAATGTCGTGTTAAAGCCACAGAATCGTATTGATCAACTTATTCACAGTGTTTTTGATGTTTTTAGGACTGATTAGACAAAACTCTCGATAGTAAATCATTTTTGGAGAATCCCTTACTTACTACTATCGAGCGTCGACTGTATTTAGCTTGCAGCTTTCTTTTTGCAGGTGTGGACCATGCAAATTCATCGCTCCACTCTACGAGGAGTTGGCTAATTCCCATCCGAACACCGTTTTTCTCAAAGTCGACGTTGATGAGTGCACTGGTTAGTCTTAAAGTAAAGAAATAGTTCTTAAAAAAAGCGTTTCAGGAGCCGCGAATGACGTCGAAGCGATGCCGACTTTCCGATTTTTCGTCAACGGGTTAGTGCGGGTTTTGTCGTTTAAAATTCTATTTTAAAACCTTGTTCCTTATTCCAGACAAGGTACATAGTCATTTTTTAAAATTCAATTTTAATAGAATGAAATGAAAATGGTCAAGTTCTCGAAAATTAGATGGATAATCGTTTTTCATGTTAGTCGGCCGTCAAATTTCTTCTACTTTCTGAAAATCATGCTTTCTTTCTTTCTTTCTTTCTTGGCTTGGCAACTTGGCGATGCACCACGTCTGCTTCTAGTTGGCTAGTCCTAGTTGACTTGCTTGCTTAAAACCAAAGTGTGCTAAAAATGAACACAACTAATGCCTAAAACTTGTAACTCAGATATCTCGAGTATTGAGCTTTTCTATACAAGTTCCCTTCCAGGATGCTTTAGGAGTTTAGTCAGCATTGAGGGCCAAAAACTGAAAAGGGATTCGGAATCAGCGTGGTCGATGTTATAAGATGGAGTTTTAAAGGGTCCAAAGGCAAGTGGTGACGTGTTTGTAAGTCTTCAGTAAGTCTCTAAGTCTTCGTTTGTAAGTCTTCAATAAGTCTCTAAGTCTTCGTTTGTAAGTCTGGCAAGGATCTAGTTTCTTGTGTGCAAACTATGCTATTATTTTACCCTTTAATCAACAGATTTCAACAGATTCAATGAGTTAAAGCTTTAAAAAACATTGAAAAAGTCTGGTTAGTAGTCTTTTTCAAAGTCTGATCAGTAGTGAGCTTCGCCTTGGCTTCCAGACAATAGAGAAACTTTCTAGTGCAGTTTTTCTAAGCAGTTCTTTCAATAAGGAAACAAATTATCATTTTCAATAGATTCTTCTTGAAGAAAAAGTGTATTATAGATGATTTTTTGGCTATAGAATCTTTTCCAATGAAAAACCCTATAGAATCTTTTTCAATAAGCATTTTTCTTTCAGAGAGAAAGTCGCCGAGTTCACCGGTGGAAACGAGTCAAAACTGAAGGAATACGTCGAGAAATACGCTGTTTAAATCAACGAAAATCTCCATTTTTAAATGTAAAACTGTTTTCCGAGAAAGTATTTTGATAAAACTTGCCTTATTTTTCGGATTTGACCAAAATTATGACCAAAAATCAAGTTTTACCCTTTCAAATCAATAAAAATCAATGAAAATCAATAAAAATCAATCTTTTTTTAAACGAATAGCTTTTCTGAAGTCTTTTAGAGAGTCTTTGGACTCTTTAGAGGCTTTTAAAGATAAAATTTTACTTTCAAAACCAAGATTTACATTGTAAAATACACAAAAAATAGAAATTTTTCTAAAAAAAGCAAAAAAAGAAAACAAAAAACTTCAATCCCGTAAGAAGGCTGGTCCAAAGAGGAAAAAAATAGCCATGAAACTAGCTAATTTAGCTAATTTCATTAAAATAAGGCATTTTCTTGAAAATCATTCGAGAAATTTGAAAGATTTGGTGATTTTTGAGAAAAAATTCGACATTTAAGCTTTCTTTTAGTTCGAAAATCTTTGAATTGCTATAAAATCGCGAATTTACAACGAATCAAGGTAATTCTTTTTGCAATCGATTCTCCTTGAAAAATTCTATCAAATAAATATTAGGTTTATCAGGGAAAAGTGGAGTTTAGTGGGGTAAAATTGGGGTTGAAGTTGGTGGGACACTTTGTGCGTTCTCTGTGCGTTCTCTTCATGTTGCTCGTAAGAAAAAACGGCGTCTGGCACACGGCCCCGGTAGAAGCGACCGAAAAGCCCCCCTGCCCCGGTTTAATTACCCAAGTCTACGTACTCTTTACGTCGCTCATAGGAAAAACGGCCTCTGGCACACGGCTCCGGGTAAATGCTGTGGAAAGGGGGCTTGGTCGATTTGACTACCCAAATGTGCGTACTCGTGTGGTCGCTGTTAGGAATAAACAGCCTCTGGCAAACGGCTCATTAGGTGGGAAACTTTGTGCGTTCTCTGTGCGTACCCTTGTCGTCGCTCGTAAGAAAAAAACGGCGTCTGGCACACGGCGCTGGGGTAGATGGTGTCGGAAACCCCCGTCGGCCGGTTTAGTTACCCAAGTTTAAAGTTAATTGCTCATTGCCTCGATTTCGGTTTTATTTCATATAGAAACTACTAAAAACCCTTCCCAAGTTCCTGCGCGATTATTTAAAAGCAAGAACCGACCGTAAATACTGTAATAGTACCCCACCCGCCTCGTACAGTCGCGTAGTCGCTAAGGTTTTTCAGTATTTAGTATTTCATTGTTTTTCAAAGCGTCCGTACTTTCAAAAAATGTGTCTTTGGTATCAAAAAATAGCTGAAATTCAGGGTTATTTTTTGAAACCAAAACGAACATTGTAGCATAAACCAGTGTCAAGAAAAACTCGTTCAAAGCTAGACTACGCAACACTCCGCACCGTCATTACGCGATTATTAAAAGCCAAAAAGCCAAAGAAGCCTAAGAACCTAAAAAACCCCGAAAAAACCTCATTTTAACGTCCATTCCACCGTGCTTTCCTGTGAAATTGATAGAAAAATAGAATAAAAACAATAAAAAGCTCTTCGCTAGCAATGTTCACTAAAAAAGTTTTGATAGCAAACTCATAAAATCGATAGTTTTCTCAAAAAAAACCCCCAAATCTTTCAATTTCAAAAATCGCTTTTATTTGAGTAGAATTCGAATGAGCAACCACAAAACTACGATAGTGTTTTGTGTCAGAAGTACGCACAAAAAAAAAAACACCCGAAAAGTGAAATTCAGGCAAAAGATTTCAAAAGAAAAACGAAAAAAACGAAAAACAAAAAAAACAAAATCATCGGTTTTTCGGCTTAACTAGGAGGAAAGTTCAAAGTATCACAGAGAATTTTTTTCATTTTTTTTTTTGTAGAGAAAAGCTCGCTCGAGAAAAGGCAAAAAAAAAGTCGATAAATTAGGGGAAAGGGTTTTTGTTCAAATGGTTCAAATGGTTCAAATGGTTCAAATGGTTCAAATGGTTCAGAGGCTCAGAGGCTAAGAGGGGTTTTCGGAGGGGGGAAAGATCGTGAGGGTCGATTTCATCGATTTCATCGAGAGACTGTGCTCGCCGATCGGTGCTCGCTTGAGCTGTGATTTGAAGAGACGACACCTGAAAATTGAGATTTTCGAGAAGGATTTACAGTTGTCGGTTCTGGGCACCGGTCTTTTGAGAGAATCGTGGTCTTTTGAGAGAATCGTGGTCTTTTGAGAGAATCGTGGTCTTTTGAGAGAATCGTGGTCTTTTGAAAGAATCATGGTCCTTTGAAGGAATCATGGTCCTTTGAAAGAATCGTGGTCTTTTGAGAGAATCGTGGTCTCTTCAAAGAATCGTGGTCTCTTCAAAGAATCGTGGTCTCTTCAAAGAATCGTGGTCTCTTCAAAGAATCGTGGTCTCTTCAAAGAATCGTGGTCTCTTCAAAGAATCATGGTCTCTTCAAAGAATCGTGGTCTCTTCAAAGAATCGTGATCTCTTCAAAGAATCGTGGTCTCTTCAAAGTATCATGGTCTTTTGAGAGAATCGTTGTCTTTTGAAAGAATCGTGGTCTGTCAGATCGTAATCGTGGATGTTTGCCGTAAGATGTTTCCAGCCATTTCCTGATGTTCGAGTTACAAGTCCTTCTCTTATTGACCCGGTGTTTGATCTTCCCGAGTTCTTCAACTCGAGCCCATAGACATAGAAAGACATCGTTATCAGCTTCAGCCTCCATCAGTGTTTGCATTCTTGTCGCGGTAGTTTCTTTTTGGTGGTGATAGCGATTGGGTGACTCGCCTTCGCCAATCGGCTAAGCCGTCAGAGCTCAGCAAAGCACAAATCATCAAAGGCTTTTGCTTTCGTTAAAGCCAACATCTCCAACCATTTCACCATCAGCATCGCTTTTTGGCGGAACCGTATTGGAACCGTATTAGATCAAAAAGGAACCGTATTGGAACCGTATTAGATCAAAAAAGGAACCGTATTGGAATGCTGAGGGTGAACCTTCTTCTTGACTGTTTATGGACTGCTTCTTCTTGACTGTTGATCGTCTCGAGTCTTTCGAGTCTCGTCACAATTGGGCATCACAATTGGGCGTCACAATTTGTGGCGTATCTATTTCCCCTCATCATCCAGCTCATTCTAATCGGATTCACCAGCCAATAAAACACTTTTTAGTAAAAACAGATAATTGCAAAAGACCACGATTCAGGGAAAGAGCCTATATTTTCAATAGATTTGATTTCTCCTCACCAGAATCAGCACAATCGTTTCCAAGAGGAGCTTCGTCTAAAGGAGCAAATAAATATAGAGGAACCGTTCGATAAAGAGCATCTCGAGCATCCTGAAAATTTCCATTTAACTTTTAGCAATAACAACTTTTAGATCACTGTTAGAATGTTTTGTTAGACTTTTCAATGAATCTCAATTACCTGTCTGCCTAGCTCAGCAAGAATTGTGCACAATTTGCCGACGGACGCCTGCTCGGGATGTTGAATTGCCCATTCAGCCAAGAGTTGATCGGTCCTAGACAGCGATTGACCGGTTGAGTCCACTTCGGGTACCTGGAAACGGGTTGGTAAAAGCCTCTTGTCTTTTATTGGGGAATCTACCTGATCAGTTAGGTTTAGCTTGACCGCGAGAATGCTCCAATCTCGGCCCATTGCATCGGGCGGATCAAGTAAAGCGGCCAGCTCACAACGAGACGTCAACTGCAGATCGGCAACACCGACGTCGATGCCTGCAATGGGAAATGTGATGTGAGCCTGAGTTTAAGCCTAAGCCTAAGCCTGAGCCTGAGCCTGAGCCTGAGCCTGAGCCAGGCCCTGGAGTTGTCCCTGGGATCCCTACAGTACCCTTACTGCAGTCCCCAAACTCGCCAGAAGCCAGATTTGAACCTGGCTTCAGCCCACTGGGCAGTTACTGCAAGGTACTGACCAGCAGCTTCACTCTAAACCTACCCAATGTGAGTAATCGTGCCACTTCTCGGCTCCCAAAGCAAACGACATCAGTGAAGAGTTCGTCGAGATCATGTGTGCCTTTCACTCTCAATGATTCAGCCTGTTGCATCGCCATCATTGACTCAGGCGGGAAAGAGGCCGGTGAGGAGACGTGATCCTGGAAATAGAAATTTAATTGGAAACTGCTGAAGGATCAGAAGATCGGTAACCCAGTCCAGTACAGTAACCCAGTCCAGTACCAAACCCAGTCCAGTAACCCAACCCAAACAACGAGATCTCGATCGGGTTACGGTAGCTGGAGTGCTTTTCTTGATTACTTACCGCCAAGTGTTTCGGTGAGAGGAAGTGTCGCTCAAGACCGATCCCTGGGGCAACCTGAAATCTCATATTATAAAGGCTTCGAATAAAGGCTGTACACATCGAACTACCCCCTTTTTAGGCTACCGTAATCTAAAGAACTACAGTAGTCTAAAAAGCTATAATATCTTTCCCTTTTACTACCTCGGAAGCAGTTTGTTCGACAAGATTGACGACATCTTCTAAGAAATAGAAACACGAGGTGGCTCGTTCGGAAGGACCGCGCACACAAATCTCCACAGCGTCTCCATGTAATCTAAAAGCATATAAATAGCCTGCGAAGACCGTATCCCAAATTTCTCTAAGCCTTTTCACTCACCGAATAAGCGCCTCCATTTGTCCAGAGCTCATCTTGCTGCAGCCAGCCCATTGCACTAAATCAGCGTCCATTGGATCTTGAAAATCGTGCATTGAGCGCCGGAGAGCCACCTGAGAATTCATTTTTTGTCTTCAACCATCAGAATAGTTCAGAAAGGCTTGGGCTTGGACTACAGTATGCCAAAATATATCTACAAGAATTGTATCTACTGTTTCTCACCTGTATCCTCGGGAAAGTGCTTTGCAGTGATCTTTCCATTCCTCTCATCGGCAACACTCTCACTCCTCCATAGACATACGTCGGTTTGTCCTTCATCCAAACATCTTTCGGTGGCTCTAGTAGAATGAAAGCCGGGAACTCGAAAGTGTTATCATCTTCGGAGTCGAGTGGAGCACACAATTGGA